ATTATCTGTTACGCTCTCAAATATTCCGCTTTAGCTTTGCATTGCCTTTCCTATCTCTACTCTTGTATAGTCAATAATTATACAAACAATAATTAAATATAAAATAACGCTTGAGGAACAATATTATTACTGGATTGTATAATATGAACTACACACCGTACAACTTCCCAGTTGTTCCTGTAAATAATTGCTAACTACGACTGCGTACGGCTGCAGATGCGGAGGTCCTAGGTTTGAGTCCTGGTAGGGCCAAATATAGTTAGAAGGTTTTTCTATAAAACTTTCCTGTGTCATATGCCATGTTTGCCCTGCAGCCTGGGTCTTGAATAAGGCTGCGGTAACTCCTGCCTGTCGTAAGAGGCGACTAAACGGAGTCTCGGCGGGAAAGGCAAACCTCAGCAGATATGCTACTGGTGTTGGCGGACCCGGCGAAATAAAAGGCAAGGTGGATGGCCATGAGGGCGGCGGTAGTTAGCATAGCTGCTATCGTCGGCCAGACACATCATCCAAACCCTTCTCTAGTCGTAGCGGTCTCCCGTTCCATTAGATCAAGAAGGGGAAGGACGAGTGTGTGCACCTGCGTCTGCGCGTACGCTTGTGCACCTAAATATCTCCTGCGCATTTGACCGTTTCCGTACGTAGTAATTGGGTTTTCCCATCAAAGAAGTAGAGAGTACACTTGTGTTAATGCGCACACTTGTGCGTAATAACAGCTCCTAACCAGTAAAATTCTCACAAAAAATTGACATGACATAGTTGATGATAGTTTTGAGACGCTAATTTCTATCTTGAGTTTTTGTATATCAATATAAACATATAAACATGATGACGTTCTTTTGGTGTCAATCGCTTTCGCCTATAGAAAACCAAAAGAAACAAAATATATCATTCTCATATAATTATTATTTCTTTCATTATTGTAGACAATCAATATGTCTAAAGGACAACGTATGGTTCGGTTCTTTGCTCACTAAGCTTGTGCAATATTATCCAATCGAATGCTTCCGATGCACCAGCTGTAACCTTCCGCTTAGTTACCAATAATACTGTCTATTGCAATGCGTTTGTTCAATAGGTATATGATTTCAACAAGCAAATTTGACGATACATTTGGCTCAGTGTGTAGTGACCCTACTTAGTGCGCAAGCGGTTGCGGTTTCGACTCAAAGGTTTTGTTGGGTTTTAGTGTGTAGTACTCGCTTTGCCGGTGAGACCCACACCTCGTGCGTAAATGCATTTCCCAACGTTAAAAAAAATGGAGGCGTATTTCGCCGATCCCAAGTGATTTGGGAAATAGGCAGGGAGAAGAAGAAGAAGATTAACCGTTAAATCGTACCTAGGGACGAACCCGAGGGAAGCGAGGCTGAGTCGCTAGTTATAAAATAAAATAATGTGGGAAAAATCGGTCAAGTACGAGTCGGACTCGCGCACGAAGGGTTTCGTACCATAATTGATTTTTTTTAATTTGCGTGGCATCTTTTTAGAAATTCGCCATCAAGTTGTTTATCAACATATCGGTATTTGTCAGTAAAATATACGTAATAATAAAACTGTGTGAACTTTAAAAGCAAGCTACCTATTATAAATATTTACAATAAGAAATAGCAAGTTATAGGTATATCAAATGGCAGGATAAATATATAATAATAAAGTTGTTCATTGAAAATCAAACCTGGTATTGATAAGAAATATTGAAAATAGGCCAGGTGCGGCACGAAGATAGATGCATTTGCAATTTGCAATCAATGAGTAAATCTAAATATAATAATAATAAATATGTTGGACATTAAGACACAACGCCATCTAATTCCATGGTAAGCTACGAGGCTTGTGTTATGGATACCAGATAGTTGATAAACTACACAATACACATATTATGTATGTGTATGTAGTATGTGTACACTTTAAATACATACATATTATAAATATAAACACCCATGACTGGAGTACAAACATTCGTGCTCATCACACAAATGAATGCCCCCAGTGGGACTCGAACCCGCTACCGCACTATTACTACTGCAGTAAGTAGGGTCACTACAAACTGAACCAAATCTATCGGCAAATATGTCATATTGTTTCTAATACTTTTTACGTACTTACTTATATATCATCAATAGATGTGCTATTTATGAAGCGATTTGCGTGCGCATCAAATACTACTACTACATCTATTTGGATGTTGAAAATTGGAAATCTACAAAAATAGCGAACACCCTAAGTCTTATTCCTCTTCACACCCTTCCCTTATCGCCTGTAATTCCTCAACGAAAGGCCATTTAAAATCAGTTAAGCTGACCCTGAAGTTTGATATCAGAAAGACAACACATTTTTAAACGTTTATCTAAGCAATAGCTCAATAATTATAAAAGTACCCTATGAACTCAATGCGCCGTAACTATTTTGAAACTATAGATAACTACTAACCGTGATAACGTGTAACCGTATTCCTTTTATTTTCAAAGTCTTATGTGACGACGCGACGATGTGTAATTTTGATGACTTATTTGACACAATTTTGATCATGTAAACGAGCAAACAAAGCGCACTTTGATATAGACGTTAATCAAAGTGGACTTGGACTGTGGTCTACTTTTCTCAAAGCCTGCTTTGACAAAGTAGTTTTGATGACTACTTTGATCGTGTAAACGAGCAATCAAAGCGCGTTTTGACGTCAGTGTTCAATCAAAGTGGACTTTATCAAAGAGAACTTCGTTTCAAAGCTTTTTGTCAAACCTAATTTGTCAAAGAAAACATTGAGCGTGTCAATAATTATCCAAGTAAACCTTGATCAAAGCTGCTTTGTCAAAGCAGACTTTAAGCGAGGTAACGCGGCTTGTGTGCCACTTGAGCATTACTTACTTCGTGTAATAGAAATGTCACGTTAAACTGACCAATAAATAAACAGACATTAACACAAGGTTGGAAAGTTTGATTTCACGTGAAAGCAATATTTGGACACTTTGATAAGAATCCTAAAACAAACCTGACATCGGACTACTAGTTAGTAGTTTTTGGACGAAAGTGTAGGTATATCCATGTTGTCGGCGATGGAAAACCTATCTTCGAGTAACGTGTGTATTAATATAGGGACAATGTCATTTTAGCGTATTATGAATAATTGTTGTAAATATGAAATCTCATTCTTATTAGATTTATTATGTTAAAATAAGTTCTAATTAGTGTAATAAGGTTAGTTTAGAGTATTTTTTGCTTATTTGAATCATATAAGACTATTTAACATTAATTTGAAAGGAATAGGTACGTAAGTAAAATGTTAGCATATAATTACGTAACTTGAAAATGAGATTTTTTGTTTCTTGCAATAGCATAATAATTTATGTTTTAAATAATAGATTTTATTATAAAACTTATAATAAAACAAGAATTAGGTCGATAGGACTATCCGTTCAAAAGTTATAAGGGAAAATGTATAGTAAAAATGTAGCAACCTAGAAATTTAGATATTTTTGTTTTAAGACTTTTTTAATTAATTATTATATATTGAATATTATGTTTTAATATTGTATAATAGTATGTAAGGCATGTAAATAAATAAATATGTGTAAGGTGTTTTACTGAAAACATAAAATAAAAGGACTCTCAGGGTTTCGGTTTAGGGAAATTTTACTCGAAAAATGAGCTCAAAGTACGCGGCTCTCTGTAAGGTATTAACGGGCCAAATAAAAGGCGAGCCATTTCTCGATTCGAGTCAGTCGCAAGACAGCCCCCGAAGAGGCAACAACTAAAAGGAAAAGGAAGAACCGAAACCAAGAGAGAAAAAAAAGGAAAAATTGTGTTTTTATTTCATCGCCTCTTAGTATAGTCTCCTGTCAACGAAGAAACCCTAGTGGATCGGGACCCAAGCTACGCATTCAGGGGTGCGTGGTGGCGTACATTACCAGCGAACGGACATACTGCCGTGTACGCCAAGAACGTCTGGGAGATTGTCCCAGGTCGACCTCCGGGTACTAGACATACCCTGGTTCTGGTCGTCCGAAACACATGTGTTTGTTACTCCTCCACGCTGAAACGGCTGAACGGATATATATATTTGTCTAATAAACATCTGTCTAATAAATTCTTAACTACGCCCTGGAGTATCACATACACTGTTAGGTACTGTTAGTAAACACATAGACATGTGTGTGAACATATAGACAAATTAGGTACCCACTACCTAGGGATGCACCCGAGCGAAGCGAGGGTAAGTTGCTTGTCACAATATCATTAATCTATACATATAATAAAATTCTAACTGAGTCGAATCTGTACGTCTAATATTTTTTGGAAAATCTTATTGAAATAGCCATTATTATCGATGCAGAGGACGATTTTATAGTTTTTAGAACTTTTGTCTGCCTGTCTGTCTGGGGACGCATCCCGACAAAACCACTGGACAGATTTTGACAAAATTTGGTATGATGATACTGGATATCCAGGTCATACAGGATACTTTTTACTGCGGGAAAATACCTCATCTCTGAGAAATCTACGTATATTGACCGCTAAAACGTTCCTAGGTACGAACCCAAGCGGAGCGAGAGTGAGTCGGTAGTATAAATTTACGAAGTAAACATAAAACCATAAATAAGCAATATTAATAAATAAATACTTTACATAACATTAAACATTTTTGCTACACGACTCCGTAAAATAAATAAAGAAAACATATTACTAACCGCCATTACAGCGATATCAATATATAATATTCACAACAAAACAAAATGCATTCTAAAGCTAAACATCACATTACGTCCGTCGCAACTCGATCCATCGTTTCCTCCTTCCCGTCGGGTCCCTCTAGCTATGTTTACTCATCAAACGATATTCATTACAAATTATATAAAACTCCATTGAAAACGTATTCCGTGAAGATAAAAGGCGATAGTAGTGTTTACTTTGACCCTACACCGACCCCTGATATTGAATGAGATTTTCGTCATTTGGAGTGCGACGTGCGAATCGCGTACAATGAGGGCCGATTTGTGACCGACAAAATGAATTGGTGTGTGATACTTGTGTGTCTGTTCGTTGCAAGTGCTCGTGCATCAGGGAGTATGTATTTTTTTATATTATTTCCTATATAATATTATTAATCAGTTTCTAAATGACATTTGCTAGATCTCGGACGTTAAACACGTGTGTAGAAGTCCCAGTAACATTAGCAGGATAATATTATAGCCCAAATAGCCTCATTATTGAGAATCTTAACAAATCGTCGGTATTATTGAGAGCCAAGCTATGAATTTTCAAATATAAGATTGACTGTAACTGTAAAAATTCCCTAACCTATTTGACATTTGTTATTTATCCATACTAAAGACAGACATATTACTTATCAGTCTCTTTATTTTCTCTTAAAAACTTCAAAATTTATAGAACCAAGTTATGCCTCTATTAGATAACAAAGAACACAATTAAAATTAAAGTATTGTATTCATCTAAATTTAAAAACAACTTAATTATAATTTAATTAAATCGACTAATTACTTATTATTATTTAAGACTGGTATTAGCTGTGTTCTACTTGTAAATGTGTAAATACTAAATCCCATCAAGTCAGAATAAAAAGGAAGGGTTATCATAGTTTATATATATATAGTTTCTGTAAGTGAAAATGTTGAGGTCTTTTCACAGTTAAAATTCGATTGAGAAAACCTCTTGAGATAAAATTAGAAGTTCAATCATAGGAAACTTCTTGGTTTTCCTCAGAGATCTATACTGAATTGTTGACTTCGAAGTTTCCATTCTCTTAATGTGTTGTGTTTGCTTCGTAATAATATTGTATTCATGATAAGTATTAAGCTTAAACTTTAGATTGAAATTGCGTTTTATTGCATGAAAATATTATTGATTCTCATATAGACCGGAGTGCAAGAATTTAAAAATAATGATACATTTTATAAGTGTCGTTGTCTAAACCAAACTGATATTTAAATTAATACAAAATGAATGAAAAGAATATCTTCCACGTTCACAGAGGCCATCTTCTATAGATCACGAAGTTTAAAAGGTTAATGTTGATGATTCATACATCTTTATTCTAAATCATATACAATTTATCTGAAGTACGCAATATTTTGATAATTCTAATACGTATTGAATATTTTTGCTCTTGATATATTTAAGAATGATTATTCGAAGTTGGAAAAGGAAAAAACAATAGGCGGCCTATAAATAAGTTACGACTTACGACAAGTACTTTTACGAGTCGTTAGAAACACTTAAGGAAATGCATCCATATTCAATTTTATTTTATAGTATTTTTTGCGAGTACATATTTATATTCTACGAGGCACTGGCTGGAAAGATAATATAATGCAACGATATTTTGTACCTATACTTCTTCAACTGTTCATCATGTTTTTTACTAAGTTCCAAGTTATTTTATTTTATACTAGGTATCAGCTGCCCTTACTTTACTTAATTATACTTCGACTCAACTTTCAAAAGTGTTCCGTTGTACTAAAAGCATCTCTTATCAGTCCAAAAATTTGTTTATACAAAAATCAAATCCTTCTTCGTGAATGATTTGCAATTGTAATATATATTGATAAAATACTATAATTGACAGTTTAGTCACATGCGCTAGAACATGGTAGGAACCGCCTAATGTACTAGAGGTCAAGGGTTCATAAACAAGCGTGGGACAACTATTTACATCTGTTCAAATTAAAATATAATTCTAATCTATGTATATATTTAATACGTGAAGAGGAAACTTTGACCCCCTTTTTAATCATATTGCATGTAAGAAGTATGAGCTTTGGCATAGTTAAAATGTATATAGAGAAGGACTGCAGAAAGCCAAAATTTATCGACTTTCTTTTACCCGCGAATCGGTTCGTGAATTTTATTTACATTATTTTACTGCTAAAAGATATAGCCTAATGTTAGATAACTTTCATCAACCAGCCAGTTAACTGTGTTTTACAGTATTGAAAAATTTTCTTTAGTTGTCTGTTGTGACACAGTTCACCAGCAACACACGGATCGTGCCCATCGTGTTAATTAAATCATCGTGCAAATTAAAAAAGTAACATTAGGTGCCATCTCCAAATGAATATTTAATTGGGAAGTCCCTTGACAAGTCATTCAGTTATTTTCAGTTTCAGTCATCTTGCAATCAAAAAAAAAAAATTATAAAATTTTTACGTATAAGGTCACTGTCTCTTAATGAAGACCCTACTCACCTCTAAGAGCACCAAAATTCCTTTATCGACCTAAATCCTTACAGATATTTCATTTGCGTAATTGTGTTTATTGCTTTCAAAGAGTAATAAGGGTATGGGAGAGGTTTCGTCCAGCAGTGGACGGCGATAAACTGAAGAAAAAAATGCACATTAATAATATAAATGCACAACTTTGTTAGTGGTAGTAGTGTTTTATTACTTTTTATGTCATTTCTGCTCGATAGGTTTAAACGATTTTTTTATTATAAAAATGCATATATGTACTTATTATTGGCGAATCTACCATACAAGCGAAGCTACGTGCAAAAAGTAGTACGAACATACAAGCATGTAAAAATCTATATAAAATAATTATACAGTGCCACTGTTTCATAGTTCAAATAATATCCGGTGCAATATTACTAGATATAGATAATTGACAGTAATTAGGTTAAACAGGCATCAACTATGCACATGAAGCAGGCAATTAGTTTGTTTATTTAGATTTGTATTCGGTGTCACATCTACCATTATTTAATGTCCTGTTGCAAATACAGATAATAACTAATTTGTATATTGGACCTTTCATTTATTGGACTTGAACTAATTTATCGAATACTAGCGACTCACCCTCGCTTCGCTCGGGTTCGTCCCTAGCTTGATTCCCAATAAAAACTTTCATCCCCTTAAGGGATGATTTCCGGCATAAAAAGTATCCTATGTCCTTCCCAGGGTTTTAAACTATTTTCTTACCAAATTTCATCTAAATCGGTTCAGTAAATTCAGAGATTACCCCCTATAACGTCACAACAAACTTACAAAACTTTACCTCTTTATAATATTAGTATAGATGTGATATTTATTGAAATCATTGAAAAGGACTTCTATACTTTGGACTACCTTTTATTACTATAAATTATTAGCGATTCACTGAAGTGTCTAAGAATAAGTAGTAAAGTACTAGATACATAATCCCATGCAAAATTTCTCTTAAAACTGTCACCAATTGTGTTCGAGTATTTAATAATTATTCTAGTTGACAGAAATATACAACATTGTAATTTGAACCTTAAATGCGATACTTAAAGTTGTTTTCACAAAAAATAAATAAAAGCGCGCTCCAATGTTCAAATGAGCGCTTATTAGGTGAGGACATTTTTTGTAGCTGATTGTATAATATCTAGTTTTAGTATTTTTTGATAGATGGTGTTACTACAACTCATAGTGTAGCTGTGTACTAAATTTTATTCAAATCTGTTCAAGCGTTTCGGCGTGAAATTACAACAAACATGCACAAACGTACATACAAACGTTTGCTTTTTATAATAGGAATGCGTTTAGCGGATCCTCTCGCGTATTTGACACGTCGATGTAATGTATAGGGATAAGATATAAACTATCTTCATTCTGAATTTACTGAATAAAAAACTGAATTTACTCAACTCCGTTAAGCCGACGTAACTTAAATAAGTTAAAAACTTATTCACCAACAAACTCTCACATATTGTAGTATTAGTATGACAGTTTAACTTGTTTATTTTCTTATCTAGGTACATGAGTAGGTATTTCTAACTCATATTCTCATCCCCCTTTAATCTACTTACAATTAATTTAACTACAACGGTTTGATTATTACTTATTTCCTAGCATCAATTAAATTTAATGTTTATCTATTGGTTTAAATTTTGACCTAATTAAAAACTATTTTAACGAATTAATAATAAGACAGATAAGATTTTGTCGCTTTTAACGTCTACATTTTAATGTGCTTCCTAACTAATACGCATTACTTGTCCATAAGTCTTGCACTTATTTCACAGATATACTGTTCTATTATAATAATTAAAATTCTAGCTCTATCGTACACTTGGGTTAGCTAAACAACCCCCCCCCCAACGTGCGTTCACCTTGTCGTGGTGGGGGGGGGCTCAGTAGTGCCCGGCAACCCAACCGGGCGCGAAGCCAAGAAACGCACAGGGAGGTGGCCCACTTCGGTGGGCGGTGGGAGGCGCCCTCTTCGGAGGGCGGTGAATCATGCGGGTTGCTCCTGGTACTTCTCTGATAGCAGAGTGGACCTTGGAGCAACCCCGTGGTTGTTGTGGTCTGCTTCGGCAGACCTGCCGTCGGGGCGTCGTAGTTGAATGCGTAAGCGATCCTGCGACGCCTCATTAAGACGGGGGAAGGCTTTGTTGGGTTTTAGTGGGTAGTACTGGCTTTGCCGGTGAGTCCCACACATCGTGCGTAAATGCATTTCCCAACGTTAAAAAAAAAAAAAGCTAAACAAAATTGAAGTGTCTGTTTGTTGTCATAGTAGCAGCTTTTTACTAAATACCATGAACGAATTAAGTCGTCCATGCTAAATACATATGAAATTATAAACGTGCGTTATAAGAAAAACCCAATTTTTAAAATTATTGTCTATTTGTACCGACTAATCTCTGAAACGGATGGACTGATTTTGACGGTAATTTCAGTGGCAGATAGATAAGAAACAGAATTATGGTTCTGCTCAAACAAATTAAATCATACTTACCTAGAGCGAAGGGAACTTCTGTGAAATAGGTCCATAGCTTTCAATAGTAAACTTTTTTACAAACATTCGTCGCCATATTGCTTTATTAACTTATAACAGTGCATTCATAGATTGTCCCTATTTTTATATTAAAAAGCGCACTGAGAACTCCTGTATGTACATACAGAATACTCGTAGGATTGAATAGTATTTTATTGTTATTCCTTGCGCTAGGGTGATTATTCCGTGTCGTCGGCTCTCAATACTCAATCATTCCGCATTCAACAAGGATTTCCAAGCGACAGCACAAGATATTCATATTTGTACTGCAATACAATATGTTTGTTAAATTATTATTTTAAACGAATTTCTCGCAAAAACTCTATTTTACTTCAAAAGAGAGTGCTCGAGAAAATAATTTTAAATGCAATATTAATTTTATTTCAATCAACGATAGGTAAGTTATAATAAATACGAAAATGTGTTTCTTGATATTTTTTTTGCACGCCGTAACAGAGCAACGAACCGTCCTGATTTTGCATAAATATAATTTATGGGCTAAATTGACGTACTTGGGCTATTTCTATTCTCATGTATTTCTTGTGGGACAAAAGTCTGTTATCAAAAGGTACTTAGTAATACTACATTTAACTATATTATTTACCGATTATGAAATTAACACAAACAAAAGTACAATATAAAGTTAAACTCAATACTTTCTTAAATTTACGCGAATATTTGACATTTTAAATATAATTTTGTTTGGATTTATTAATTTATTTGGATTTTTGGTTCCCCACGTTTTGAATGCTTTACAGCAATCATGGTCACGGGAGAGACTAAGGTGTTAGATGTCTCTAAGGTATTATCTATATAATACCTTTACAGACAGCCTACCCACAAATAACGAAACGTCATGAACCAAAAATTTAAATAAATCCGCGAAAAAATCCGAAAAGATCGTTTTATTTAAAAGTTGAACTTCTTATTTAGTTACAAAATTCCTATCAGTCATAAACAAAATTGACGTTTTGCTCGAACAACAATAACATATTTAGTTAGTATTTTCCCATATTATCTTCTCATTTCTCATTCGGAGAATTGATTAGTAAAAAAACCTATTTCCTTGCATACAATATTTCGTTGAAAAAACAGAAGTTATTAACTTTTACACATTCTTTTAATATTCTGATTATGTGTATTTTATTTAAGTCACAAAATTAATATTATTATTGTAAATTACAAAACTAATTAAAGTAATTTGCTAACAGTTCCTGCAGAGTAGAGTGCCTGATGTAGAGTACAGGTTCGATTTTTTCAGAAAGAAAAGTTTTGACTGAAAAAATATTTTTACCAGTCTTAAAATATATTGCGTCGATATAAACTAAAAGTACGGACTAAGGATTAAAAAAATAGTCTCATATTTATTGAAGTGGAAACCACTAGTTTAATTTAAGGAGCATTTTCCTTTAAACTTGAAAGTAATATAGCTATTCATAAATGTACAACTTATACTTTCAGAAGTAACACACTACAGCAAGTATACTTATTATTTGGATAGATTGTTCACTTAGATAGTGGCTATGAAAATCAAGGCGATTTAATCTATACATATAATAAAATTCTAACCAAGTCGAATCCGTACATTTATTGAAACATACAACACAAAACACGAAAAATTTATTGAAATACATTATCGATACAGAGGCCAAATTTATAGTTTTTAAAATTTTAGTCTGTCTGTCTGTTACCGCATCACGGAAAAACCACTGGAGGAATTTCGATGAAATTGGGTATGACGGTAGATAGGTCAACCGGGTCAACATATAGGATACTTTTTACTGCGAAAAAAGGCCCCTACACTGTTGAGTCCAGCCCTGCTATGTATACATAATATAATTTAAAGAAGTTTGATAATGATTTAATACAAGTTAAACGCCCTTGCGTCTCTCGAGTTTAATATGACATAAGCCATCATCCATCTCCACATTTAGGAAAAGCCCACGGTAATGACATGACGCTTTTGTATTTGATAGCAGATATATATCTGTGTTTATTTAACATAAATTTGTGTACCTACTGAATTGGATTTTATTTCAAGCGTAAAAATAAGACCTAGTTTATGCGATGGTCATACAAACGATCCCGATTCTAAGCGTAATCCTGAACTAAACGTCCGTTTTCTATGTTTCGGGGTAGCGTTGCGTAACTGTTATCCTTTCACTCGAGTAACTAACACCGAACTGATCCTTTGTGACAAGGGTGAGATAAACATCTCCAGAATTTTCGGATAGAAAATGGACCGTTTCGTTTTTCTATACATAAAGTTGGAAGGTTAATTTTCTGCAACTCTGCTTTGGTCAATAAATATTTATGTGTCTTTGTTATTCGTTTCTATTTATCATTGTTTAATGTGATATACTTAGTAGCTTATTTTTATGTACTAATCATTACCTAATTGATGTAAGGAAATGCTAAAAATAAAATTAAGTAGATACTTAAGTAGATAACACAATCTGTACAGTGATAAAACCATTTTTAAACGTCAACTATTTTACATATTGTAATTTTTTTAAAGCCTAAGAAGTTTGATTGATATATAAGAAAATTGAGAATAAATTTTATAATTCTTTTCAGTAATCGTAAAGTATAACTGACTTTTTCTTCTTTTCATCTTGTGAAGATTTATGTAAATATATACTACTAGAACTCATTTTCGATACCACTCATGTTTTACAATAAAAAAAAACTAAAAAAAAACCACTTCTAGGCTCAGACCAATAAAAAAGTATTTTTTAATGATCTAAGCTTCCAGGCACTTAAATGTAAAGAATAACTAAACGGGGGTTTTTATTTTGAATAGATACCTAATCAGATATTTTCGAAGTCGGTGCCTAATAAATGAAAACATCTATCCAACAACTTTGTCAGAAATAATGTTTCCTAATTAGTTAAATAAAAACATTTTATAAAGCCCTTATTAGATATCTTTATTTCTTTAATAAACAGAATGACTAGATAACAATTTATGACAAAGTTGATAGATAGATGCTTCCATACATAGATACTGAATAAATTAAACGACTTGGTTTTACATTAGATCTCAAAACTTTTTGTGAAAGAAGAACTACGTTGCGACTTGCGGGACTTGCATTTTTTTATATGTTATATTTGTCATGGGTTACGCTATTACGTATTTTTTTTCATTTCAGCTCAATAGATCAGCTCTTATAGATTTATGTTAAATTTAATACAAGTATATGGTAAATATATTTATTTTAATTATATTATTTTAAATTTGTCAATTTTCAGATTCATTGAAAGATCCTTATATTTGTGGACCTCCAACGTGTGCACGTAAGTTCTCTTAAAGTAACAGTTATATATTTTTATAGTACCTATTTATAAAAACATCATCTTTTTATCGGAAAGCCTGTATAATAAATATATAATAATAAAATCAAAACATCAGATTTAAAGGTAACTGAAAAGTCATGGTATAATGTTTAGGTATTAGATAAATTAGCTACACAAATATTCTGCCCTAGCTAAACATTTATATTTTTCTATTCAAACATAAAAATATATAACGGCACCAGGAGGAAGGTACAGGGAAGTGCACTTGCACCCACCTAGCATAAAAAAATATTGAAAAAAGGCTTAACCCCTAAACTTAAGGGCCAAATTTATACACGTTTAACTTTTTTAGCGGTATTTATATACAGGTATTCCCCACAAATTGTAACTTATATACTTACATACTTAGTAAGTATGTATATCTATCACAGTGTAATATAATCGCAAAATTTATAGAAATTTGCTCAGTACCACCAAAATCAACAGTATTATAAACAAACACCGAAAAATTTGATGAAATATATAATTTCCAGAATCTCCCACCCGCAAATAAAACTTGCCCGCAAAATAAAATTGTTGATACATTATATTTTAACATCCTTTTTAATAATTAGATTAGAGATTTTTAAGAATTAGATATGTTATGAAATATGAATTGATTTACTCGTTTCAAAACGTTTTTAAAGATACTTCAAATAGGCGACTCAAAGAAACCTATTTCGAGTAGATCTTTATGTAAACATATACAAAAGCTATTATAAATAGAGAGGAAATTGAAAATTACATTTAAAACAGCTCAGTTCAGAGCTTTTAGTGACCACTTCACCTTTAGTGCGTGAATTTGACATTATCAGCTTAAAGAAATGTCATTTTGACAGAATGTACATAATCATCTGTCATAAGTTTGTTTTGTAAACAAACATAATATTAAACCACGTATCAGCTCATAAACGGAATAACGAAAAATAAACTACAAAAATATATTTTTACCTTTAATGATTAAGAAATATTTAAATTTATTAATTTATTTAAATGTAACAAGTAAAAATAGTAGGTAATACCCAATTTTAATAGAATAATAGACATGTCTATATTTTTCTGTAACAGACTCCGAGAAATTCAAGTACTTAACTCAAATAATATATCACTATGAATATAAAGTAAATGTGGAAACTTATTTTGCCGGCTCCAGCAACAACCGTTCTACATTAAACGTTAAGGCTGAAGTAAGTATTCTATAATATAATTATTTATATTAAAAATATTTATATGGAAATAACAATACATTTTTTCGCCTAGGTGGTGGTTCAATTCATCAAGCCCTGTGAAGGACTACTACAGCTAAGTGATGTAGTTTTATTGGATCAAGATGAAAGCTACCCAGTCGAAAGAGCTGAAAAATTCATTAATGCAGTTTCTTTATATGATCTTAGGTATAAGAATGAACTCAAAAGTTATCTGAAAGCAAAAACTTTAATATTCAATATACCTACTTCTAAATAAAACATTGAATAAAAAAATTAATTTATTTTATAGCAAAAGCTATTTTCATAAACATTAATTTGTAATTTTATTTAATGATAAATCACTAAATTAAAAAGTGACTTATTGCAAATGTGTTGAATTTTCGTCTAATTACAGATTTTCGTTTCACGATGGGATTGTATCTGAGATATGTCCCAATGAATTGGAAGAAGATTGGGTCCTCAACTTTAAAAGAGCTGTATTATCTCTCTTTCAAAATAGCATGAAGAGGTTTGACATAAACTTTAAAGGGGTTGAGGTAAGTTACTTAAATGTTTACTATGACAACATTTGTACACACACAACCACAACCCATAGATGAAACCAATTTGATTTGCTAGAACATTTTGTTTACTGCGGCCTAGTTCATTAATTCACTTCTACAATTAAAGTATGATAATGCAGTAACTAATTTTTACTAAGGTTTTTACCAATATTTGAAATTATTAGAAATACATCTTTTTTCATTCCATGGTTGGTCTATTCATCCTTATTAAGATATTTTTTTCTAAACATAACAAAAATCATTACCTACTTCAAAATGTCCACAAGGTCAATTATTTTTAAGAATAAATAATAAATAACCACCATAAAATATACAAAGGTATTGCAAAAGTAAGAAGAGTATAATATGCTGAATACAGAAAAATCAAGTATACATTTTTTGAATAAAAGAAAAATATTTGTTTTGTAATGTGATTTACATTTTACATAGTATGTATTTCTAATAAGAACTTAATTAAAATAACAGAAAATAATAAATAATTACAGCTTTCGAACAATTTTTATTTTTCAACAATTTAAAAATATAAACTTACTTTTAATATACATATATGGATGGCTATAAAAATCTTCATATTAAAATTTCAGCAAGACATCCATGGAACATGTAATGTTGACTATGTGGTGAGGGGACAAGAAAATACCAGCCTAATACTAGTTAAGACACGCGACTTATCACAATGCAGAGATAGATATAAATATATGTCTATACTACAAACTGTTAGATATGATTTTCAAAGTGTAAGTATACATATATGTCATTAAGGATCTTTTTGAATTTTAAACATTAGATTAGAACATTATGTACTCTATATATTGTTTTTATAATAATAACTATTTCTTTTCAGAAATTTCAAACCTGGCCAGTTCTAAAATCAGAAAGCAAATGTCGCATCTCAGTGGATCATCACATTTACAAATCAGTTAACTGTAAAGAAAGGCATTTGTTTGAGCCTTTCTCAGGCAGAAACTCGGGAGCGATGACTACAGTTATTCAAGATTTGACACTTTTAAAAGAAGTCAACAAGACTGGCACAGAAACTATGGACACTGAAAACAAAGGTTAATATGGCTGACGGATGACCATAGAACTATTTTTTTTTAAATTAGAAATGGGCTTACTTTGGACCTTCATCTTAGCTGGAAGGCACAGATGAGGTCTACGATGTAGCGAGTTTTCCCAAGACCTAGAAAGTGGACTGAGCAATACTGTCATGAAGTTGATCACTTTCTAGAAAGAGAGAAAGCGAACGTGCGGCCAATACCTGGCTTTTATTTCAATTTGAATTTATATTCATTCTCAGCTGACGTCTGGCAAAGAAACACTCAGTCCACACTCTATGTCTATGGGGATGACCAAGAATATTTAAAATTAGAATAACAAATATTTATACTTCTAAAATCTAAATTGATTTAACTTAACTAATAGGAAACCTAATATGAGAACAAAATTAAAACAATTACACAAAAGATAGCAAATTATTTTGGCCTGAACATTGCAGTCAATTTGCTTACTATACCAATACTTTTTATATTTCATTCAATTCTCTCGCAATAAAATCGCTAACCTAAACAAATACTATATCAACTTTTGTTAAAACCTATTTTAAGTTTTCACTTAATATAAATAATTTGTCAAATCGTGTAATAAAATATCATGCAATTACAATCATGCTATTACTTGTCGCTATTTAATAGAGTTCATTTTGGTTTGCAGTGTGGGCTGTCATACAAAAACGATCAAATATTCTACACCATCATTCCCCAAATGGACGATCGGATACCGGTGAATTGAAATCTGCTCGAGATGTACTAAAATTACTTTGCCTGTGAGTTTTAGCTAATTTTATTTATTTCAGAATACCCTGTTTAGAGATTTCAAAACTAGTTTAGTTTCAATTTTCTTCACTAGAAGAATATTTTATAAATTGTATATTTTAAATAAAGAAAGTATTAAATTGTATATTTTTATTTATGTAACTAATTTATACGGTAATTTAGGTAAATAAGGTTCAAACATTTTTCTATCGGACCTATAATTATGTATTATAGCACAAGATAGCCTCCATCATGACGACACGTTTGGCTCAGTTTGTAGTGACCCTACTTGCTGTGCTGTGCGGTCGGGAGCATTCATTTGTGTGATGAGCACGAATGTTTGTACTCCAGTCATGGGTGTTTACATTTATAATGTGTATGTATGTATGTATATATATATATATATATATATATATATATATATATATATATGTAGTGTATCAACCATCTGGTATCCATAATACAAGCTTTGTGCTTACCATGGAACTAGATGGTGCTGTGTCTTAATGTCCCAACATATTTATTTATTTATCATCATGTTGAATTTGGTGGGCATTGTCTGTACAATGAAATGTTTTATTTTATTGTATACACATTGCTATTATATTTTTCTACTAAAACATATATTTAAATTTTGAACTTTATATTTACATATATTTTAAAAGACCGATTAGTATTGAACAGTGTTGGTCTGAGAATTTGTCTCTACACCGTCGTGAGTTTGAGTTCCACTTCAGCAAAATGTACTAGACATATAAGGTCTTATCGCAACTTGGTTATAATTAAGTACTTTTCTTCTTCTACTAACCGAATTCAAAGTAAAAGAGGTAATATATTTATTTCAGAGTGAAACCAAGTTCAGATGACGAAACGTCGACAGTGGATGAGAATATGGATAGTGGGTCCACAGTAGGACTTTGGGGCAGGCTTGTACGGTCCGCAAGAAAACTGCATCATCCTGCATTAGCTCAGTTGTTGTCTAGAGCTCCCACTTTGTGTTCTAGTGCTTCGTGAGTATTTCACAATTTAGATTTTTATTCTTGCTTTTAGTTTGATGATGACCATCAATGTACTCTAAATAGAAATATGTAAATATATTTTTAATTAATTTGCTTGTAAGCCATGGTTTCGTAAAATGTCTGCCTTTTTATTTTTATTTTTTTGGAAATAAATGGGTTTGACTTCCAGCTTGAAATTAAATTTTCGCAATCTAATAGTAATAATTTTTGCAAAAACTCTTTTGATAATTTTTCGCTAAGTCAAAAACTTATCTTGTGTACTTTTACGATAAAAGAGAAACGAAAAATCATACTAAACGCCCTAACAGATGAATAAACAGATGAAATATCGAGAACTTCTAGTTATGATGACATGTAATAATAAAATCCACAAGATGCCTGTATATTTATATAAATATATGTTATATAAACATCTCAACAGAAAACACATCCTAGACGCACTCCCATACATAGCAAGCACAGGCTCAGTGGAACTCATCAAGAATATGATAATCAACGACGAAGTGAACAAAGACACCAGGCACGAGTGGCTCATGTCGATGGCCATGATACCTCGGTGAGTTATTTATTTTATCTATGGCTGAATATGTTTTTTTTTTTCAAAAATATTTTTTTCCTAAATGGTATTAATTATTGTTTTTGATCACTTTAGTTGTTAATCTCTATAGTGTTTTTATCATTTGACGACATATTGGCATATAATATGTAATCAACTGACATGCTTGAAAAACATTAATAATAATTAAAATAATTGAAACAAATAAATGGATAAACCTATATGTGAAAATATATCTAAGAATTATATGAAATTAAGTTAATAATATTTATTCTATTTTATTACCATATGTGCTTGAGTGTGTGCACGTGTGTGTACACGCGTGTTGTGTGTGTGCTTTTTATTATTTAATATAAATTTATTGATATATTAAATGTACTTATTTCAGTCCCAAATTAGAAATGTTGAATAGCATGCTAGAGCTACTACAAAAGCAAAAAAACGACAGAGTGATAAGCTTCACAGTATCCTCTATGCTGCATTCCTATTGCAAACACAGCGGGAAATCACGTAAGCATTCAAAGTAACAGATAATATTCATTTTACGCGCTAAAATTCCACAAATGTAGAAAAAAACTTAAATATAAACATACATTCAACGATGTTTTAAAAATTAATAAAATTAATAAGATATGATGTATATGAAACACAATAATTACTATAAGAAAATCTTAACACCTAAAAAGTTGGATAGATTTTAATTAACACATTATACCAAAGAACATTACTATTAAACTAGTTCGACATTTAAAATTAACCATATTAATAAAACTAGCAATAGGGAGCTACAAGGCTATAGTAGGGAGCTATAAACACACGGGCGGATGGATGTACTCATGTAGACAATAATAACGTTGCGAGTAAGGTATTATACATATAAATTCAAATTTATTACGTGCAATATATATATATATATATATATATATATATATATATATATATATATATATAGTATTTTTTACTCTTTTTTACTGGTCACTCTATCCATAATGTGTCTTTCCATTCTACGCGACATTGGTGAAGTAAATTGTGCCCAAATGACACTCCTATGAGATATTGAACGAAAGAATTGAATTATTTATGGTGTTTCATATTTCAGTTCGAGAATGTTGCGAAGAAGAAATCCCAAAACAAATAGTAGAAGAATTTCATAGTATTATTGTTGCAATTATTGAAAAAGGAGTTCCGAATGCAGAAAGAGCAGACAGAGATAGTGTGAGTTTGATTAAAAATACATATTTACGTTAAGAAAGATAAAAAGAAGGAGAAAAGAGAAGGACGTTATAAAATTAACGAATTTTTTTAGCATGACCACCCATAAATTTTTACAGTGCAGCTAGATTTTGATAAATTTGTTTTACGGGATAGGGTAGAGACCAAGAAGTCGCTTTCATTAGTAGATTTTCAGCTTCAAATGCACACGCCGATTTAATGCTTATTACTCATTTTAGCTTAGGAGCCTATTTTTTAAGATTAAGATGAAAAATGTCTATTTATCAATTTATTTTCTTCGATTAATTTTTCGCTAAAATTGTTATTCTATATCTTTGCAAAATTAAGTCTTTCTGCCACACCTACCAAAAACGTCCATCTTGTATATTTTTTACATCAGCCATGTTATTTTTAGCTGGTAATAGCTGTGAAGGCACTAGGCAATATTGGTGGATTTAATCAGAAAATCAGCAATACATTACTAAGTATAGTGGATGATGCGCTCATACCGGTATCTGTGAGACTGGTGGCTATAGATGCGTTTAGACGAACCCCATGTGACGAAACTCGGTAAGAAAGGTTTTGTGTTTATTTTTTCAGGACAGATTATAATTTTTTTTTTGTGGGATATATAAAATACAACAACTTATAACACATTAAGCATTTCTCTAACTAGACGATATTCCAGTGTCAGTAAGTATGTATTCAGGCCTTTTTAACGTCCCACTGCTGGGGGTGGGCCTCTCTTCAGTACGAGGGGAATCAGGCCACAGTCCACCACGCTGGCCAAGTGCGGGTTGGCGGACTTCACGTATCTTTTGAAAACTTGCTAGGTTCTCTCAGACATACAGGTTTCCTCACGATATTTTTTTATTCATCGTTAGGAAAGTGGTAATCAGATTGGTAATGATTCGCACGTGAAAATATCAGATGTGTAAGACCCAGGATTTGAACCCGCTTCACTTGGTTTTCTAAGCGTGTCACCACTTGCCTTCCAATATTAGTATTGGCGATGAAATTTCATTAAGAAGGAATCGAACCTACTACCTCAGGTATATTAACCGGCGCCTTTACCCCTTCGTGCCTTTGTTATGCTCTATAATAGCTATACAATGCAATAAATTCAATCTGAAACCAGTTTGATGAATGAAACCAACATATTTTAATAAATAGTAACACAAGTAATGCAACATTTCTAAATCTCCATTCTATGTGATCTTGGCGAAGTAGTCTGAGGGCAACTGGCACGCTTTGAAGACATTAACAAGAACATTGAATTGAAATTAACATTTCTAAAGCGACCTTGCTTCCTGTACATATTTCTTTGTTATAATGTATTATAACATGTTATTTGACGACACGTTTGGCTCAGTATGTAGTGACCCTACTTGCTGTGCCAGTGGTCGCGGGTTCGAGTCCCGCTGGGGGCATTCATTTGTGTGATAACCGCGAATGTTTGTACACTAGTCATGAGTGTTTATATTTATAATATGTATGTATTTAAAGTTATATATTATGTGTGGATCATCAATCTGGTATCCTTAACACAGGCCTCGTAGCTTACCATGGAAATAGATGGTGCTGTGTGTTAATGTCCCAACATATTTATTTATTTATTATTTATTATAACATATATTTTTTCAGAGAATATTTTCTAGAAACATACCGGGCTAGTTTAGTAGACGTTGAAATTCGTATCGCGTCTTATTTGCAAATGATGAAATGTCCCGACCTCAGTACTATAAGAAAGATATTCCTAACTTTGAGAAATGAAAAGGTTAATCAAGGTAAGTAAATGTTTAACAGTCTTTTTACCATATCACGATAAAACATTTGAATAGACTGTCGGTCTCTCTCACTTAGACCACTGAACAAGTTTCTATGGAAGTCCAAGACAAACCTATATTGCATTATGGGGATGGGCTTAAGCTACATTATATCCTCGCTCGGGTAACCATGCGATTTAAGGCTTGACTTGATTATCTATACTAATATTACAAAGAGGAAAGATTTGTTTTTTTGTTTGTTTGTACTGAATAGGCTGCGAAACTACTGAACCGATTTCGACGAAATTTGGTAATAAGAAGGTACGAAAGTGTGTGTATGTTGTCACTTCACACTGAAAAGGTTGGATGGGTTTGAATGAAATTAGTACACAGACAGACTATCACCTTAAGTAACACATAGGCTAAATGTTAGACACCTGATAGTTATTAATAATTATGTAATGATGAAATACTAAACAGTGGCAACTTTCGTCTGGAGTCATCTCAACAATCTCGGCCAGTCGTCTCTACCATCCCGAGTGGAGATACAAGGACTTCTATCCGGCAACACAATGCCACAATTAGAAGACAATCCAGACTTTAGAATGTTTTCCAGAAATTACGAACAGAGTGTGTTCTTCGATCAGTATAATGCTGGTGAGTGTTCTAATATATTTTAAATGTTTAGAAATGGTTTAATGTATAATTAATGTCTACTAATCTTTTTATATGAGAGTCGGGAAACGAATTTAGGATTAAGCTGTATAATTTGTCACGAGATGGCATTACAGCAATGGCCAATGATTTCTACCTTAAACTTAGAAATCTTTCGCCATGAATATTAGTATTTTTGACAGCCCTTGTATTTGACCGCATTTCCGTTAAAATCAAATAGCCCAGTCGAATTAGGATTTGATATTGCAAAAATTTTTAACATCAATTTTCCTTCAGAATCCTTTGAGTCACTGGAAGTCAAAATTAAGATATTATTTGTTTATAAAAAATTGTAATTAACAAAGTTGTTTAAAATCAAATTTCCTACAATTTTGCTCTTATCCTTTACCGTGTGGTGTCCGACGTGCGTCCCAAAAATATGGACCTTAATATCATCACCTTAATATCAATATAAAAAAATATCGGCATCATAATTGTAGCAAATTACATTATCAACACTGATGGGTCTAGGAAAAAATTGATGAGAATCAATATTGTAAGAAATTTAATTTCAAACAACTTTTGTAATAGCTATTTTTGGTGTAAAATTGAAAATAAACGAGTTATTCAATAAAGAAAAATCAAACCTTAAATTCAAGATGGTGGATGACGCAACGGATCTTTTATCCCGAAGATCTAAATTTAGACTTCCAGTGCTGTTAAATTTTTTTGCAATGTTTGCCCCTTTTTTGAGCTAATTCGACTGGGCTAAAAGGCGATTACCTAGATAGAGTGATACTGTATTGATTTTCATACTGTGCTATATTATAAATATTAAGAAATTATTTGTGTTTACTCAAATGCGGTGACTTTTAACAAAATTAAGCAAGTGTGGTTTCAGGCAGTATCTTGTAATTAATAACAATTGTAGCGAAAAACACATAATTACCCAATGTGGGAATACAGTTACTAAGGCTTAAAACATGCCATCAAAAAGGCATCTCAATTTATATTAATAAAACATTTGATTAACCCTTCTTCAAATTAATTTTCAATATATTTTTGTATATTTTCATTATGTTCTTCTCTAGGTGGCAATTATGAAGCGAACGTAGTATTTTCACCGGACTCCTACATACCGAGGTCGGTATCGCTCAATCTAACCGTGGATATGTTTGGGGAATCAATCAATTTGCTAGAAGTAAGTTATTAATGATAGTTTTAAACCAAAATTAAATAATTGTCCTTCCGTCCGTTTTAATTGAATAATTAATTAATTAAATTCCTTAAGTTAAAATGTATCTTAACTTTAATGACGATCATCTCATACACTGACTTTGAAGTATGGGATAAATAAACACTAACTCCAATAGAATATTGTACACATCAGTTTCACCATATAGTAAAATCGTAAAAACTATGACATACGAAGTGATTCTTTAAATTGATATAACTTTTTTATTTATCAACCGAATGAAATTAAACAAATACTAAATATTAAGCGAGCTTACCACAATACATTAGTAAAAACCGCAGCCAAATCGGTTAAGCCGTTTCTGAGATTAGCGTGCAGAAGCGCACAGACAAACACACAAAACTCTAAAAATCTTTTTTTTTATTCTATTACGTTAATAAAAACCTCTAATAATTAATTTCTCAAATATTTTCCATATACAGACAGCGATCGGATACAATATTCATATATTTATAGATATTTAACTAACTTGACTTTTTCTTCTTAATGGATTCAGGTGCAACTAAACGACATATAGAAACTCTTTAAGTATTTCACATTTTTATATTATAATAATTATATTTCTACAATAACTTTTTTATTGTAGATAAAAGCCCGAGGCGAAGGTTTTGAAAGGTATTTTGAAAATCTGTTCGGCAATAACGGTCCTTTAAGCAAAAATAAGATAAAGGATAAAATAAACAAATTACGGTTTCTACGATCGACAAACGATGCCGAAGAAGTTCAAGAGAAAATTGATAACCTCAGTTATAAGAATAATGCGTTGAAACATCGATATCCGATGGCTGAACTTGGTTTTAAAGTGTTCGGCAATGAAATATCATTTTGGAGTGCCGAAGGAGATGAAGAAATCAGAAAATCGTTGGAAAGATTAAACCCTAAGTTAAGGATTTTGGAAATTTTATCAGGAAAAGTAAGCTAGTTTTATTCCAAATACAAAATTGGTTTATGTGTATGTATATACATGTACAACACTTATAACTCGAGAATTGCTGGACCGATTTCAATGATCTTTGATTTGTTGGATTCATCTCCGCCCCGATTAACAGATAACTATTAAAACATCAGAAAAAATATCGAAAAATATTTAAAATTTATATGGTTAACGCTGGCTAATAACTATTTATATCTATTTAAAACGTACCTTGAAACCCACTAGTGAGCCGGTAGTGTATAATGTACATATATAATATTTGTCCAAAAATATTTATTTGGATTTCATTCAGAGTAATTCTTATTTAGTATCTTAAATTCTGTTTTTAGATGAAAATAATTAATATTTAAATAATTTTTTCAGGAAATTTCTTACAATAAAGCGTCACTGTTTCTCGACACGACTTTCTCCGTGCCGACTGGGTGCGGTCTACCTCTTAACATGAATCTCATGGGCACCAGCTACGTAGATACCAAAATGTCGGGAACCTTCATAGATAAATATACACAATCCGGGAATTTAGATTTCGAAGGGAAAATACGACCTAGGTGAGAATATTTTATGAACAATAAATATTATTATTAATTTTGCTCATACTTACAATTTGAGACGTTAATATCGTTAATCTTCCATGACAAACTATATTTAAAGGAATATCATAAAAATAGATTATCCTAAAATACCACGCCATGAAATAAATCTATAATTTATCTTTTCTGAAATCTATAATTATTATGCCAATACAATACAATTTATAAAATTTTAAAATTGTTCTAAATTGTAAAAAATATATGATTGAAAATTAAAAAAAAAGAACTTTAATGGTAAACTTTTTAGAACTATTACAGATATACATATTTACTTTTTTACGTGTATTTATTTACTTACACGTAAAAAGCTGTATTTTTTTGGAATGGAAATAAACAATACAAATACAATGTAATTAATTAAATCCGTTCGTATCTTTCTATAAATATGTATGTATTAAGTATGTCTGTATATTTATTTTTGTATATAATTTATAACAACTAAAATTGTTAATATGCTGTACCTACACCGCACTAAACTAAATTTCTCACATCTGAAGGATATCCGTAAGAGTTCTGTTTCACATACTACTAACATAACATCTTTTTCATACTTTTCCTTTATTTTATTAAACACTAGCGACTCACCCTCGCTTCGCTCGGATTCGTCCCTAGATTGCTTCCCCATACTAAATTTCATCTTCATTTTCATCCCCTTAAAGGATGATTTCTAGAATAAAAACTATCCTATGTCCTTCGCAGTGTCTCAAACTATCTTCTTACCAAATTTCATCTAAATCAGCTCAGTAGATCCAGAGATTATCCCCTACAACGTCACAAACTCACAAACTCGCAAACTTTACCTCTTTATAATATTAGTGTAGATATTTATTTTTGGTACATAAATATACATATATGATATATATTTCAGTGTGGCAGTGAACATAGCGGCTACAATGAGTGTATCAGCAGGATCGTTAGCTTCAAGCGGTATTCGACTATCATCTAGACTGTACACGGCAACAGCTCTAGAAGCAAAGCTCTCTGTGAGAGGACTTGGGCTATTGCGATTGGATTTATCCTTGCCGAGGGATAAACAAGAGATATTTGCTGCTAAGTAAGTTTAATGCTCTGCTATTTATCCGTATTTCTGTTGTTAACTGACTTCCAAAAAGGAGGTGGTTCTTAATTCGTCGAAATCCTTTTTTTAGATATAAGTTAGGTATGTCCAAAACCGAGATGGAATTGAACAATAAATTATGTCGAAAGTTTTGATTAATTTTTGAATACATGACGTTTTAATTCTTGAAGTTATGGATAGTGACAATGAAATTGATAGTGTCCTAAAAAGTTGTAGTTTTTAATATAATAAATAATATCATACTTTCTTAGATTTACGCGAATGTTTGACATTATTAAATAAAATTTTTATTTAATAATAAATAATAATAATTCATCCATTGTAACGCATCTGTGGGAAATATTTTTATTGAAATGATTTTCTAGTTGATAGCTCACTTTGGGAATTTAATTATTAGAACAATAGAAAATTTAGTTAGAAAAAGCAGTGATAGTCTCGCGCTTAGTTATTTTCGACAGTTCTTCTAAGGGCTGAAGCTAAAGACTATTGGACAAATATTAAATGTATTTTCTGAAATGCCCTCGGGAACCAAAAATCCAAATTTATCCGTGAATAAATCCGAAAAGTTAGTTTTAAAACACCAATATTAATTCAATATTAAAAAATAAAAAACTTTAATTAATACGACGACACGTTTGCTCAGTTTGTAGTGACCCTACTTGCTGTGCCAGCGGTCGTTGGTTTGAATCCCGCTTGGGGCATTCATTTGTGTGACGAGCACGAATGTTTGTACTTCAGTCATGGGTGTTTATATCTATAATATGTATGTATTTAAAGATATATATCTAGTCTATCAACTATCTAGTATCCAAAACACAAGCCTCGTAGCTTACCATGGAACTAGGTGGTGCTGTGTGTTAATATCTCAACATATTTATATTTATTTATATTTGTAATATATATTTTGTCAAACAGATCTGAACTACTCATTCTTCACGGCGACGAAGAATTGCCTCAACAAGGTCTTAACAAGAACAGGATAGAACAAAATACCTGTAGTTGGAGTACTTTTGATAAGGCTATAGGTATTAAAGTATGCGCTGCGTATCAGGTAAGCATTTACGATTGGTTTTTTTTATTAAAATATTTAAAGATGAAAGATTAGATTTGTTGTTTTTATAATGAAATGAATGATAAGAATATATAATTATATAATTTCATATATAATTATATAAATATATAATTTCAAAATATATTTTTTTTATTCTACCCGTTCGAGCTGTTATACCATGAAGTAACTAATATTTTGAAATATTTGTATTTATGATCTTATGATGTGATTCCTTATAAAATAGTTGCGAAGTAAAGATTTGAAACAGATTTTATATAGAAAATCTGCTAAAACCTATACTTTAGTAATTCATTAAAGTTGACAGGCTTCTTCAAATAAGGAGGTTTTTCTATAATGACAAAAATATTAAAGAAAACTTTTTACATTTCTTAATCTACTTCTCTACTAATTTCTTACGTAATGAAGCGTCTTAGATTGTACTGAAGCCTACCCATAATAGGTTTTCGATCGACTGATAACTAAGATAGTTTTATTATCTTGTTATCAATAATAGAAATATAGCCTTAGAAAACATTATACTACAACCCCACTAAAAACTGCCCAATAGATTGTTTATTATATGCTCCTTGCATAATGAATGCATCTCTAAAAATGTCCCTAATTTTAAATAAAACTATCTTTTCGGATTTTTTCGCGAACTTATTTTGATTTTTGGTTCCCAACGTTTCGAATGCTTTACAGCAATTATGGTCACGGGAGAGTCTCTCCCGTCATCGATCAAAATAAATTCGCGAAATAATCTGAAAAGATAGTTTTATTTAAAATGTCAAATATTCGCGTAAATCTAAGAAAGTATAATGTCCCTAATTTTTTAGTTCCCTAATATGACGAATCTTCGAAACGCTCCATATTTCCTAATGAGCGGTCCTGCAAAGTACATAGTTTCTTTGGAAAAAGCCGACCCATCGGCTAAAACGTATGCCTTCCAATACAAATGGGAAAGGAATGATACGACAGACGTATTAGGATTTTCCTTCGACACTCCCAATAGTAAGGTAAGAAGAAGTATTATTGTTTTTGTTTTTTATTATTTGTTTGCTATTTTACATATTTTTGGACTTTAAAATACTGTATATAATAAATATTTAGTAAGAGCTTATAGAAATAGACGTAAATATAAAAAAAAGCTTAGAACTGCCAAATTTATACCTGAAGCCGAATCACACTTGACTGGTTTGTTTTTACATTTTAATTAAACCTAATATGTACATAATATGAGACTTATTTTTTTTTTAGGAAAAACGAATGTTAAACGCGGCCCTAACCATCTCAAACGCATCTAGTACTGCGTCTCTGACTTTACAATCCTCTGAAAGTACAATCAAAGCTAAGGCCTTGTATAGAAACTATCCATACGATAAGTCTCTAGAGGCGAGCCTAGATGTTGATGGGAAGAAACAGTTTGATACAGTAATGTCGATAAAAAGACACGATATAAAATATGGCTTTGTTTGGCTTCCACATGCTTATTGGGTTGTTAATGATGATAAAATTGCTGAGTTATCTGGTAAGATTTATTTCATTTTTTCTTAGATTTACGCGAATATTTGTAATTTTAAATAAAACTATCTTTTTCGGATTTTTTCTCGGATTCCGAAAACCAGTCTCTCCCGTGACCAGTATTGCTGTAAAGCGTTCGAAGCGATTCTCGACCAAATATTAAAATAAATCCGAGAAGATAGATTCTGTTTTTTATTTGATATTTTGTCTTTTTCTTTTTGTATTTCGTAAATGAACGTTATTTCGTTTTTTTATTTGCAAATCGTCTTTTTTTGGATGTTGATAATGATTAGTTTTGATTTTAATATATTTTTGAGTCGTTATCACACTAAAATATTGCTTATATGTGCGAAATTCTTAACATTTAGTATCCCTATTAATTCTAGGCAGTGTAAAAGTTAAATCTAAAGGAGGTATCACACAATGGGACATAACAGCCGATTTCCAAACAAAACAATTGGCGAGTCGACTTTTAGGCTATTACACTATAAATGGACCTACACATGGCACTAAATTACAACTAGATTATCAGTTTTATGGGAATCCGAAGCAAACGATCAAAATCGAAGGGGTTTATAGTGAGAGGCCCATGACCTATAGACATGATTTGTATGGAGAATTGTCTATGGAATTCACGGCATACCCAACATACAATTTCTTTTCGGTACTAAGGAATGTGGTAAGTCTCATATTGAATTTACTGGTGTTTGGACATATTGTGCTACCGTTCTACCTATTTTTTGCTCTTGTGTGATTTTTATGTTTTTTGTGCATTTTTTTTTTGGTATATTTTACTATATATTTATATTTTCATGTCACTTTTCATAATACACTATTATCGTATATCTTCAAGCTCCCTTTCTTATGGGGTATATGTATCAGGCCGCTGCTTTTTTTATATTTATTTGGTATTTATAAGTCTTATCAATTAATGTCATATGTAAAATGTAAAATTAAATTTAATAATTCTTGAAATTTTATTGAAAACGATTCAAATACAGTTCATCTTGATATTTAGATATGTAATAGATACATAATATGTTTTAAACATAGCAAAGCAATAGTTTTTAATATAACCTAGACATATTTTTTATTTATTTAGTCATTTATCAAGTACAAAATATAATTTATATAAATCTAATATAACCTAGATACCTCGATGTTTAACTATATTTTTTTAATAAAATTATTACAATGTACATATATGTTTATTTCCACAATGCTTAAAACAGTTCCAAATACTTAAACTTCAATTTAAGTCCATTCTTTTGTTCAATGGCTTGCAGCCTTAAACTTACCACAAAAAAATTATTTCAAGCTTTGTTTAATAACAATGAATTTTATTATATTGTCACATATTTTCACACAATCTATCTATTTTTCTGGTACACTTTCTAACAATAAATTTGTTTTTAGAAAACTCAAAATCATATAGACATTGGTTTTAACGTGAGTGCGTCTAAGAATCTAAGTTCAGACCCAGCCTTTACGTTCACGTACCGACGCGTTGACAAAATAAATGGCTTGAAAGTAGATACGAAAGTATCCTTAAATAGACCAAGACCTGTTTTGTTGGTGTTACACTATGATCAAGTGAGTATTTAAAATTATCAAAGAAATGGAGTATTTCAGAGAACCCATAATTTTTGGTGGTTTTCGGGCTTTATCAATTTATTTGGGCAACTTGATAACTGGCCAACTTCAATTCAATTCTTTAATTTCGTGGCTTCTAGGAGTTTGTTTGTTTTCACTGCTGTCAGACGCGCGAATGACGGAAACGATTGTCAATGACTCAGTAAACAATCAATTGGCAACTTCAATGGCTCCTGTCAATGAGCATCAATCAAAATCTCCATCAATCGCTTTCAATCACGTAACTGCGATTGACAATCGCTTCAATTGTACTTGTAAACGATCAATGGTAATTGACAATAACGTAAAATTGACAATTGCGATTGATCGTCTCGGGCCCGCTTTAGAAGCCCCCGTGATTAACATTTAAATATTTTAATACAATTTTCCAGATAGGACCAAAATATTCAGCCATGGCTTTACTTAATTTTAATCCAAAATCTCGAGAAATATATCTTTCGGGGTATTTATTCGCTCCTCCTGGAACTCAGTTGTATGCGGATGCAGAACTAAATGTTACTCTGCCCACATTACATCCGTGCACGTTGAAGGCAAAGTTGCATGAAAAACGGCCTAATGAATTTCAAGTAAGTACACATTTTTTTGAAGTTATATTGTTTAATATTTTCTTAGATTTACGCGAATATTTGACATTTTAAATAAAACTATCTTTACGGAATTTTTCGCGAATTTATTTTGATTTTTAGTTCCCGACGTTTCGAATGCTTTACAGCAATCATGGACACGGGGGAGTCTCTCCCGTACGATTGATTGATGATTCCTGTAAAGCATTTAAAAAGATGGGAACCAAAATTCAAAATAAATCCACGAAAAAATCTGAAAAGTTGTATTGTTTCTTTGTATTTAAATATTTTTAACATTTTTTGATGGTTATAAAAGTTGGTAATAGTTTTTTTTTTATTTGATTATATTTTTTATTATTTGTTTTACTTTATGAAATGTGTGTATATTTTAAATTGAATTTATAAACATCAACAATTAGAATACTAGCAAAACCAACTAACTACCGCAAGGTAAAGGCATAACAGAAAGTACCCGTAATTTTTTGTTTGACACTTATTTCACTTCTTACTTTCTAGGAGATAAATTTTCAAAAAATGACTTGTTTTAATCATCAAACCATATTATTCTATACATTTTTTGAATAGGTAAATGCAAATGGCGTTTGGTTCACCGGAGTAGACTTCACAATAGACGCAGTATACCAAGACCAGTCTAAGACGAACTTAGCATCTCATAGACTTAAAGTATTAATCAACTCCAGCCATTTCAAAGACATTGCCGTGGACGCGAAATTCACTCAAGATAATAGACAGATTACTTTTATAGCTGAGGTATGTAGAGATATTATATTTCTATACATTTTTTAGTAAATATCGTTAAAAATATATTAATCTAGTATTTAAAGCACATTTTAAATGTGAAATCAATATTTTAGTAAATAGCGCCATCTTTTAATATATAATACTAACTTAACTTATTACAACATTTTATTTTAAAACGCATTATGTATTTTTTCTTTACATAGAGTATTTCTTAAAATCTAAATATACCAATATGAGATCTGTTTTTTTTTGTCTTTCATTAATTATAATACAACGCCATCATATTGACATCTAATTAAATATTTTTTTCTTTGTTTCTGATGAGACCCCACTAATTTTCACAATTAAAATTGAAGTTTAAAAAAGCGTCTTAATGAGTACAATTCATAATTTCCATTCCAGGGTGTCTACAACAATGATAAATATAAAGTTTTAGTTCGTTACTTATTACTGTCGGAACAGAACTTCACCACGTACGGTGAAGTGACCATTAGTGGCAAAGTGTATAGTGTCGCTTTGAACGCGGACCTGAATAATAACACAAATATCAATATGGATATACATTTTGATCAGTGAGTATTTGTTTTTGTTTTATACTAGCGACTCAGGTAGGTACGTTTTAATTTTTTTGAGCTGTACCCTAATTCTTTTTCTAAAATAAAAGTAGCCTATGTTACTCCCTATAACATCAGCTATCTTCCAGTGAAAGTCCCGTCAAAATCAGTCCAGCCGTTTCAGATATTATCCGGAACAAACAGACAGACAAAAATTTAAAAAATTGTGTTTTTCTTATATTAAGTACCGTATATAATTTCATATGCATTTAGTAAAACGCTGTTATTTTTGACATTACAAACAGACACTTCAATTTTATTTATCTGTATCGATCTTACTTGACCGACTTTAAAAAAAGTTAGTCGATTGAGATGTACGCTGTTTTTATTTTTGTTTTTGTTACGAGATGTTTTTGCCAATTGTGAACTGATTTTTTTACCTAGCTGAGAGTCGTATTGAATGATAATTCAAAAGAGTTGCATCAAGTCCCACCAAGACCACAGGTGAAATAATTAATTTTGATGTCGGTGTACTTTAAAAAAAGTTCAAATGTAGTTAAATTTAAGCTCGTAGCCTAATTTAGTTTGAGAAAAATAAAAAAAATACCTTTTTTAACCTTTTTGTTGAATTTAAAAATTGTACGTCATTTTGTGCAAAATTGTAACATCGAACTATTACTATAAATGTGAAAGATTGTATGTGTGCGTGTTTATTTATATATGTTACTTCTTCAATTTTAAACGACTGGACGGATTTGTATAAAATATAGTACACAAATCGACAATATGTGCGAGCGCGATGCGAGATAGCCAGTTAAAAATTTAAAAAAATCATATTTTTCTCGCTTTCTCTAATATCTAGCAAAATCCTAACAATATATAACTAATTTCAGATTACGAGACGTCCACATATCCTACATGCGAGCGGTAACAGAAAAACAAAAGCGTTTGAGTGCTTCCTTCAACTGGGATGCGAACCGCGACCCTTCACAGAAACTGAGCATAGATGCGAAGTTGGACCACAAGGGCAAGTGGCACCACTCTGGACACGTCACCTTACATTACCCGGGCAGAGTGGTTAATGGGGAATTCGAGTTTTTACTTAAAGGTGAGTTTGTTTGTTGTTAATATGTTATAGGGCGCAATCATTAAAACTCATGTACTGGATCCACACATATGTATTTCGACTTCCAGGATGAATAGTGTTTAAGTATAATAATTAACAAATTATTAAAGGAATCAATGGTCACGAGTTGAGTGAGTGGCGTACGTCGGCGGGGCGCGTGTAAAACGTAACGCGGTTACTGGCTCACTGCCGGGGTGGAAGCGCGGGCGCCGTCAGGCGCACGGAAACGCGGGGAGCGTCGCGGGGGACAAGGGCGAATAGGGACGTTAGGTGCGGCGGGTATATTACTACGCGCTATAGCCTCCCCCTCCAAGTCACAAGGACGACCCGGCTGTGACTTGGTTGGTCGGCCACGCCGTCTCTGATGTACAATGGCTTTAGAAGACCCTACATACGGCGTTAAGGCACTGGCATGGTATTTGCCCTTAACATGTCCTTGGCTATCGGACACTACAAAAGACGAAGGACTGGCTATTTGAGATATGCGATAAGGTCCCTCCCGTCTTGGCGCGAACTTACTACTAAACCCCTTTGAAGCGTTGCTAGCTAGATGTGCCTCCACCAGCACAAGATCACCCAATTTATAAGATGGAGAACTCCTGCGATGCTTATCATTGTCTACTTTCCTAGCATCCTGCTGATCTTCTATTCGTTGCTTCACGTCCTTCAAGGTTCGTGCAAACTCCTTTAGATATGGGGTAATCTGAGGCACAAAATTTTCTTTAGTGACGATGCCTCTGAGATCAGTGTGTACAGACAAAGGCGAGCGCATCTCTCGCGCAAAAGTGAGATATGCAGCAGACCAGCCGGTGCCCTGGTTGTAAGAACTATTAAGAGAAAAGCGAACCATGGGTAAAACAGCTGGCCAGCGTCGATGTTCTGGTCCTACCAGAATCGCTAATTGTTGTTTCAGCTCGCGGTTCTTCCGCTCAACCGGGTTGGCTTCCGGGTGGTAAACTGGTATCAGGGATTGATGGATCCCTAAAACAAACATGACCTTTTGCATCACCGCTGATACGAACTGGGTTCCATTATCGGATATTACTCGACGCGGTAAACCATATCTAAGGAAAACTTCTTCGATGAGCACCTTAGCACATGTTTCTGAGGTGGCATCTTGCAACGCGAATAACTCAATCCACCGACTGGCTGTGTCTTCAACGACTAAAATCCATTTCTCGCCATTAGCGCCCTCTGGCAAAGGGCCAAACAGATCCATAGCAAGAACTTCGAAACGCTGCTGAGGAACTGGGGTTTGAAGCAAACCTGCAGGCTTTAAATTAGTAGATTTATATTTCTGGCAGAGATCACAGGACTTAAGATATTGTGCAACATATGTCCTCATGTTCTTGAAGTAGTATCTTTCTTTTATTTTACGTAACGTGCGTTCTAAACCCAAATGTCCAGCAGTAGGCGCATCATGTAGCTCTCTCATGGGCTCGGCCTTCAATGCTTCTGGAATTACCAGCTGGGGTTCTTCGGACTCGCCATCCGGATCACACCGATATAGAATACCTTGAGAAAGATAATAACCTCGATCAGACCAGCGTAAAGCTTCGTCAGCGTGATTAGGCTGCTCAAAAGCTAATATAACTTTATTGACGTCAGGATCATTAATCTGAGCTTCACGAATGTCCTCAGGCTTCTGACGTGGTAAATCAACAGCTACCGGGCAAATATCACAAGAGTCGGACTGGAACTCTTCAGAACTAACAGGACGGCTTAACGTATCCGCCACCACATTGATTTTCCCGGGTGCATAATCTATATCCAAATTATATGATTGGATTTTCATAGCCCAGCGGGCTAGTCTTCCACTTGGGGTTTTTAGAGTCAACAACCACTTAAGTGGCTGGTGATCAGTGGCTATTTTCACTGGAGATCCCTCGACGTATCCTCTAAACTTCTCCAAAGCCCATACAACCGCCAGAGCTTCGCGCTCTGTCGTATGATAATTGCGTTCTGCAGAGGTTAGCAATCTGCTCGCATATTCTATGGGTCTCTCGTCCTTAATATCTTCACCTTGCATAAGAACAGCCCCTAAGGCATACGCACTAGCGTCAGTTCGGAGGATGAAAGGTTTTTCAAAGTCTGGCTGTCTAAGAATGGGACTGGTGGTAAGCCGTAACTTAAGCTCATCAAAAGCTCGTTGCTCACTCTCCCCCCATTGCCAGCGTCTAGTCTTCTTTGTCAAATCTGTGAGACATCGCGCTACATCCGAAAACTGCGGAATGAACTTGCGGAACCAAGAGCAGGTCTGTAAAAACGTTTTTAACTCTCTAACGTTACTTGGAGGCTTCATGTTGTTCACGGCTTCAACCTTCTGCGGGTCGGGTTCAATACCATGTGAAGAAACAACATGCCCCAGATAATTAACCCTGTCTCTAGCAAAAACACACTTAGTTCTGTTGGCTTTCAGGTTGAACAGACGAAGACGGTCAAACACCTGTTGAAGATCACGTAGGTGCTGATCCAAATTTGGCGAGATCACCAAAATGTCATCCAGATAGGCCAATACACAGATGTTATTAAGGCCAGACCGCATCCGGTCTATTAGACGTTGGAACGTCGCCGGAGCATTCTTCAAGCCAAAAGGCATGCGGCGAAATTGAAAGGTCCCAAACGGAGTTGTGAAAGCCGTCTTATGGCGATCCTCTGGAGCAACCATAGTCTGCCAATACCCTGCCTTCAAATCTATAGTAGACATTATACAGTCCGCTTTAGTACTCTGCAATAATTCGTCGATTACGGGAAGAGGGTACTTATCAGTACGTGTTACATTGTTTAATTTACGGTAATCTACGCAAAATCTCACCTCACCGTTTTTCTTGGGTATTAACACCACGGGCGATGCCCACTCGGACTCCGCATCTTCGATAATGCCATCTTCAAGCATGGTTTCTATTTCTTTACGTATTATTTCCTTTTTGGACGGTGAAACACGGTACGGAGGGCTCGTTACTGGCGCCGCATCCCCTGTATCTATACGGTGCATAGCAAATGAAGTCGGTCCTCCCCCTGGAGTAAAAATGTCTTCATGGACATTCAGGAGATCGGAGAGCCGCTGCCGTTGCCCTAAGCTAAGGTGGGAACCTTCGTCATCGCGAAGACTTACAGAAGAGCAATTGATAGGCGGCAAAGACTTACACTCATATTCAATGGGTTGGGGCGTCTTATCGCCTCTCAAAAACCAACTACCGCGCTGAAAATCTAAAACCATGCCAATGTCTTGTATAAAATTCATACCTAATAAACTTTCCGTCGCGTTAGGAAGCATAATAAAATCCACACCTAACGTTATCCCTCTCAAGGTTACGCGGACGTGCGCCACTTCAACGTTTTGTGCACATGCACGACCATCCGCATATTTAAGTTCAGTATAAACAGTATCTAACTTATGTCTATTCTTAATTAACAGGGATCTAAGGCTAACACTTCCTACACAATGTTTTGCACCAGTGTCTACTAAAACTTTACCACTAACGCCATAAATTCCAATACTAATCACTGGGCGCAAACGCGAATCCATACAGTCTACACTTGCTGCAACCGAATGAAAGTCACTACTGGTTGACACCACGGGTTTATTCCCTTTACATGTGGCGCAATTTGAACGAATCACTCCCGGTGCACCACATCCAAAACAAGTCAACTGGGGTATCGACTCCTTTTTACTTGGCTGATTTTTATATGACAACTTCTCACAAGCGTCTTTATTATGTCCAAATCGTTTACAATAGGAACACTTATTTCTATTTATAACCGGTACCTTAACTGATTCATTAGACTCGGAAGAAGAAGAGGCAGGTGGAATACCCTGTCTCGGACTGTACGCAACATTTGATCTCTGAGTTTGCGACAGATTAGGTCGATTGACTTCGACTCGACTCTCATCCATTAACTCTTCTATCCGTCTAGAATGCGACAATAACTCGGAAAAAGACGTGAAAGAACTTCGTGGTACCTTCTCTCGAATCCGTTTACTAAGAAGACCATATACCATATCCAATTTAACTTCTTCAGTTAAATGCGAAGGAGGCAACTGCGCAAACAAGGCTCTAATATTACAAATAAATATGTCAGTAGGCTCCTGAGTTTGCTCTTTACTAAAAATTTTCCTATAAATTTTATATGGTGGTAATTGAGGACCAAATGTTTGTTTAAGGAGCTCTATTGCCTCATGCCAACTTTGCGTGGTGGGTTTTACACCTTGCCACCACGTTGCGGCAAGATCCGTTAGCAGAATAGGAAGGCCTCGCAAAGCAATATTATCGTCCATATTCACACATTCTTTATATGTTTCTATTGCATCTATAAAAGCGAGTACATCACTGCCTTTTCCGCCATCGAAGCGCGAAGAACAAGAAGCAAAGTTACCTGATATAGCGGTTACCAATGGTGAAGAAGTTGGCGCGCGCAGCAATCCTAATATCTGCGCCAGCTGCTGATCCGACATAACCACTGGGTTACCGGGTACTTGCACGTGTGATGCCGACGACGGTGACTGCGCATACGGCGCAGTGGAGCAGGCCTCGTCCAGGCCAGTAAGCGGAGACGGCGGCGCATCCGACGCCGTTGGCGAGAGAGCCCTGGGCTCTCCAGCATTTTGCTGTGGTGCCTTCTGAGTCTCGTTACTATTCGCTCTCGATCGTGTAAGCACCATAATGATATAATATCAACACGCACTATTAAAACTATTTTAGTTCAACAGTCAACTTAATAAAACGTTTATACCTTGCACTTTATCCTTAACTAAAATACTATAACTATACAATAGTCAGTACTAAACTATACATGTTGAAACTTGTATTACTACACAAAACAAATAATTTTTACAACACAATATAATATTCACTATTCAATATACAACAATATTCTAACAGAATAATATTATCAGAATAAGTAGTAAACAACACAACTATAATTATTCAGAACGCTTAGTAGTAAGTATTATTATTACTCAACACCTTATTTAAACATTAACAAAATTAAAATCTATACAACAGCGTTATATATCCAATTTAAAGTTTACACACAAAATACTTCGATAGATATTATTAAGTATTAAACAATACGACAAAATAATAATATTATCATTCATAAGTAACAAACATAACTTATTATATAAAACCATAGGTATAGAATACTAAAACTAAATCTATACAACAACGTATATAATGGTTTACACAAAATAAACAGTAAGTAACAGAAATTATTATGCAATACGACAACTTATTATTATTAGTTTTACGTAGCAAACAAAACTTATTATTATTACTTAAAACTTTTAGACAATATAATATTATATTAAAATTAAAATTTTACAACAGTGTAATATTTATTAACATAAGTAGGTACGTAAGTATTAACATAACGATTTACACAAACTACTTCGCTACCTATATATTATTATGCAATATGACAAAATAATAATATCTAACAAACTTATGTAGAAAATAACACGTAACTTATTGTTATTTAAACCATATACACTAATAATGTTAATTTCAGTTCGAATCGCGACACAATTCACAAACACTATAACATGAGTTAATATTTGAAAACGATTGCATCATCCTATAGGTACGTACGACTTTTCAAATTCGGGCCGAACGTTGGGCTGCCATTTATAGGGCGCAATCATTAAAACTCATGTACTGGATCCACACATATGTATTTCGACTTCCAGGATGAATAGTGTTTAAGTATAATAATTAACAAATTATTAAAGGAATCAATGGTCACGAGTTGAGTGAGTGGCGTACGTCGGCGGGGCGCGTGTAAAACGTAACGCGGTTACTGGCTCACTGCCGGGGTGGAAGCGCGGGCGCCGTCAGGCGCACGGAAACGCGGGGAGCGTCGCGGGGGACAAGGGCGAATAGGGACGTTAGGTGCGGCGGGTATATTACTACGCGCTATAATGTGTATATATAAGTGTATTCTTTGACTGGAAGTATAAGTAATAAATTAGATCATTAGGATCAATTTTAATTATTATTAGTTATGTTTTAAACGTGATTTTGGTTTAACGTTGGTAGTTCATTTAGTTTAAATAGATTTTTTATACAATGCTATTGACCTCCAATCTTAAGATTTTTGAAATAAAAATAAATATGAATAGATTCGGTCGATACATTTTAGCAACTCTTCCGCTTATCTTTGTTTTTTATAAATATAACGCCATTTATTAACATTTAATTGAACTAATTCTTCTTAGTTCCAAATGAAATGAATGAATATTTTATCCGTAGATTGGTTCTGCGAATGGATGGTACGTATGGGGTGGGCGAGCCCCACTGCCGTAGTGTGGCGCGTGAAGGCATTCTCCGAAGCGCGGGAGCAGACTGTGTACGCCCTATTGTCTAGTCTGAACACGCCCTTCCCCGGTTGGAAGGACACTAGCTTTAATCTTATGTGAGTTACACTTTACTTTTACTTTTGACCGACTTCAAAAAATGATTATATGCTACCTGTTTTCTGATAGTTATATTGTATCACTACATTGTATAAAACAAACTCGCTTCCCGCTGTCTGTCTGTCCCTATGTATGCTCAGATCTTTAAAACTACGCAATGGATTTTGATGCGGTTGTTTAATAGATAGAGTGATTCAAGAGGAAAGTTTATATGTATAATACATGCATACTATAGTACAGAAAAGCCGAGAAATTCAAAGATTTGTATTTGAAGCGAGGGTGAGTCACTAGTAGGTAATAAATAATTGTATCCAGCCAGTCACTAGCCTTTTTTTTACTGCTGGTCACGGGCCTTCCATGAGCGTGATCAGGTCATAGTGCACAGGTTCTCAGTCAGGTTTCCTCGATGTTTTCCTTCTTCGTAATGAAAGTCGGAATTGTGTTGAAAATAATTAAGCATATGAGTATTTCAAAATCAGAACGAGATTTGAACTAGCTTTTGTTGGTTTCCCAAATGAGCGCATTACCTGGAAAGAACACTTGTAAAGTGTAAAAAGTGTTTTTAAATTTGGTGTAACCTAAACAAAATACTACAATAAATGCAAATGCTTGTATGTTTGTTACTGAACACACTGAAACGGCTAAACGGACTTAAATAAACAAATAGATTATCATTTAGTAACATAAAGGAAAGCAAAGATTCTTAAATAATTGTAAAATTATTAGCTACTTACCTTCGGTTCGTTCAGGTTCGTCCTTAGTAAAACATAAAGACAAATCTATCCCACGGGATCCATACATTTTTCCAGGATATAAGTAAACTATGTGCATTCCAGACTATAATCTATCTCTGTGCCATATTTCATCCAGATCCTTTCAGCCGTTATGGCGTGATTGAGTAACACATATCCATCCATCCAAACTTTCGCATTTAAATAAGTTGGGACATTAACACACAGCACCATCTAGTTACATGGTAAGCTACGACGCTTGTGTTATGGATACCAGATAGTTAATATACTTCACATATATAACTTTAAATACATACTTGAACCCACAACCGCTGGCACAGCAAGTAGGTTCACTACAAACTGAGCCAAACGTGTCGTCAAAATTTTAATAGTAGTAAGATTAAAATACTTTTAAAGGTGGCGATATAAAGACAATCTGCAAGCAATAAATGGCAGTATGAATTGGCAAGAGGATTATCTAGCGTTTAGTCTTTTGGCGGACTATTTGTTTACTACGACAAAATTCTATGGGGAAATCAATGCTTTAGTAAATTCTACAATACCAACTTTGCCTAAAGCGGCGGCCATTGCGAGACACACAGTTGTATGGAAGAAGAGTGCTGATACGTTACTTAGTTTTCAGGTTAGATATTGATTTGTTCTTGATATACGTTATATATTACAGCAACGTTTGACATTTTTTTAGGGTTCCGTACCCAAAGGGTCCCGCCCTATTGCTAAGACTCCGCTGTCCGTCCGTCTGTCTGTTTATCACCAGGCTATATCTCATAAACCGTGATAATTAGACAGTTGAAATTTTCACAGACGATGTATTTCTGTTGCCGCTATAACAACAAATACTAAAAAACAGAATAAAATAAATATTTAAGGGGGCTCCCATACAACAAACGTGATTTTTTTGCCGTTATATAGATAATGGTACAGAACCCTTCGTGTACGAGTCCGACTCGCACTTAGCCGGTTTTTTCATTAACGCACCTATAATTTGAGCAAAATTAGATAAAAAATAATTAATTTAAAGTAAAGCCTTTCACATGAAGCGGATAAGTAATATTTGAATTTTCCGATTTTAGTCATATTTGATTGTGTCATTGCTATATTATGTCGATCAAAACGCAAATATTTTTATAGTACATACAAAGCCCGATTATGGAGTTAGATTAGTCTTCTAACTTTATAATCAATCAGTCATTATTTTGTGTTTTAGTCGGACATGTATAGCTATAATATAATGAAAAATTACTCAAATCGGAAACCTCAACAGTTTTTAATTATTCGTTTCACGTGGAATGCCAAAAATTACTTTCCAAAGGTGAACTGCAAAAAAATTGAGAAATATAAAATAATAATATCTGCAAATAAAAACATTCAAAATCAATTAATACTTTAAACTTGGAAATAAAAAATACTTTATTCCCTAATAATTATTGTTGTTATTTTTTTTCAGTATAATGAAGATGGTCTCCTGATGATAAATTCTTCTTGGGCCATTGACAAGGGACCTACAGAGAACAATATTACTGGAAAAGTGACACTTTTAACTCCATTTCAAGTATGTAGTATGCAGTGTTAAATTAAAAAAGACAATTTCTGGCTAAAATCTCTTTCTTAAAATGTACATTTATAAATAGACATAAATCTTAGTAACTTAATGAAAATGTTTTTTTTTTAAATAATTTTTGATGATTTTTTATAGTATCTAAATTTGTCTAATAATAATTAATTTTTTTTTAATCTATTGTATTTTAGGGTTACAAAAAAGGTTTCTTGAAAACAGAATTCGTGCTTGGTCACAAGAGAGACATCAAAGGCGTCACATATCTAGACTTGGAAGAAAAAGTAGTCAAAATTTATGTTAATGGTAATCTATTTTGTATTAAATTCATAGAAGCCATTATTTAAATAATAAATAACTTATATCGTAATAAATACCTTTTATGATCCCGTTCTTCATTGACTTATTCCAAAGCCGTAGACTCACTCTGGCATCCAATAAGACCTCATACAAATTTAACTTAACTACATATAAGATAAAACTATCTTTTCGGATTATTTCGCAGATTTTTTTTTATTTTTGGTTCCCGACGTTTCGAATGCTTTACAGCAATCATGGTCACGGGCAAACCAAAAATCAAAAAATCTGCGAAATAATCCGAAAATATAGTTTTATTTAAAATAGTAATTTAACTTAAAGATAATAATTTATAATAAAAAACATTAACAGGACACATGCGACGTATAACAAACTGCATGTTGGTAGTGAATGTGACGAGCCCGTTAGCACAGTTCTCCCACAGTTCAGCGAGGTTTGGTTTCGTGGAGCACGATAGACACCTCGTCGCTATGATTGTTACACCCAATACTACTACTGGTATGTTTTTTATTTATTATCTATTTGAAGTTATGCTTCTTTTGGCACGTTTGAAAAAAATATAAGAGTAAAATTTTACTAAAACAGGCCACATGATGAAGTTGGCTGCATTCCATTTACAAACAGAGGGTTGTGACATACGGGATGAAATCTTCAGCTATTTTTGTTCTGTTACGCCAAAGAAGTATAACTTCTTACGTGCGAAATAAGCACACACACACGTTTTTTTTATGTTTTAATATTTAAACTAACTAGTGTATGGTTTTAATTGTTTATGTGGAGAAGAGTAATCCATTAAAATTGATTAAAAAACTCTGCAATAATAATAGAAAAATCTTATAAGTGTTAGAAAAACTAATAATGTTTTTTTTACCTGTTTCGAAAAAGAGGGGGTGTTCAATTCGATTGGTTAATTTTTTGGTGGTTTTTGTTATGCAATTATTGTTCATATTTGTTATTTAATTACTAAATTATTATAACTCGAACATATTCTTATATAGTTTTCAAGAAAAATTACGGTTTAAGTGATATTAAAATCGATATACCTTTGTGGTAATTATTATATTATGCCACCATATATTTTCTTTAAAATATTCTTTATAAAATTATTACTTTATGTACGAATGTGTGAACATTTAAAATTATTATTTTCTAACGGTATTTATAATAATATATTTGTTAGGTATCGAATTCCTTCTAAAACTAGCATCGTTACAAGACTTCCAAATATTTGGACACATCGCGCTACCGATACAATACTTGAATCGCGCCATGGTCACCGCTAAGAGGGCTCCAGAAGAGGTAAATGCTTATAAAAAATACTAATTTATTATTATTTTATTAATAATATTGTTATTTTACGGTTTTTAGTTAGAAAGAATCAAAATAAATATTTATGATTTCATTAATTATTATCTGTACATTTAAAACAAATTATTATATTATGTTACCGGGTGCTGTATGAAATTTCATTTTTTTTATTTCTTGCGACTTTTAATACAACTACTTTTTTTACTTTTTTTTAATTTTGAAAGTAGAATTTTGAGCGATCAATATTAAAACATGAATAGTCCATTTTCGTATAGTCAGCTAGTAACGGAAGAGTTGAATTGAATTGAAAATTTAAAAAGAGACAATTTTGCCGAAATTATATTTTATCCTTAATATTTTAATATTTCTAGGTGGACTTCAGAGTAGGTTGGGGCAATATGGACTTCGGGTTCACAGGCATATGGCAATGGAAATCCATACTCAATTTCGTTTATGTATACAAGCTGTACACTCCCTTAGATGGATTTGAAGAAAACGGGCTTGTTTTAAAAAATATATACAAAAATGGTCTCGATACTGAGCTGTCTATACGTCTTTCTAAACATAAGGTGAGTTAATAAATGATTTTTCTTATTACAATAACTTATTTTACCTATTACAAATATATAGTTATAAGTGATTAAGGGTCCATAATGCATGTAACTCGATTAGTACACTTTGTCTTATGGTAAAGGAAAATATTGTGAGGAAACCTGCATGTCTGAGAGAACCTAGCAAGTTGTCGAAAGACATGCTCAGTCCGCCTACACTTGACCAGCGTGGTGGACTACGGCCTGATCCCCCTCATATTGAAGGGAGGCCCGTGCTCAGCAGTGGGACGTTAAAAAAGGGCTAAATACAAATAACCCGATCCCCACTAACTTATATTAATTTACAACATACTCACAGTCTATTATGTGTTTCAGCGTTGAGGAATAACAAACAAATAAACATATCTAGCATTTATCTAATACCTTTAAACGAGCAATTCTTGTATATTTATTTACTTCTTTACTTATATATACCGGTGATTTCGGGAACGGCTCTAATGATTTCACTGAAATTTGGTATGTGAGGGTCTTCGGTGGCGAAAAATCGATCTAGATTAGTCTTTATGTCTGGGAAAACGCGTGTTTTCGAGTTTTCATGCGGTTTTCTTTCGCATTATTCCACGTAGAATATGGTCGCTAATTTCGCTTGCTCGAGCATAGGCATCGTCGTCAATTCGAATCCTGGTCGTATACAAACTTTTTACTTTTGTTTTTTTTGGATTTATTTTTTTATCTAAAATCTCGGTCGCCCAGGTACTAATAGTAATTCAACTATTATTTCAGTTCGGCATAGCAATCCTACTACGTGACAACGGTAAAGGTCTCCTCGACGTGATAAAAGACCGGTTCCAACACAAGCCCGGCGACCCGGATATGTTCGTTGAGAACTTTGACACCGAAGCGAGCGTCACTTTGGACACTTTGTATTATCCGACAATAACATTCCATTCGCATATGTTGAAGGTAGGTTGATTTGATTTTATCTATATATATAAAGTTACGACTATGTTGGCGACGTCCAGGCCAAACTTTTAGACCTGTAATGCGTTAAATTTTGAGAGGTGTATCTGTACATGGATATGTAATTAATAAGAATTGTTTTTTTTTATAATTCATTTCATCATTACATATAAATGCATATTAAAATATATGTGGTATGATATTTATAAATAAAAAAAGCAGTTTCTTTGTGTGTCTGTTTGTTCCGGCTAATCTCCCAAATGGCTGGATTGATTTTGAGGAGACTTACTGGCGGATAATTAATGCTAGGAGTAACTCAGGCTCATTTTATTATAGAAAAAGACTTAAGGCTCTGCACAAAAAAAGATAAACTCATGAAATTGTGAAGAAAATCCGGTTACAGTGCGCTAAGACGCATCCACGCAAAACGGGTAATTCTCTAGTAATAAGTGATATTTTCCTAAGAAAATTTATTTGTTGGTTGTCACTTCAGATTGTGTAATCTACGATAGCGATGGGCGATTGTTGCAAAAAAAAAACAATCGACTGAAATGAAAATTGTGCTATTACGCATTCGATTGTCGATTTAGTAGTTCTTCATCATGATTATTCGAATAACAATCGACTAACTACTTACCGTACGCACAACGCATGCTGCATATGCGTGCAGTCAGCTGCGGAAGGCCGCGCGGGGCAGTGCGTGCGTGCAGTATTTTTAGTATTACTTCAATTTGTTAACCGACTTCCAAAAAGGATGAGATTCTCAATTCGTCGGAATCTTTTTTTATGTATGTTCACCGATTACTCGAAGACGCCTGAACCAATTTGGAAATTTTTTGTTCGTTTCAAAGGGTATACTTCCCAGGTGGTCTCATATAGATTTTATCGAAATCGGTCAAGTGTTTTTTTTAAATCAACAAATAAACTATTTTTTTAAATAAATTGCTTAATCGAACATGTTATTAAAAAACTTTCTTCTAACAAATTACCTACTTATTTCGTCTACACTAAAAATGGAAAAATAAAAACTTTAAAAACAAAACCGACTTCCAGACACTAAAATGTAAAAAATAATTAAACGGGGGTTCTCATTTAGAATAGTTTTTTTTTAAGTTTTTTACGTACTAGTATATTAATATAGGTGCGCTGCGCTACAAATTAGTAGTTAAAGTTAACACGGAAACCATGTCAGTCATTATCGCCCGCCTTACGCCGTTAGTCGATAACAATCGAATAACATTTATTGTTATCGACTTTTATCGACTAAACTAGACAATCGACTAATTCGATTAGTTTTAGTAATAATCGCCCATCGCTAATCTACGAGTATGAATTTGCCTTATTAATGTTATAATTCGAAACTACTAATTCAGAGGAAATAATTCATATTTTATTATATTATTTAGTTCGTGGGTCCCGACGAAGAAGATATATTAGAAGCTAACGCAACATTACATCTGCCGAATAAACCGCCTATAGTTTTGACAGACGTTTTTATTTTGGAGGTAAGGATTTAAAGGATTTTTGTACGAACTCACTTTGTTATAATAGAATTAATAATTTATATATATTTTTTTATATTTTTGCTACATGTAGCATTTCTATAAAATAAATATTTTTTTTAAGTATTTACAATTTACATTACATGCACAGGATATGTAAAATCATTTAAAGGTAAACACTACATGCTAATTTTGCTTATGAGTTAAAAAGAGAAACAAACCAAAACCAAAAACAAACAAAAAATAATACAATAGTAATCTGGTGCAAGTCTGCAAAACCTTATCAATTGAAACATTTTAAAAAGATATTTACTTTACTGAAACAAATAATACATTAGTGTTAGCAATTTCCTAGAAGCACCAAAATAATGGATACTACTACAGCCGCTTTAATATAAACCTCAATATAATTAATCTAAACGTATACCAAAAGTTAAATTTAACTTTTAAAATTGTTTTTTAGACTTACACAGTAATGCGTAACACACTGAATCTTGTGACGCCTTTCCAAGCGATCAAACAACTGAAGTCAGTGTATACTGTGGATATTACTATAGGAGAGAAGTTTAATGTGACCTGTGTCGCCTTGCTGTACAACGGCACGTATTGGCATGAGGTAAGTTGGCATGGGGTTTATAGGTTTTAATATTATTTAAATATGTGAGGATTTTTTTATATTTTTTAAGTGATAACTCCTATAGGCAGGTTGGGATGGTGAGTAAATTCATGTAAGTCGTCATCGATATCGTCACGTGACGTGTTAACGCTAACACTCAGAGTGCTGATAAATGTTAAAACCAGATAAATGTAAACAGTTTTAATCTATAAATTTTTATTTGAGATCAAACAATTAATTTGAATATCCAAAAAATGACTACTGTTTGTTTATAGTTTTAAGTTTACACTTCTGTCGGCAGTTCTCATGACTGCTTTTTTTAAGACTTAAAGGTGAGTTTTTTTACAGTACTTTTTTATCTAAATATTAAGTATATTTTTGATTAAGTCTTAACTTTGACTTGTAACAATTGATATTGATTTAATTCATAAATATCATCATACCAGTAGTTCATAAACTAGCTTATAACCTTCTTAAAAAATCTTTTCTTCTATTGATGAATGACTCGAACTCAAACGAATCGTCCCTTGGTACATTTTAATTTTTTTGAGCGGAATCCTAATTCTTTTTCTAAAATAAAAGTGGTCTATGTTACTCCCTATAACATCAGCTATCTTCCAGTGAAAGTTCCGTCAAAATCAGTCCACGAATTAAAACGTTCTTAGGGAGAGTGGGTCGCTAGTTTGAATTCGATTCGTATGATCACAGTCAGATCTCGTACACGATCTCAGAGGACGCGGCCAATACCGGTCGCACTTGGCGTGTGGGCGTGGCATTCAAAAGTGCTCGTAAAAGTCTATTCGAATGAAGTATATTATAATTCAATTCGTGTCATCTCGCTCAGATCTCGTACAAGATCTACTACGAGACGGAGACGGGCGAGGACGCGGCGTACCGGTCGTACCTGGCGTCGGTGGGCGTGGCCACGCCGCTGGCCGTGCTGCCGGCGCTGGAGGCGCGCGCCGCCGCACGCCTCGAGGACGCGCTCTGGAAGCTCTCCGCGGACATCGCCATGCCATCATTCACCGTCACCGCAATGGCGAGGCTGGAGGTGAGACATACATTCTTTCATTCATCATCTAGTTCCATAGTAAGCTAAGCTTGTGCTATGGATACCAGATAGTTGATACACTACACATATATAACTTTAAATACATACATATTATAAATATAAACATCCATGACTGGAGTACGAACATTCGTGCTCATCATACAAGTGAATGCCCCCAGCGAGACTCGAATCCGCAACCACTGGCAAGCCAAACATGTCGTCAGATCTATTCTCTCGTTAAAATCTTCACAATATGAAAATATAAGTCTTTATTGTAGACCCAAAAAGAAAAAAGAAAATATACAAAATATAGGAGAAGATACGAAAGAGTATATATGTATACATACATATATGTATGTATCATACAAATATATAATTAATCTATATGTATAATAAAATTGTAACTAAGCCGAATCTGTACATTAGATATTTTTTGTAAAATCTTATTGAAATAAACATTATTATTGATACAGAGGCCGAATTTATAGTTTTTTAAAATTTTAGTCTGTCTGCCTGTCTGTCTCTCTGTTTGTCTGTCTGTCTGTCGGTCTGTTACCGCATCACAGAAAAACCACTGGAGGGATTTTGATAAAATTTGGTATGATAATAGCTGGTTATCCGGGTCAATATATAGGATACTTTTTACCGCGGGAAAATATCTCAAAATACAAAACTGCAATACTGCAATGTAAGAGTATACTAATATGTAAAACCAAAGAATTTGGTTTTTGGTCATTTGAACGCGGGCGGTTCAGCTGGCGGTGAATCAATTTACCGGCCAACCTTCGTGTCTTCTCCATTCTACGTGACTTGCGAAACAATCTGTGCTCAACTGGCACGCTTTAAAGCCATTAACAAGGGAATTGAATTGAGCCACAGATTCTATTCAGTTTTCCTGTCAATATCTTCAACATGTTACTAATATAAAAAAATATTCAGGCAACCAATGCAAATATTAATTGCATTTTACTGGAATGAACTTCGTTTATTACTTCCTGTGTAAATAATTACAAAATCTCGAATAATATTTAAAAATGTATGTAATTTGTTCCACAGTTAGACGATCCATTCGTAGAAACATCTGGCAGTTTGAACCTCACATCCCTGTACTTAGAAGACTACTTCATCAAAATGGAGTTCAAGAAGGATTTCTCCGATGTAGAGAATGTAGTTGGCGGCGGAATTCATATACAACAGGGCAATCAGAATAATTATGTAATTATTTTTTTTCGTTATACATCATCGATTAACAAAGTACTATATCACAATCATACACAATTAGCGACAAGAAATGTCCTCACCGAATGAAAGCTCATTTGGACATTTGAGCGCGCTGTTAATATTTTTTTGTGAAAACAACTTTAAGCATTGCATTTAAGGTTCAATTTATATTGTTGTATTTTTATTTCAACTAGAATAATTACCTAAACTCAATTGGTGACATTGCATGAGGCTGTGTATCAAGTATTTATTTAATCGATATTATACATATATAAATTATATTGCTAAATTATAATATTTTTACTATATACACATACGCGGAAGTAATATTAGATTTTGTTTATTCGAAATTTATTTTAGTAAATGTCAGACAGATGGTCTTACAGAGAAAAACTGAGGCACTTAATGCTATACTAACGCTAAATATGTCATGCCAAAAAATCATTAAGGTCACGTTTTCGTTACAAGATGCCTAACAGCAGCCTAAGTACCTACTCCAGGTAATAGTCTATCTGTATTTTTCATCCAAATCCATCCAGCCGTTTCGTGACATACACACACATACAAACTTAGGCATTTATAATATTCTCCAATTACAATCTGTATAAATACTATAAATGTGACAGTTTGTTAGTATGGATGTTTGTTACTCAATTACGCCAGAAGGGCTGAATGGATCTGGATGAAATTTGGCACAGAGATAGACTATAGTCTGGAATAACATATAGGCTATAGGCTAATTTTTATTCCGGAAAAATGTAAGATGGGATAGGTTTGTTTTTGTTTTTTGTAAGTATTAAATATATTTACAGCTTTTCGCGGACGTGGTATGGCGTCCACCGCCGTCCAGACACATACGCTTCAAGGCGAGAGGCGCGCTGGTACCAGTGCTGACACCAGCGGACCTCGCGCTGCTGTACAGCGACGAGGGCAAACAGCGCACTCTCACTGTGGACTTCAGCAGCGAAGAGAACTACTACTCGCTGAAGGCTGATCAGTGGCCAACTTCTATCAGTGTTGCTCTCAGCAGCCCCCATAAAGGGTTCAGGTAGCATTATGCTATATTATTTTCTATATATGGTAATCTTATCTCGTTGGTCACGTGGCTCGAGAACAAGTCGGGTTAAGTGTTGAATTTTTCTGTCAATAAATTCTCAATATGAGTCCGCCCCCGTGACTGATGCATCCCAATTAAAACGTCAGGAATAAGGTATTTTGCTACTTACTAACACACGAGTCTAAGTCCCGTAGTATCATTATTATACAATTGTGAAACGCGAAAATTTATAAAGTCATATATAAACCCGAAGTTAAAAAGTCGGTGAGCCGGACCAGTGCCTCAGAGCGCTCGTAATTCCATCGGTCCTAAGCCTTATCTCTCACGGGTAGTGTTCACTATCCATTCAATTTACTTCATATTAAATCAAATTTAAATTATTTTTAATTATTTAAATTTTTATTTATATTATTTATATCTGGGCTTACATAATGAAAGTATGTTCAACTACTAGTATTAGTATTGCGTGTCATTGGTTCCGAGCGGAATGAACGGTGAATTGTGGGTACGGAGAATGTGACAGACAGACACCTCTTTATTTTATATTATCATTTATGCGATGAAATTTTAAATAAAAATTAAGTTAAAATATTGAATATATAATTCGACTGGCTAGAAAAATGTTGTCTACACCCGAATAAAATTTATTTATTAGTTTAGAATCTTGATCTTTGATCACATCTCCAAGTATAAATACTGTAAAAAATAATTGTTGATTTAAACATGACAATAAGCTACCTTATCTATATATTTATATTTACAATTTTATTTCTAGAGCAATGAAGATTATAGGAGAATTTGACGAAGATGATATCAGAGGTTCCTTCGTCACCGACTCCACTGAGTACAGCGTTTCAGGAAAAGTTCTCAAACGTGATCCGTTAGAGGTATTTATAAACAGTTTCTATTTCTTTATATCACTTTTCTTTGTATAGTCTTAAGCCTTAACAATATTGAATCCACTTCTCACGACGAGAATTTTTTTCAAGAAGAAACTGTTTTGTTTAGTATAAGATCGCTTAGAATTAATAAAGTCGTTGGCAACTGGTTTACATTTAAAGAATATTAAAATAAGAGTACCTGGGCGACCGAGCTTCGCTCCGATTCCTTTTTTGTTATATCGTATTTTTAGATCTAAAATAACCAAAGACTTGAATAAATACAAAAAAAAAGTAACACTTATTCTCCGACCGGGATTCGAACCCGGATACCTGTCATTATCAATCTTGCACTTTGGCCGCTCGACGTGCGAAATTAGCGACCATATTTTGCGTGGAATAATGCGAAAGAAAACCGCATAAAAACTCGAAAATACGCATTGTCCCAGATATAAGACTAATGTAGATCGATTTTTCGCCCCGAAACTGGCCACATACCAAATTTCAGCGAAATCTTTGGAGCCGTTTCCGAGATCGCCAGTATAAATAAATATACAAGCATTGCTCGTTTAAAAGTATTAAATTACAATGAAATGTAGTATTAAAGAAAAATGTAAATTTGCTTCTTATTCTTTAATATTTTTAAAATAAATGTTCTAGCTAACCCTAACATTAGTGCCTAAAGGCCAAGGCCAAGAAATAACAGTGCGTGTTAAATGCGAGGCATCTTCCACTTTATATGGCATCACCGCGCACGTCCTGGGCCCAATGGAAGCTACTCTACGCACTAAGATCGAAATGCAGGCAAACTTCACTGATGTATACTTTAAGGTAAGCTGAAATGTACCTAATAAATATAATATGTTGGGACATTAATACACAGCACCATCTAGTTCCATGGTAAGCTACGAGGCCTTTGTTATGGACACCAGATAGTTGATACATTACACATATTATATAATTTTAAATACATACATACTATAAATATAAACACTCATGACTGAAGTACAAACATTCGTGCTCATCACACAAATGAATGCCCCCAGTGGGACTCGAACCCGCGACCGCTGGCACAGCAAGTAGGGTACTACAAACTAAGCCAAACATGTCGTCGATCCTTATCATGTTGACTTAAGGTTCTGGTTAAATTCTTGTCGTATTAAGTCAGTTCATGCAACTTATAGCAATTAAGATGATTTTAAGTAATTTAAAAAAATTAGGGCAATATTCTATATCTAGCTCGCTCTTCACTTTTTGCTATATTGGAAGTATATTTGTATATAAGTATACATGTATAGTCAATATAAGTTTTAATTTTATTTAGGAACTAGACATGTGCCCTATACTAATTTCAAAACCTAACTTCTGCTCAAAGAGGGATGAATTCTTTATGATTCCTTTGGGTAAAGAATTTTCCAAAACTCTATCTTAGTACTTTCATTTGTTATATAAAAAACTTGGATTTGAATTATTTAAAGCTCAGACACGGTTTATGGCCATACATTTTTTTTGATAAAGTATATAATTATTATACTAGCTCAAATAATTATAATAATATAGGTATAATATTACGATTCCCTCTAAGGTGGATCTGCCGAAAGTAAAAAGCAAGGAGATCTACTTCAAATTCCGAGTAGAACAGTATCCAGACCTACGTAGAGTAGTGTCAGTGCAAGCAGCGACGCCCTTACAGAAACTAAGCTTTGTGAAGGGAGATACTGATTTTGTGTAAGTTTATTATAAATATAGCTATAGCCGGTTTTAATTGCCTTATTAATTTCTTAGTAATAATGTTAAAGGCAAAAAAATAATAATAGAAAACTATAATTCATCCTTAGATTGATGCGAATATTTGACATTTTAAATATTCAATATTCAATCTTAGTCACAGGAGAGATACAGTCTCTACCATGACCATAATTGCTGTAAAACATTCGAAACGCTGAGACCTAAAAAACTATAGTATGAGTATGTATTATATATGGAAATGACACTTGAACATATCACGTGATCAGAATATATCATTCTTCTATATTTTTACTTATCTATTATCGACATCGATTGTAGAAATTAATGGGAGTTGATTTTAAATAATACTCATATAAACGTAACTGTTTCAGAATTCTGTAAAAAAAATATTTTTCTTGTATATTTTAATTTTTATTTTTATATCCAACACTTGCACTCTGATTTAAATAGTAATTTATTATACCTTGCTACAAAACTAAGCTTAATATATATTTTTTAGATTTGCGCCAAAAACAGGATATTTAATTTGTAACTACGAACTACCAGACATGAAGGGAGAAGGCGATCTGAAATGGAGTTTCCTTCTAGGAGATCTCTTTATACGCGTGAGTTACGAGTATATTATTAAAATATTACTTTCTTTTGTCACACACATGATTTTGTTTATATAAATTGTTTTCTGATTAATTTAGAGGTTTTTGAGCAGCGCCATCTATTGTGAAACTTAGAACTAAAATGATCTAACAATAAATTTCAAGTCACACCGTAATCCAATGGTTTAAAAGTTTCACATAAATCGGTTCTATAGTTTGTGTCATTAAATAACATATATTACAATATCTTAATATTGCAAACTTAAAACTTACTTATTAGGTGTAATATTAATAGAATTAAAACTGCATTTAAAGACAAAAACTTTGTTAATTTTGAAGAAACAATTTTGTTCATAATGTAGGCTATCGGACAACAATTAGTGAAAGAAACTCAGCGAAGCGTAGACTTGGATATATACTTCGGGAATACCACAGAAGATGGACTTTCTAAAACCAATGCTGGATTTAGAATGGACTTAGATCGAATTTGGCAGTGAGTAAAGCATTAATACTGTAATATTAATTCATAAAATTAAGTAATAATATATATATATATATATATATATATATATATATATATATATATATATATATATATATATACGTGTGGTGTGTGTTAGTATAGATTTCCGAGAGTAGAAAATAATGTACGTATTGAAATCGCTATTAAAAAATAGGAGTTGGTGGTAGGAGGGTGGAAATTTAGATTTGTATGTGAAAATTACTTTTTACGCCGAATCATAGAAAAATAAAAAAAAAATTTTGTCTAAAAAATTAAAAAAATGTTTTGAGGTGGACCACCCTTATCACTTAGGGGTATGAAAAATAGTTAACGTCCTATTCTCAAAACTACTGAATGAACACACAAAATTTCATAAAAATCGGTCAAGCCGTTTTGGAGGAGTTTTGTTACAAATATGGTGACACGAGAATTTTATATATTATTTTCCAGAATCGGCGCTAACGCCTCATTTGGCCTTATAATGGAGAAACGAATCAATCTAGTGATAAACGCAATCCTTCCCAAACCCAACGTGGACGTGCACACGCTGTACATCGATGGCTCTATGGGAGACGCCGCCAAGCCGTCACAGACTTTGCAGGCATTGTACCACACTGACGTTACCAAGATACGTGCGGGGTTGAAAGGCGAGGTGAGCATAGTCATATGAAATGAAATGTTGTATTTGTAATGTGGGACCATGGTTGAAATCCAGACAAATCATCAATAAGTAAATCCGGTGTTTTGAGTTCATCATCATCATCATCATCATCTCCCTGCCCATTTCCCAATCACTTGGGGTCAGTGCAGGCCATTTTCTGTACCTACTGCTAATTGGATTTGGCAAAAGTTTTACGACCGGCCGCCTGCCTGACATCAACCCTCCTGTTAAATAAGTTTAACAAAATACCATTATTTATTACTGCTAACGCCATCTAATGTCCTTTATTGTAAACACTTAACTTATAATGAACGATTGTATGGAACAACTCGATGATGACTATATATATATATATATATATATTGTATTTGAAATAAATCAGTTCAGTTGATGGCAAACTATCATAGCATTTTTAATAGGTTATGGGCCCAGATTTCGTAAAATATATTATTTAGTGATCAATCAGTGCAATTAGTTTTAAAATGTCGACTAATTACTTAGCAAACGTCCCGAAGTTGAAAGGTCGCGTAAATTACGATGACTGGTGCTTTGCGGCGGAAAACGTGCTTGTGTTAGAAGGCATGGCGGACGCTATCAAGCAGCCATTAGCTGAAATGGCTACATCGGTGCAAAAAGCAGAAGATATGAAGGCTAAAGCAAAATTAGTTTTAACAATCGACGCTTCTTTATACGTTCATATTAAGCAATGTGCAACGACATATGATTTGTGGAGAACTTTAAAGAATATGTTCGACGATTCTGGCTATTCACGTAAAATTAGTTTGCTTAGAAAGCTCATAAGTATACGCCTAGAGGAGTGTGATTCGATGACCAGCTATGTAAGCCAGCTTATGGAAACCGCACAGAAACTAAAAGGAACAGGTTTTGAAATAAACGACCAGTGGATTGGATCACTCATGTTGGCCGGATTACCTGAGAAATTCGAGCCCATGATAATGGCAATCGAACACTCGGGCATCAATATAAACGCGGATGCTATAAAAACAAAATTGTTGGATATGAGTGTTGAGGTTAAATCGGAAGGTGCATTCATCGCAAAAAAATTTTCTCATAGTCATAAATATGGCGGTTACAAAAATCAAACCGCTCACTCACAAAATGGCGGCGGCAGAGGAATGAACGGAAACCGAACGTATCCGTCTACTGTAAATGTCAGTGAAAGCGGCTTTAATACAGCAGCAAAAACAAAAATAATCCGTTGTTATAAGTGCAAGCAGTCTGGACACTTTAAAAATAGATGTCCACACACAGAAAAAGCGAAGACGAATGCATTTAGTGCAGTTTTTCTCACAAAAGAATACAGTCAAACTGACTGGCACTTGGATTCTGGTGCAAGTACTCATTTGGTTTCCAACTTGAATTTATTGTCAAATGTTTGTCATCAACCCAAGATTAAGGAGATAATCGTAGCAAATAAAACGATTGTGCCTGTTGAATGCTCAGGGGATCTACAGATTACGACATGTGTCGGAAGTAAGAACTACGAGATAAAAGTAAACAATGTTTTGTATGTGCCAGATCTCACCACAAATTTACTATCAGTAAGTAGAATAATTGCCAACGGAAACAGAGTCGAATTTTATCGACATGGTTGTTCAATTTATAACTCACAGAATGAATGTATTGGTGTAGCAAAATTAGAAAATGGTGTATACAGACTAATTGTGAAAACTGAGCAAGTGTTTGCAGCATCAGAAAAAGTATCTAGTACAACTTGGCACAGGCGTCTTGCTCATATGAATGCCACAGATATGCAGAAATTGAAGAATGGAGTAGTTAAAGGTGTTAATTTCAATGACAAGTGTGACATCAGCAAGAATAGCTGCACAGTTTGCTGTGAAGGGAAGCAAACAAGGCAACCATTCCCTCACAGTACAAATAAAAGTCTTGGAGTCCTGGATCTGGTCCACACAGACTTATGTGGACCAATGGAGAACCAATCACTAGGTAAAGCCAGATACTACCTATTGTTTGTGGATGACTTTAGCAGGATGTGTACTGTTTATTTTCTGCGAGAGAAAAATGAAACCTTCAAATATTTTAAACAATATAAAGAACTTGTCGAGACCCAGCAGTCAAAAAAGATTAAAATTCTAAGGTCAGACAATGGAGGCGAGTTCTGTTCGGCAGAAATGGAAAACTACTTAAAGCAGTGTGGTATAGTTCATCAGAAAACAAATAGTTACACACCGGAGCAGAATGGGCTATGTGAGAGATATAACAGATCAATAGTTGAGAAAGCACGCTGTCTCCTGTTTGATGCTCAATTTCAGAAATTCTTATGGGCGGAGGCTGTAAATACAGCTGTGTACATTATAAACCATGCACCAGCTGCAGGCATTAGTGAGAATATTACTCCTTATGAAATATGGACGGGCAGAAAGCCGAATTTGGATCACCTGCGAATATTCGGCAGTCCAGTCATGGTACATATCCCCAAAGAAAAACGCAAAAAATGGGATAAGAAAGCGAAGAAAATGTTCATAGTTGGATATTCAGAAAATATCAAGGGCTATCGCTTATATGATCCAGTAGCACAGAATGTTATTGTAGCCAGAGATGTTGTAGTCATGGAGAACATAGATGACAGCTCGATGACAACCATCACCATTAAAGAAGACAATATCACCATATTCAGAGACATTATCACCAGAAGACATGGATCTCCTCTCTACACAATGTGATACAAATGTGCCTGCAAAACGTGTGAGACACAAACCAGACTACTATGGTTGTGCAAACATGTGTGCGGAAATGTCAGGTGAACAGCTTACTTTATGTGATGTGTTAAATAGTTCTGAAAAAGAACAGTGGCAGTGCGCGATAAAAGATGAGTTAAAATCTTTTAGTAAAAATGACACTTGGGAGTTAGTGGATAGGCCAAAAGACAAAACAGTGGTCAGAACCAAGTGGGTGTTTAAAAAGAAATTTAACAGTGATGGTGAAGTGCGCCACAGGGCAAGGCTTGTAGCCAAAGGATTTACCCAAAAGAAAGGTATTGACTTTAATGAGACTTTCTCGCCTGTATTAAGATATTCTACATTTAGATTGTTATTAGCTTTAAGTGTTCAACTTGATTTAAAAATGAATCATCTAGATGTACCAACAGCTTTTCTTAATGGTTTTCTTAATGAAACTGTATATATAGAAATACCAGAATGTTCAGAATTTAAAAATTGTAATAACAAAGTGTTGAAACTTAAGAGAGCAATTTATGGCCTCAAACAATCAGCTCGAGCTTGGTATACTAGAGTTGAGGATTGTCTGTTAAAATTAGGCTATAAAAAGTCAGATTATGAACCTTGTCTTTTTATAAAGAGTGACAAAAATACTAAAGTTTATATTGCTTTATTTGTAGATGATTTTTTTATCTTTTATAATTGTAATAGTGCATATAAAGAATTGATAAATGAGTTAGTTAATAAATTTAGAATTAAAGATTTAGGTCAAATGAAACAGTGTCTAGGTATGAATATAAATGTATATAAAGACTGTATTACTGTAGACCAAAAGCAATTTATAGAAATTATTCTAAAGAGATTTAATATGTCAGATTGTTCATGTAGTGATACTCCTATGGAAATTAATTTAAAATTTGAAAGAAATGTTAAAGTAAACTCTGATAAAAAATATCCATACCAACAATTGATAGGCAGTTTAATGTACTTATCTGTATTAACCAGGCCAGATATTACATTTAGTGTAAGTTTCTTGAGTCAGTATAATAATTGTTTTAATGAGACACATTGGAAACATTTAAAACGTTTATTGAAATATTTAAAAAGGACTAAAGAATATGGTCTTGTATATAAGAAGACCATTGATAATTTACATGGTTTTGTAGATGCTGATTGGGCTTCTTGTTACTTAGATAGGAGGTCATATACTGGATTTTGTTTTATTATGTCAGGTTCTGTAGTTTCCTATGAATCAAAAAAACAAAAAACTGTAGCACTATCTAGTACCGAAGCGGAGTACATGGCCTTATCTGAATCCTGTAAGGAAGGCATTTATTTAAAGAATTTGTTAAATGAGCTTGTTCAGTGTGGAAATATGCCACTGTGTTTATATAGTGATAACCAAAGTTCTATTAAATTAGCTTCTAATCCTTTGTTTCACAATAAGCGTACTAAACATATTGACATAAGGCACCACTTTGTAAGAGAATGTGTGTTAGAAAATAAAATTAAAATTGAATATGTATCAACAAATAATATGCCAGCTGATATACTTACCAAAAGCTTAGCTAAAGATAAACATTATAGATTTCTAAGTCTAATGGGTGTTTCAAAAGTGTCAAGTATAAACATGTGTCATGTAAACATTTAATTATATTTAATGTTTTTTATCATTTTATATTTTTTTTTTGAATTTAGATTATTTTGTTAGGTCAGGGTGTTAAATAAGTTTAACAAAATACCATTATTTATTACTGCTAACGCCATCTAATGTCCTTTATTGTAAACACTTAACTTATAATGAACGATTGTATGGAACAACTCGATGATGACTATATATATATATATATATATATATATATATATATATATATATATATATTGTATTTGAAATAAATCAGTTCAGTTGATGGCAAACTATCATAGCATTTTTAATACTTGATAAATGATAAACCCGGACAAATATTTATATAAAATATCTTTTGGACCTATTTTTGTAAAATATTTTCTAATAGACTTTCAATCTATGTATGTACGAAATACTTTATTTTCTTTTGAAGAATCAATAATTATTGATGAAAATTTCTTCTTATGTTTTAGTACGTAGAGCAAGCTATCAGAGAGATAGCTTTCTACGAAATTTCCAACACTGACATTCGTCAACTTCCTCAAGGACAATTTAATTAAAAAATATTATTCATTTAAAAAATATTTTTGTTATTTATCTTAGTATCACTATTTGAATTTTATTGATGAGATTTACAAGAGGTCTATTTAACCCTGTGCCTGATTGTGATAAGATTCGAATCTGAACAACTAAATTCGACCCATGTGCATGCGCTTATAAACCTAATTAGTATATGTATGTATACATATATTTATATAATTATAACAAAACATTACTTCTACAGATGCTTACATTAGCTGAAAGCTTCGACGGTAACGCCAAAGTAACTTGGACAGCGAACTCCGTTTACAAAGACGTCGACAACATAATATCGTATAAATGGGATGTAAACGGATCAAAATATATAGATTACAGCTTAAGCACGCCGTTGTATGAAACCGAACCGACGTTCACTGTGACAGGGTCGTATCAAAAGGACTTAGTACATGGCTATCATGTTGTGAAGTTAGTATATGGAATTATTGTTTATTTTTTGTGCACATATTTAAAGTTACCGAAACAATTCCAAAATTTCCAATTTTTGTTAATTTTTCAAAAAATAACAAGTTATTTTAATAGATATATGTGTATAATATTTTTTTTCTTTCTATTCAACAGAGGTCTCATGTATCGCCCAAGCTCTTCTCAAATAGGTGAAATAGACATGCGTTACGGCGGTATCAAACACACAGACGGACATTTCAACATGTCCACACCGTTCCAAACTCTGCCTTGGTTGGAATCTATATTTGATGTAAGTTTATTTATATTTAGCCTTAAAAATATTAACTTGTATTTTTGCTATAATACAAAAAAGTAAAAACCTATTGCCTTTTGCTTTTATAGCTAAGGTATATTAATTTATAGGAAGATATACTGTAATCTGGTAAAATATTCTGTTTTAAAGGTTAGGAAAAAAAATTAATTGTTTTTTTTTCTTTTTCAAAATTTAACCAAATTTAAATAATATACTAAAAGTTGCTAATTATATTATATATTTCGCAGATTAACAACTTAGAAGAGCTATCAGATAATAAAGTAGATTTATTCTGGCCGAACAAATCAGCTTCATTAAATACAACACATAAATACGTAAAACAAGACACGGGTTTCACACAAAATGGCGCAATATCACTTTCAATTCCATTGAACACTCAACATTTGGTCAACACCGAATATTTCTATTTAGAAGAAGACAAAAGAAGCAATGGAAATGCAACAATCGATTTCGATCGTGAAAGATTTTTGGAAGTATTTTTCAATAAAGTTCTAAGTAAAAGTGATAGGAATTTAGACTTAGCTACTATGAATATTGAGGTCGAAAACATTCACACGCCGTTTGGTGTTAAATATATACATGAATACGATGGCGTTGGAAGCATTGTAAGTAGCTTTTAACTTGTTGTTTACGCACATTTATTTCTTATATATACGCATTAACTAGCGACCTGCCCTCGTTTCTCTCGGGTTCGTCCCTAGGTTGATTCCCCATACAAAATTTTACCCCCGTTTACACCCCCTTACAGGATAATTTCCGGAATGAAATATCCTATATCATTTCCAGCGTCTCAAACTATCTTCTTACCAAATTTCATCTAAATCGGTTCAGTAGTTTTTGTGTTTATTCATTACAAACATAACAAAATACAAATCTTGGCCATCGTGGTAGACTATGGCCTGATCCCCCCGGTTTGAAGGGAGGCCCGTGCCCAGCAGTGGGACGTTAAAAAAGAATGAATACAATACAATATAATATTTAAACATACGTTTTCATAATAGAACCTACTACTACTATGCTAACTGAAACACTTCTGACAGTAAACAGTGAACTAAATTATCACTTAACTATTATAGCTTTCAAATTTCTCAATAACTGTCTATATGGCCTAGTGGTTAGCATGTGTTGGTTACAGAGTCCTAGGTTCAAATCCCGGATCAAATGTTTTTCTATAAAGAAGTTGTGATTGGTCCACGTGGCCGGAATTATTATATATAACATTCAGTATTAATAAATGATTACAATTCCAGGATGCAAAACAAGCAACAATATTCCATCTTCATAACGAAAGTATGGCGAATATAACCGGACGCCTCGACATGTACACATACGATATAGGCAAGCAACTCAAACTAACAGCCATACACGGAAATCGAACCTGGACCTTTGAGAACAAGTATGAGGCTGTCGATAAAGAACTAAAACAGGGCAGTAAAATGACGTGGGCAGAGGATGTGTGGATAAATTATGATATACATGTTACTAATATGAGTGTCGTAAGTTTATATTTTTTTTATTTTCTAAGTGCTTTCTTACTAAGGCCAGGGTCGGACCATGAATTTGAGGGGCCCTGGGCTAGCACATCTAGGGGGCCTAAACTAATTGTAATTTTATCTTTATAAAATCTATAATGATAGATCGTACTTACTAGACGAAATAAAGATAACTCTGTTTGGTTCTGTTTAATTGATCTCAGCGTTATTGGCCAAATATTTTATGGCTTTAATTTTTTTATTTTTAATTCTATAAATTCACAATATTTGTCCATTATAATCCATTATTTTCAACAGAGGGCCCGTTATATCTTAGGGGCCTTAGAAAGCAGTTCAAAAAGCCTGTATATAATATTTAGATCCGACCCTGACAAAAACACTACCCTGAACTCAAAATCGCTTTAAAATTAAATATTTTTGACAAGCGTCTGAGTTTTCTTCTTAAAATTAATATTTTGAAACACGTTTGGGAATAACCTATATATTTAAAAGAGAATCAAAAAAATCAGTTCACTATTGCAGAGATATATCTCCCCTTTTTTAAATCTTTCAATTACTTTATAAGTTTACTCGTACGTGATACAGATTAAATCATGAAGAAATGTAGCATTTTTCAGTTTTTGTAGGATTATGTGCAAAATATTTATTTATACAAATGTATGTTATCTGTGGTAAAAATCCAAATAAATGCAACTCAAAAGTAATTTTTTAATACTATTTTCACTTAAACCATTCTACTACAAATTCTTAATGATCTATAACATTAATATTTTTACCATAACATTTCAAGGCTGACACAGAATCCCAACAAATTGTAATGGACATCCGCTACCCGCTACGTACTTTCCGTATAACGGGTCTCTATCGCCTACAAGATACGCTATTGGATGGAAACGCCCATTTGCTTTGGAATGTACGCGCTGAAAACAAAAGTGCTGAATTGAAAGGACGATGGGAAAACCCTGCGACGGATGAAGGGAACCTACACGATGTATACTTGGCATTATCTCATCCTTCCTTTAAAAAGGTACGCCATCTTAATTGTTGGTTGCTTTGACATTTTCAATAAAAGTGTCTTTTCTGATTTTATTGACGTTTCGAATGCTTTACAGCAATTATAGCCGTGGAAAAATCCGAAAACATTGTTTTATTTAAAATATTAAATATGTCATAATCTAAGAAAGTATTATGGTAGTTTATTTTTTTTTAATTTTCAGTCATGTCATATTTTGACATATTCACAATAATATTAGTTTTAGTCTACAAGTTCACTCGCGTTGTAGATACGTCGTTTAATAGTATGTGGTAATTAAATAGTTAAATTGTATACAAAAGTACTGATATCTTATAAGTATTATAATGTTACTGTACGATTCATAATGACACGTCAAGCTAGAACTTCAATGGTTTTTATTTTGAATGTCTTGGGCAAAGACAACCTTTTTAGACATCTTAAAGGAAACTTATCTGTAAAAATAATACCTCTTATCCAACGTCATATTTTCTAACCTAATAGGTCTTTTTTTTAACGTTGTTAAATGCATTTACGCACGAGGTGTGGGACTCACCGGCAAAGCCAGTACTACCCACTAAAACCCAACAAAACCTTCCCCCGTCTTAATGGGGCGTCGCAGAATCGTTTACGCATTCAACTACGACGCCCCGACGGCAGGTATGCCGAAGCAGACCACAACAACCACGGAGTTGCTCCAAGGTCCACTCTGCTATCAGAGAAGTACCAGGAGCAACCCACATGGTACACCGCCCACCGAAGAGGGCCACGTCCCACCCACCTCCCTGTGTGTTTCTTGGTTTGCCGGCTGGATTGCCGGGCACTACTGAGCCACCCACCACAACAAGATGAACGCACGTGTGGGGGGGGGGGCCTAATAGATCTTAGTTTAGCTAATTTTTTTATTTTTTTAGTAATTTTTACTCTCTAATTTTGCAGGATGTGACTCTCAAAGGGCAGTATCTCAGCACGCCAGCTGTCATGTCAAATGTCTCCATAGAGCTGCAATACTCTGACTACGAAAACGAATATCTAAAACTCAAGTCAATACTAACCGATAACTCCAATGGACCCATCAGAGATTATAAGTTTGCTCTCAAATGCACTCATCCTTCAACAAACTTAGATTTAGATATGAAATCCGATATAAATATCCATAGCCGATGGTATTACTTGTCGAATTACTATAGATTCCAGAAGTCGCTGTTCTATGAGAAACTGCGAAACAATCAGTTGTTGATTGATTTGAATGAGAGTCAGATTAGTTGGGAGGTAATTTACATATTTTTTTTAAATGTACTAATGATATTTAAAACATCTGTTTTTTATACATGAATATAATCTTTCATCTATTTAATTATTTTTTTAAATTTGACGACGTCAAAACAAAATTCATGGTGTAATCAAAATTTATTTTAAAATATATCCGATAATAACATTAAAAATTTAAATAATAGTATAAAAATGTTTTAAAAGACAATAAAATCGAAAGTGCATAATAATTACAAGACTTCCGCGACACTATTCAGACAAATAGATATCAGATCAATAGCATACCTAAGGAGGGTTGACGTCAGGCAGGCGGCCGGTCGTAAAACTTTTGCCAAATCCTTTCAGCAGTACAGAAGATGTACTGCGCCGACCCCAAGTGACTGAGAAATGGGCAGGGAGAAGAAGAAGAATCTTTCATCAAACGATGAGCGCCATCTTTTGGAAAAAAATATTATTAACTAGTCTATGCGATATATATGCTACATTCCAGTTACACGTCTATCTGTGCTTTAAATTTTCTACATTGTAGAATAAAATATATTTTTTTTTTACTTAAGTTTTATATGACGGAATAATAACTAAATTATATTTTCTTTACCAGCGAGCAAATGAGACTTACTTCTATAAAGTAAACGGCACATGGTCCCTCGTGTATCCTAAATACCAAGCAAGTGGAATTGTACTACGTCCAAAAGCAACGGATATAGTGTTTGCTGAATTGTCTATGCTTGATAAAGCTGTTGTTGCGCATTACAATAGTACTGATGGTAAGTTGTGCTTATACGGCATTAAGGACCAAGTTTTCCTGGCCCTCAATAATGGACGTCCTTATATTGACATTATAGAATTGTTACATTGTATTATTATACAAGTGTGTTTTAATTTGCAATAAATATAAATTATATTATATTTATATATCATTATTATAAATATATATATTATTATTATAAATTTCAGACATTTCCTATCATATAATAGGCAAAATTATAGACACTAGATCGGCTAGAGTGGACGCATGGCGCAACTACGATGACGTCACTACCGTCGACCTCGCGTCCTACATACGTTTAAACCATTCTCGGCTACTCACTAGTGCCTTCATGTGGCGTCCTGAAATATTCACCGAAATAAAGTCCCAAGCTGTATACACCATGAAGATATTATACAGCCAAATTAATGATACCCTAGTGGTTATAAAAGAAGCTCCAATGGAAGCCCATTTGGCTCTAAGAAATATTTGGAGCGACGCTAAACCCAGAGTACGGGAGTTCTTAGACGATTTGAACGATTTGCACGTGATTAAAGATGATTTAGATGAATTTGAACGGTTTTTAAACGAATCTTACGAGCATAACGACTTTTATGTTAAAGATGTAATAGAATTCACTTATTACGTGTTAGATGAAATGGCTATACGTAATCATCTGGAAAGCTTGCCCGGTTTCGTAAATGATATGTGGGGGATGATGGGTAACACAAGTTCGTCTATCAAACAAAGTCTGACCTACGTTGTGGACTCCATTAAAAAAGCGTACGCTAATTTCCTGGAATCGATAAATAAAATTTTGGAAGCAGATCTAATGGAGCTAGTATCGGATAAGTTGGAAACAATGATACTGCAATATGATACTTTCGTAAGAGATTTGCATATGAAGTTTTTGGAATATTGGGAAGAGACGTGGGTGAATGCGACCAATCGAATGGGGAAATATTGGCATGACTTATTGAAATCTATAGAGCCGCTGTTTTTCAAAATGTTACATTATAGCGAAGCGTTTGTCGTCACTATTTGGAAAAGTATCATGGATTTCTTCCACGAACGGACACACGAACTGACTGACACGCCCTATTTCAATTATGTATCTACGTTTGGACACGAAATGGATCGGTAAGATATTGCTGAAGCTGGCATTAGCAACTCGCCGCCATTATGATTTTTTTTTTCAATTTAGCGGCGCACAATGAAACTGGTAGAGGATAGTTAACCAAGCAGATAATATAAGCAATATAGTGTAAATGCCTAACGTTCCAAGTGGCACGTTTCCAAGATATTTGAAAGTGATCTTTTAAATGAAAACTTTGGAAACTTGTTTCGAGTACGACCTACTGAATACTAGTAACACACAATCTATTAATTTTTAATAATTGTCATCGTTGTCATATACCTTTACATTAAAATATCTCGAAAACGTGACTTCTTAAGTCATTATATTGCTGATAAATATTTAATAATTTAATATTTATTTAACTATTTTCGATCTACATGCTCCGTTAATAGTGCCCCGCAAATTGAGAAAAAATAATAATGGCGGAAATTTGGCAATGCTACAAATTTCTATCGATTTAAGTAATATTTTCGAACAACCACGCCATTTTTATATTATGTAATTGTTTAAATTTTTCAGTATTTACAAAGACTTGGTAAATAATGACATAATAACGAACGTAAAGAAATACAGCAGAAAACTATGGAACGTAATTTGGGGCAAAATAGAAAAGTACATTCCATTCACTGACGAGTTCAGACAATTGTTCAATGAATTTAGAAATGCTTGGGAGAATTTCCTGAAGACACCGCAAGTGGTTTATGTTAGAGAAAAGGTAAATACAGTATATTATTTTACATATAATGACTTTTTTTCAATAAAATGTGATATGATATTTTTTTCGCTTTATTATTATTATTTTTTTTATATTAATTTGTTGTTTATATGGAAATCATGTTTTTTTCTGGTAGAGAAATATGTATAGGTAAATTATTCTAATTAAACATAAATTACCTATGCTTGCACAGCCACAGAAAACCCTAGTTTATAACATCTATACATATATATGTAATAAAATTGTAACTAAGCCGAATCTGTATATTAAATATTTTATGGAAAACCTTATTGAAATAGACATTTTTATCGATACAGAAGCCGAATCTATAGTTTTTAGAATTTTTGTCTGTCTGTCTGTTTGTGACCGCATCACGGAGAAACCACTGGAGGGATTTTGATGAAACTTGGTATGATAATAGCTGGTTTTTACTGCGCCAAAACCACGACCACGGCCACTTTGGTGAACACAAGTTATTATAATTATGTTTTATTATTTTTTTAGTACAAAGAAGCTTACGAACGCTTAAAATGGTGGTACGACTATTTCTTAATTGGTGAAGCATTTGACAAAGTTTGGGAGATTTTATATGCAAAAGTCACGGATATGGCTAAAACAGCGTTGCAATATGAAGAGTTGTGAGTATAATATTTTAATCTAAACTATCAAATCTTTTAGTTTTTACGAACCAAGTGTACTCAAATGTAACAAATTTTTATTATTATTGGGGTTTTTATAACTCATTTGATTTTATTATTATACTAAAACATTTAAAAGACTGTATGTGTTTTAATATGTCATAGTTCACCAGTCTATAGAGTTTATTCTACAATTTAAACCATTTATTCCCTATTTTTGTATCTTTAATAATATATATTTTTTTTTTTCAATTTCAATAACAGACACCGCACACCAAAAACAAACTTCATATTCGACCCTCACAAAGGTGAGATCGTTCTAGAACAAAAGCTACCAATGTCCTGGCACGCTTTCAATCGAACTCCGGACTTTTCCGAGATATCCGAGTACAGAACTATAAGGGACTTTGTAGACGAATGGCTAACAAGTAACAGGAGTATTTGGGCATATTACTATGATATACGACCGTATTTAGACCTTAATAATGTAGTTCCACCGTTTTCGGGTAAGTTTAAGAACATCTGACTATTCTTGTCTGTCGGAACCCCTGATGAAATTGATCTTTTACAACTAAAAAGCCACACTTTAAATAAAAAGCCTGACTATAAATATTGTAAGCTACTTTGTTGCCATTTTTGAATTTTTGAAATAATTTTTGTAATATACTGTCTGCAACAAGTATATGTGTGTGAGACGTCTATAACTTTAGTCTCTCCCGTGACCATGATTGCTGTAAAGCATTCGAAACGTCGGGAACCAAAAATCAAAATAAATTAGCGAAATAATCCGAAAAGATAGTTTTATTTGAAATGTCAAATATTCGCGTAAATCTAAGAAGGTATTATAAAAAGCCACTCTTTTAGTACCACGTGAGTAAAATCGGCTGTCGGAAGCTAGTTTTATTGCATTTATTGCATTTCTTAGACTCATTTACTTGAGATTTTTTTCGTATTTTTGAGAACCTTAAAAAATTATGATAATAGTAAGAAAACTTAAATAATATAAGAAAAACCATATAAAGTAATTTAAACGAGACAGTTAACGAGTACATTGCTCAACTTCATTTTTCTTATTTATTCTCTTTCCATATGAATGAAGCATGAAACTCTTTCGTGTAAATGCAATTTTAGAATAAGAAGTCTATCAAAATTGGTTTTTAATGAGATGTACTGTCTTTGTGTGTCGGTGTGTATCTATCTTTTCATCTATCTAATTACATATAAAATTCCATATAAAATAAGAATTTTGATTGGCTTCATTACAAAATTTATGTTACGGTACGTTTTTTTGCATAAGTTTGAATTGTGGACCGATTTTCTATAATTTTTTTAATGAATATAGATAATACAGGTAGTAGAATTAATTTACTTTCAAAGTTAATCCGTAATTAGTGTACCTTTTTTAGTAAAAAAAAGTGAACATTTATAAAATATTTTAAGGTATGGCAATGATGACCGGAGAAGGCACACTGGTAACATTCGACAAACAAGTGTTCACGGTAACCGAGCCCGGTACATTCCTCCTAACGAAAGACTACAAACAGAATAACTTCACTGTGCTAATGGAGAGCAATGAAGATGGCAGATACGACTTGGTCGTGTTGACTAAAAAGAATTTGATTTTCATCGATTTGTATAAACAGGTGATTTGATTAGTTTCGTATTTAAGTAATTTTGTAATTAATGTATTTTTATGACGCCAGTATGAGTGAACGAATGAGTATGCTAATGACTGAGTGAGTTAGTCAGAGAGTGAGTGAGTGTGTGTATTTGCTACTTTACTTCTTGACACTGTAACGACTCGACTTGAGTGAAATTAATAATGAAAACGACTTAGCCTGCTTACCATACTATGGTGAAGGAAAACAGTGTTTCCTCTCAGACATGCAGTTTTCCACCTGGACGTCTGATCGTCATTGAATCTCTGTAAATAAATGAAAAATAATTAAAATTAAAAAAGTACTTACAATATATTACTCTTATACATGCAAAAAGTTGTATTTATGTGTATGTTTGTTACTCTTTCACAAAATGACGGCTGGTTGATAGACTATAGCCTAGGTCTGGTAATACATAAATAAATTAAAGAGTGTGTAGGTTATCGGTACTCTTTATGAAATTCAATTTATATTTTAAATAATTAGGATAGGTGAGATACTAAAAATAACGCATCATATTAGGCATATTACAATCATATATTTATAGAATATAATATATAGAAAGAATATAATATTATATATCATTTTTCATACATCATACATTTTTTCATAACGCATTCACCAGCATACCCTCCCCAACCCCAGTCAAGCGTGTTTAAAGAAATTTTACTTCTAAACTTACAAAGACTTTATATTTGGTATTACAGCAAGTGTCCTTAGGTCCATCGCTGCCACTCAATTTACCAGCAGTCATTGACGAGTTAATAGTGGACAGACGCACAGACACGCTCACTGTGGAGGGACAAAGCGGGTTGGACATCGAGTGCAATTTGCTGTTCAAGACCTGCAAACTGGAAGTCGCAGGTAATAGGAATATATCATTTATTATGTCAATAAATCACACTCATCATTCGTATGAATTATTTGTTAGCGAAAATATTTTTATTACACACTGTAATGACTACGGATTTAGTGAAATATGAAATGGGCTTTTAGGATGCATTAGCACATTGACTAACTTTATACTTCGACATTAGCGAAGCCATGAACAGAACTATAAAGTATTGTTAAATCTGAAAAATTTACGTATGAGGTAAGACGCGAGTTAATCGTATCCAACTCTCACGGATCTCACGGTTTACGGATATCACTGTAACTTGTCACGAGATGTCACTAAATTAGTTTTAAGACTTTGAAACCGTTGGCTGTAGAAACTTGTATTATTTTATAAGATAAGCATTTCACAGCATTTCCGTTAAAATCAATGGTCAAGCACCTTATGTATGATTTTTATATTGTGTTACTACTAAACTTTTCAGTAAAATTATTATAAAAACTTTTGTCTTTAGGTTGGTATTACGCGAGCCTAGGTGGTCTCCTCGGTACATACAACAACGAACAGTACGACGAAAGACAATTGCCCAACAATACAATCGAAACAGATATAGATAACTTAGCCCACGCGTGGACTATACGCAATGTGACCGTGGGCAAAACGCCGCCAAAACCAAATAATACTGTGTGCGATAAATTCTTTAGGAATAAGGTGTCTCCATTGCATCCTTGTTTCTCTTTGGTGAGTATTGTTTTTAACATTTTATTTTATAAAGCAAGATTTTTGTTTTTTTTATTTGGTTATGTGTTTTTAAGAGTAATTAAATATTAATTTTTATCTGAGGTAAATTTATTTACCATTTCATATAATATGTTGGTATTTCAAACAAATTATGGCTTGTGCCGCCAGCTCTAGAAATATGTTACTTTGCCAAAGAGTTCCGTATATGACTCAAGTCCCAAATGACGTTCTGATACTTCCGTCAGAACTAGGGATGTTTTTTTTTTAATTTTATATGTATGTCACTTCTCGGTTGGACTTATTTGTGACTGTAGCCTGGAGTAACACATAGACCATTCTTAGGTACCGAAGAAAGCACCCCAGCGAAATGGTAAGTGGTTAATAGGGGATAAAAATGCGATATTTTTAAATCTATAAATATAGAAAAAAAAACTATAACACTCACTCACCACTTAGTGTTACATGATTAAACCATTTAACTCGTCCACAGATCGACGCAGTGCCCTTCTACGCAGAATGCGCGGTGGGCGCGGACGCGTGCGCGCTGGCCGACGCCTACCGCGCGCTGTGTGCGCAGCAACACGTGCCCACGCACGTGCCCGACCTGTGTGTGCAGTGAGTACCATTACCATCTTTATAATCATCATATCAGCTAAACTTATTATTCTATTCTCGCTGGCACAGTCTGTTTTGACTTATTGTTTATCAGCCTGGGGTGGGACAGGGAAAACTAGATTCCTCCGTTTGGAGAGAGCCCAAAGAGCCGTGCTTAAAGTTATGCTTTGCAAACCAATCCGTTTTGCTACTTCTGAATTGTATATAATAGCTAAAGTCTTTAGAATTAAACGGTTAGACAATTGTTTGTTTTAAAAACGGAATTACGCAAACACCTTGAGCTACCTTTTGTTAAAAATGCTATAAAGCGACGGGCTGGCCGCATTTGCCATATGAAAGCTACTCGTATTGCCCTTGTTAGAAATCATTATGACTATCTCTCGGCTAAAATCTACAACAAATTGAATGCATTTTGTTGTAAATGAACAAACTCAATATAATATATTTTTCGTTAAAAAATTCTTTATTTTTAATATAACAAAAAAATATTCTCAGATGTACAACACCCGAAGGCGATATAGTAGAAGAAGGATCTTTCCTACAACTGCAAAACGTACCAGCATCAATGGACGTAGTGTTCGTGGTCGAGGCGCAGAACTGCAATAAGAATATACGCAAGACGAAGAACATCGATCTGTTCATAGATACTTTGGATAGTAAACTTCAAGGCAATGGCTTTTCTGATAACAGGTAAGATTTTCATGAAGTGCATCCTCTTCAAAAGTCACTGTATTTTCGGACTGAAACTAAACCGGCTGCATTCATTCATTATTATTAATTAGCAGCGTATCATCATATTATATCAATAAACTTTACAACGATCTATAATTGTATTTTTTATAGCAAGCCTTTAGTGGTAGGTCGCATCTTCTACAATAATCTTCAGGACATTGTAGCTTACACTATAAGGTTTCTGTACACGAAGGCGCAGCGTTATAGATGGGTGTTATATACAAAATTATGTATGTCCCGCGTGTCTACTACTACTACTACATCGATCTGTAAAAGTAGTAATTTATTTAACTTAATTTAAATGTAGTAGAAAGTCAAAACAACATCTTCATCTAAAGATGAAATTCCATTTAAAAATGGAATTGTCAGAAATGTTATGTTAGAACATTAACACACAGCACCATCTAGTTCCATAGTGTAGTGTATCAACCATCTATGTCCATAGCACAAGCCTCGTAGCTTACCATGGAACTAGACGGTGTTGTGTGTTAATGACCCAACATATTTTGGCTGCTGCAACACAGTTTTTAACGAGCGCAGGGGCTATGGAAATCTTTATCACCTGTGTATATATAAAACTATGTCCATAAAGAATTTATTATTAAAAATGAAGCAAATATATTTATTTATTTCCTCGTACTAGATACGCGGTGGTAGTGTACGGCGGGCGCGGCGTGTACCGCAAGCCGCGCGCGCTGTACGTCAACAACAAGCTGTTCACCGACGCCGTGGATATACCTCGGCACTTCGAGGCTTTCGAAATTGGTGAGTTAATGTTTCTGTGAATTTTACATTTATTTTTAAATTAATATTATGATTATCCTATACAAATCGTAGTATTGTTGTATAAATATGAAATAATGGGATAAATATGTTTAATATGGATTTTGAGGTAGTACCTTTTTAGTTACAGTGAAATTATTTAATGACATAATAGTAAATATTTTTATATACAGGTATTGATTTCATTTGATAACATAGTTATTTTGCTTTATTATTAGGATCAATAAAGAAATAAGACCCAAATTAGGTTAAATTAATCTATTAAAGCAGTTTTTTAAAATGACGACCTTCAACTTCAACACACAATTGGCAACGTCTTAAAATAATAATTTTTAATCTATGGAAGGCGCTTGAATTTTCTCGGTTTTTTGTTGCTGCTCCTTTCAATTGTATTTCTTCTTCGGAGTTATTATGTCTATAATCTACCTAATATGTGCGAAACATCTAAATGAGTTCAGCCGTTCTGGTGATAGAGTAACAAACATCCATCAAAAGTTTCACATTTATAATATGTGTGTGTGTGCGACACAGAGAAGCCCGGCAACAAGTCGGTGGCGGGCGACGCGCTGCGCGCGCTGCGCCTCGTGAGCGCGCTGCCGCTGCGCGCCGCCGCGCCGCGCGTCGCGCTGCTGCTGCCCTGCACCGTCTGCGAGCCGAGACTCTCTGTAACTATACACTTATTATGTTATAAACTATACATCATACTTTCTTAGATTTACGCGAATATTTGACATTTTAAATAAAACTATCTTTTTTGATTATTTCGCGGATTTATTTTGATTTTCGATTCCCGACGTTTCGAATCCTTACAACAATCATGGCCACGGAAGAGACTGAGTCTAGCTCTGATAGTTAGTCAGAAAAGATAGTCTTATTTAAACTATACATCATTATAATCGGCGCTGGATTTACACTAGAGGCACTCTAGCTCTCGATACCTCGACAAGCTATCTTTCTCGCACCTATGGCTACGCATAAGACTTTTTTGTAGTACTAATTTGTAAACTTTATTTACGTCTGGGGCTGGTTTATAACCGGTAAATTCGTCTGGCGATTTGCAAGTATTATTGAAAATTACTCAATAAATACGTGATTAAAATTTCAGATTGCCAAAAGTATATTTTTTGGGAATTTTAATAAAGCATCTTTGGAGAGGTCTGGCAATACTTTATAACCGACAAAAACGTCTGGGGTTCTTTTTTTTGAATTATATGAAAACTTAATTAAAAGATTAAACAAAAATCGAGTTGCCAAAAGTATGTTTTTTTGGATATATATTTTTTGCAAATGTTATATACTGAGCAGTAACGAAATAACCGCTAAAGCTATACCAGACTCGCGGGACTGGACTCGCCAATTCACGACATTATATTTTTTCACAATTTCAACTTGCCAAAAGGACCTTCCCAAAATTCGTCGCCAGCTCTCGGGCTACTACTTAAAGAATTAAATTCAATATTTACTTAGCTTAATAAATTATACCTAATTACTAATATTTGATTAATATATAAGAAAAGATTTTTATTGTAATATCGAATGTTACAGTTGGATTACTCCACCATCTACCACAATTTGATGGAGAACTCGATAACTCTACACATTCTCATGGACGATGACTTCTCGCTCTCTAAGAAGAGAGTGGCCAAGTACCTGTTTGGTAAGACATTTGTATTATCTATATTCCACTACAAAATAATCAAAATAATTTATTTCTCAACAGGTACAAAGATTTTGATATAAGGTACCATAATATACATGTATTTAAAAATTCAGAAGACAGCACAAATGTCCTGTCTAGTTTTTACTAGATCATGAAAGTTCCACCAAGTTCTTACGAATTCGAAAAATATGGCAACTAATAGAAAAATATGATTGTTAATAGAGTATAAAGAAACAAATATTTCGTACAAGTTTTATATTAAAAAAAGTGCAATAATTGTTCTAAAAGTATTAGTATATTTTAGTAATGTATTGTAAGTCTGTGAAATGTATAATAAGGCCTAGAGAAGGGATAGAAAGGCCAGCAAAAAACTCAACAGTTGCTCTCTTAAAATTAGTATTTGCTTATAATATTGCAAAATAATAATAATAATGTTTTTATCCTACATAATAAATCATTTCAGGAGTGGACAGTTCTGTGGCTTACACCAACAAAGACTACGAAAGATTGGTGGGCGACGTCGGGCTCAGGAAGCAAGTGAGACTGCCCAAAGACAAGCTTGGGCTCTGCACTTCGCTTGCTTTGGAGACTAACGGTATAAAATTTAAATATTTCCTTAGATGACGTGATTATTATACTTCAAATAACCTTTTTGGAATGTTTTGCCGATTTATTTTGATTTTTGGTTCCCGATGTTTTGGCTAATTGGTTCACAATCTTCCAAATAAATTTTTTAGGGAAAAATATTTCGATAACTTGTCAGAAAAATTGGGAAATTGTGTCAAATCGGAATACGTGTTTAAGTAAAATATATTTTATCCTTCTTACAGTTATATAGTTTCGTAGCGAGTAAAATACAAAATAGTTTATTTTTAACCCATACACTCTTTTTTTATGTTTAAAAAAAATAGAACATGTCACGTGATTGCATGTTAATGTGTCTGGCGTGTGCAGGCACCATCTGGGCGGGGTCGAAGCTGTCGCTGGAGCGCGGCGCGGCGCGGCGCTTCGCCACGGTGGCGGCGGGGCGCGTGGCGCGCGCCGCCCGCTGCGCCGCGCCGCGCTGCGAGTGCCGCGCCGCCGCGCTGCACTGCGCGCCCTGCGCCCACCGCGACCCCGTACGTGCTCACTCACACTGCGCACATTATACACACTGTACACACTATATAGTTATATATTTTTGATCGTTCGCCCCTTTTTTCTACAAATAAATAATATAGCATTCACTGTAAATACTGCATACATGTATGCATACGCTGGATTTACACTAGGGGTACTAGGGTCTAGTGCAGAGCAGCTTTTCAGGGCTATCGAAAATGTTTTTTTTTTTATTTACCCAAAAACTGAATAAATAAAAAAAGTTAACATTTTTTTGCAGTTATCAAAAATTCAAAAATTTAACTTTATCGACACTACCCATTTTCAGCAAAATTTCGACAATAAGGTGGCATTTCTTACATTGACCAATCAAAATTTAAAAAAAAAAAACAAAATCAAAATCACATCCGTTCGGGAGCTATAATGCCACAGACGCACTCACAGACACATCAAACTTATAACACCCCATCGTTTTTGCGTCGGGGGTTAAAAATAAGAAAGTATTATGTAAATCACTATTTCCTATTTACTTTTTATTCTGTTAATCTGTTGTAGTTCTAGTTTCTTTGTTTTAAGTGAACTATTCATGAAAATATGTATATAAAATAAACCGTCTTTATGAGTATTGGTAAAGTAATAACTTAAATATAGTCTCTAAAAATTAAAAAATATTTGAATCTTGACGGCCATATTGGGACATTCTTTTCAACAGAACATTTTATATTTTCAGATGGAATTATCATTCTGGAATTCAGATGACATCGACGAGCTAATCGATATGGCGATGGAACCGCCATCGCTGCCTTCCTCATATAGCTGATATTTGACATAGTTATAATTAGTGTATTTATATAGTAATAAAAATAGTGTACGTAATGTATTAGCTATACGTAATAATTATTTTTATATATATTCATAGTTTTTTGAATAAATCAAGAAACCAAATAAATATTGTTTCATTTGTAAAATTACAACTCATTTAAGCCGTGCAAATAAATAATTAATAATCTATAGTGAGGTAGACATTGCCGGAGAATAACATTGTGTATAAGATTTTGAAATTTAAATACACGATAATTAAACTGGGAAACCGAGTGAAGCGGGTTCAAATCCCGGGTTTAGCAAATCTTATATTTTCAGATGTGAATCATTTCCAACATGATTACCACTTGTCTTACGGTAAAGAAAAACATCGTGAGGAAATCTGTATGTCTGAGAGAACCTAGCTTTTTTCTAAAGATATGCTCAGTCCACCGGCACTTGGCCAGCTTGGTGGACTATGGCTTGGTCCCCATTGTATTAAAGAGAGGCCCACCCCCAGCAATGGGACTATAAAAAGGGCTGAATACAATACACGATTTTGAATTTATAAAATTTTACAAACTAAAAGGTATTAATCATAAACTACCATTATCAATCAGTCTTTTATTAACAAAATTAAAAAACAAAAACATTTGGGTTTAATTATTCATATATTAAACTTCTTAATTCTTACTAAAAATTAATACAAAATTCTACTGTGAAATTGATTAAAAATTTCCATTTTCTACTCTGTCACATATTTCAAGTATTGGTATAACTGGTATAAAAGAATATATTTTTATTGTACTCCTCTTGAAGTACTGTATTTGTTTTGCTTGCTTATGCTATTATAATATACAAAAAGAATTAAAAAAAAGAAAACCTTGATATACTTATATAAATTGGTATAATATTTTTATTAAAGTAAAGGATATCTATCTTATAGGAATAACAATTTCTTAAACAATGACTTAGCTTTGCCTATGGTTCCTAGTTATAATCTATAATGATATATTCAAGTGCAAGTTCACAAGGAACAATCATGACTCCACCCCTCCCCAAAAGCTTTACTTTAACCTGTCAATGACCGCCAAGCAACCGGTCGTTCTGTGAACAATTAATTTCTTAGAAAATATCCTGGAGGACTTTAAGAACTAGAATTTTTGTTATCATGTCTGCAAATATCAACTGCAAAAGCAAAAATATGAATTTATATTATGTTTTACTTTTCTGTGCTAAATAACTGTATTTAAATCCTTCCTAATTAATTTGCAAACATTGAGATCTGGCTTGCGACCAGCCAAAAACTTTAACTCTTCACTCTCAACACTTGATTAAATTTGAATTACTACTTCAAAAATTAAAATGTCATTCGAAAATTAATATAAATCTCACTTCTTATGCAATTATTAAACAACATCAAAGACAAAATGATTGCTACATCTCCAAAATTTTCTTGCAATCTCCATACTTTTCATTTATGCATTTTATAAGCTAGCATTGCTCCTACTACAACCAAAACAACTGCCGAAGCTTTATACAGCATATTATAAAGAACTTGATTTTGACCACCAACTGAATTTACTATCAGATTATTCATTAAAAACACTTGATTACTTTCTTCTATAAATGCCTCTTTTTCATCTTCCGACATGGTTTCTGCTATTTCATTCATGGCTTGTCTAAAATCTTTTTTTAATAAAGCAATGTCTTCTCCCGTAAAATCAGTTACCTTATCAGAGTATGCAATTTTTTTTGAGTTATCTGAAAAAAAAAGTTAAATGTTTCTATATCAAAATCATCAATACTAACAAGATATTTTCATTTATTCTTTGTAAACCACTAACAATAATTATATATTTTGTAAACAACATTAATTAACCTTTAAAATATATTAATCTGTTAATTCTTTGTTCATTTGTTCGTTAAAGATTTTTGACTGACTTCCAAAAAGGAATCTTTTTTTTAATGTATGTTCACTGATTACTCGAAGACGCCTGAACCGATTTGGAAATATTTTTTTTGTTTCAAAGGGTATACTTCCTAATATTTTAAGATATGAATATCTAATAGGTAAATGTGTATTTTACATATCAAAATATATTAGATTTGATTTGCATCGGCTGGCACCGACTTCGAAAATATGTGATTAGGAATAGTGAATGTCCATTCTAAATGAAAACCCCCATTTAGTTATTTTTTTTTATAAAGTTTGTAAAAGATATAGAAAGAAACATGGAGTAATTTAATATTTATAGCAAACTATGAAAAACAATTTATTTACTTTCTCCAAAAACATTCCTCTTCTTAGCAAGTATCTGACCACCACTCAACAAGCCCAAGTACAAATGATATACATATGCCATCAATAGCTTGGGATTCTCTTTTTCTAAATTTTGCAAGTGTTCTAAATAGTTCTCTAAAGCCAGAGATTTTGGCAAGGACCTCCAGTTTTCACCAAGATAATGTGTCAAGTCATCTTCAAAAGCTTGTTTTCTAAGATAAAATAAAAACAATAACTTAATATATAAGACGCAAGTTAGTGTATGAAATCAGTTTCTGTAAGTTTTCTTTAAAAAATATTACTTGCCTGTATAAAATATCTTTGACAAAAAGTTTATCAAATTGTGACATATTTAACCTTTTCTTTGCATCTTCGAGAAAAGCAAAGATATGATAAAATACAAACAATCCACCTCCCCAGACTGTTTCATCTCTTAAAGCTAAAAAAATAAAATTGTAACAAATTTGATGATCATATTATGTTGTATAGTATATTATATATATAAAAATATAAAAAAAACTAGCGACTCACCCTCAGGTTTGTCCCTAGTTATGTTTTAACATTTAGCATTTCTCAGAGATGAGAAATTTTCCTGCAGTAGAAAGTATACTATAAGTTGACCCGGATATCCAGCTATCATCATACCAAATTTCAAAATCTGTAGTGGTTTTGTACTGATGCGTTCCCAGACAGACAGACAAACAGTCAAAAATTCTAAAAAGTATAGATTCGGCCTCTGTATCGAAAAAAATGACTATTTCAATAAGATTTTCCAAAAAATATTTAATATACAGATTCGACTTAAGAGTTTTATTTTATGTATAGATTACAAAAGAATTTTTTCGTCATGACGTCAATATCATTGATACGACGATCAAACGATCTTCCAAGCTTGGAAGATCGTTTTTTATATTGGGCCAAACTCTCCACTTTGCAATCAAGGCGCCTATGTGAATATAAAACATAAATAAACAATTAAAAACTTCTACTTACAAATAGCAAACTTTGCATTTACGAGTGCATCACTCACGTTATGTATTTTTCTTGTCGCTTTTCGCATACGTGTTGTAAATAGTTCTTCATTTTGAGACATTTTATAATATTGTATTGCAATTTGCAATAAAATATATTTATGAAAACTGAATTCTGAAAACAGATTTTTTGTTAATTTTATTTGACAAATGACAAGTACAAATATAAAGGCAGATTACAGATAGGGGTAAAAATATAGATAAAATTCGGAAGTGGTGTTCATTCGTATTATAAGAAACTACAAAAAAATTAATTATAGTGTTTAGTAGCTTGTTATTGAATTGCTATTTGTAGCATTTTATATATATTAACCTATTGTGTAAAGATAAAATTTTTAATTTTTATTAAAATAAAAGTTTAACATTCTGTTCTTAAAACTTCATAAAACTTCTTATCTGTGGTTGTATAATATGTGATAATTTATATTGGTATACAATTTATCATTTATTTAATTAAACATTATTAATATCTTGTACAGATAACAGTTAATGATAATTCTATTCATACGAACAGAAATATTCTAAGAGGAAACCTCGTGGACACAATGGTTGAAAGAAAACATATTAAGGTACAATAATTTTGTCAAACATATCTTTGTTTTTTAAATTCATTTCTCGATAAAAAATGAGTATTCATATACAAGCATATAATTTGTCAGGTATTGTGATGTATAGTTATTTATGTTTATTTTTGGATATCCCTTTTTAAATTTATAAATAAAAAGTTGCTCAACAACTTAATGTTGATAAGTGTTATCAATTTGACATTTCACCTAGTGTTATCTAACCTCTCATGGTTTTAGTTATAATTTCGAAATAAAAATGTCTTATGATTTAAAACGGGAAGAAGAAGTGAAAGAATACATAGAAAACCTCGGCATTGAATATCGTTTCGGTTGTTATAAAGAAAAGAAACCTGAAGTATGCCACCTACTTGCCGATTACTTGGAGGCGATAAAGAAGGATTTCCCCAAAGCCGCAAAAGTATTTAAAAGTAATTGCGTAGACTACAATTACGGTAAATCATGTTTAAAATATGGAAACTATGCGCTAATCGGAAGAGGACGAGATAAAAGTGACCCACAAGAAGCATTGCAATACTTTGAAAAAGGATGTGATTTGGGTGAACCTACAGCTTGCCTGCATGCTGGTTTACTTTTAACAGCAACTGGTCCTACTGTCACAGTTCAACGAGATGTACCAAAAGGTAAATAGTATTATTTTAAATTTTACATTTTTAAAAATATATTTAACATTTTCTTATTCAATAAAAGTAATATACTTGCTTCGACAATATGCTTATATTATTTTTATTTTAGGTTACAATTACTTAAAGAAAAGCTGTGATAAAAATGAAGCAATGGCCTGCCATTATTTAACAGGCATGTATATCAGTGGTGTTCCTCGAAATCCAAAAGAATTCAATCCGCACAACCCTGAGAAAAATGCCAACCTAGATTTTCTTATAAAACCAGATATGAAACAAGCATTTCAATTTGCAAAGAAAGGATGTGAATTGGGAAATGCATATTCTTGTGCAAATGTTAGCTTAATGTACAAAAAGGGTGATGGAATAGAGAAAAATCTTGATGAATCTAAAAAATATTTTAAGATAGCAGAAAATCTGCAAAAAGCTCAAGAGATTACAAAAGAAGTTAAATTTCAACAAGGTCTTGAGGATATAAAGTAGGGTATTGTTTCATAAGTCAATAGTATTAAAACTGTAATAATTATTTTATACATTTCATTTTGTTTGTGGTAGCCATATGTGTTGATTACTGTAATAAAGAATATGTTACAATTTTTATTTTGTTTTATTGGTATGCCTAATCTTAATATCAGAGTGATTGTCTTTAGAAATTTGATATACATATGTATGAAACTGAAAGCGGGGCTGGACTTAGAGGGGAGCAGCCGGGGCTACAGCCCCGGGCCTCCACACCCCATAAATCCAGCCCTGACTGAAAGTATTGGAGCATATTTTGAGTTCTGTATACATACTAGGAGGCATATAATACTATGAAGTGTTGTTATCTTATACAAGTATGTTCAAATATTATGCAATAGATTACTATAAGCTTTAAGTAGATTGTACCATGCTGTGATACAAAGAGGTTGCATAAGAATCTAAATGGAAGTGCGTTGGCACATCCTTATGCACTTATGTTCTTGAAATATTTGTACAATAAGAATACATCTTCAATATTATATACAATAAAATTAATTTTAATTTTGTCCAGTCATTTAAGCTACATCATTAGCATGAATGGAGTAATGTGTTCTTCACTGGCTATGCAAGTTTGTGCTATTTTAATAAAATACGATATTATATCGGATTTATACACTTAAGTCCGATCTAATATTGCCGAGATTTTTTACAAATTTATGTGTTTGAAGCTCTGATTCAGTCAAAAGTTTTATTAAATTATTCTGAACTAAAATAAAGCTGTTAATCAGCCTTGGACCAATTCATCATCGCTGCCCAGCGACGTTGAATTGCCATCCAAGGAGAATAAACTTAGTGCTACTGTATATAAAATCTTTATTTATATAGATTGGTATAATCGGTGGCTCAGGCTTCGACGACCCTAGTTTATTCGAAAACCCTGTCGAGAGAACTGTGCTCACACCCTTTGGGAAGCCCTCAGATGTTTTAATAGAAGGTTCTATCAAAGGAGTATCCTGTGTCCTGTTGGCTCGGCATGGAAGAAAACATCAATATCAACCAAGGTTTATAATTTTGTTAATCTATACATATAATAAAATTGTAACTTAGCCGAATCTGTATATTAAATACAGGCCGAATCTATAGTTTTTAGAATTTTAGTTTGTTTGTCTGTTAGCGCATGACAGAAAAACCACTGGAGAGATTTTGATGAAATTTGGTGTGGTGATAGCTGGTTAGCCGGGTCAACATATAGGTAACTTTTACCGCGGGAAAATATCTCATTTCTGAGAAAAAATACAAAAACTGCAATATAGGAGTATAATAATAAGTAAAACTTAAGAATTTGGTTTTTGGTCATCTGAACGCGGGCGGAGCCGCCAGCAATGCTAGTCATTAAATTAAATAAAATCGTAACGGTACTTAGTAAATGTAAAAATAAAAAGTACCAGAGAAACTTGAAAATAATATTAATATAAATAAAAAAATATTTCTCTGCTTTTAAACATGAATCTTTTCTTTATTATATTTTTATTATATGAAACATATTTCAAGTGGTAATGTGCTCGCTTGAGGAACCGAGTGATGCGGGTTCAAATCCTGGGTCTCTCACTTTTGCTATTTACATGTGCGAATCATTCCCAACATTATTATCTCTTGTCTTACTGTGAAGGAAAACATATTGAGGAAACCTGCACGTCTGAGAGAACCTAGTAAGTTTTTGAACGACATGTCCGTCAACCCCCACTTGGCCAGCGTGGTGGACTATGGCATGAAACCCGTCACGGTGTCCACCGTGACCATCGTCGTATTGAAGGAAGGCCCATGCATAGCAGTGGAATGTTAAAAAAGGTCTAAATACAATACAATTAAACTTTCAGCGACGTTAATTACCGGGCAAACATTTGGGCGCTAAAGATGTTGGGATGCACACATGTCCTGGCGACGACCGCGACTGGCTCCCTCGTAGAACAATACAAACCCGGAGACCTAGTTGTGTTGAACGATTTCATTGACAGGTATATACATATAATAATTATTGGAAATGAAAGAAGTTTTGAAATGTTCTTTATGAAATAAGTATATATGGTAAAAAAACAGTTTTGGTAAAACCACAGATCATATACCTAATACTCTAAAACTAACCCTTCCCAGCAAACTTTTGAAATGGGTACAGATAAACTAAATCTTGACGTAGGTAACTCTTGATCAATTAATATACATGAACATCATCAAAATCGTCTAATCTATACTAATATTATAAAGAGGAAAGATTTGCTTTTTTGTTTGTATCGAAAAGGCTCCGAGATTACTGAACCAATTTAGATGAAATTTGGTAAGAAGATAGTTTGAAACCATGGGAAGGACCTTATCCTTTTATCACGGAAATCATCCCTGAAGGGCGTGAAAATGGGGATGAAAGTTTGTATGGGGAATCAAGATAGGGAAAAACCCGAGCGAAGCGACGGTGAGTCGCTAGTGTACGTATATTTTTGCAGAACATGGGGCCGTAAGTGCACGTTCTATGATCGTACCGAAGGCGGGCCTAAAGGAGTGTGCCATTTGCCGATGAAGCCAGCTTTTTGCGAGAAAGCAAGACAAGCTTTACTAAAAGCAGCTCGCACTCAGGGCTACATCTGTCATGAAAGCGGAACTGCGGTTACTATACAAGGACCTAGGTAATAATAGATTGTTTATTAAGAATTAGTTTGGAGTTTACTGTCGTGTCTTATCACAGTGGCTTATTGAGATAAAACTTTTCCATGAACTAATAATAAAAGGAATTGGTATACATATCTGTGTGTCAAATTATATCGTGTCGTTCTACGCTTTAAAAATAACATTTAAACATAATAAGTTTTCACAGTAATATTAAGAATAGTTAAAATCAAACTTCAACTATTCAAATATCATATTTATTATATACTATACACAATATATCAGGAACACATTACACGTTTTGTTAACTTAAACCGTCTTTGTAGATTCTCGAGCCGTGCAGAAAGTTTAATGCACCAGCAGTGGGGCGGTCATGTTGTCAACATGACTACTGTGCCTGAGGTAGGATATAGGCTCTGAATATAATTTATCAGTAATTTTGAAGTGAAACTTCTTTAGAATCGTTGTGATTTAAAATTCGATGAAACGGAAATGAAAAGAAAATGCGACACTAAAAAGAAATAAATACATAAATATATAGGATTTAGCCGGCGAGAGAATGAGATAGAATACATTGCCATGTTGCCATGTTGTTGGTAACCGTTGTTATTTGAGATAGGATACATTACACAGGAGTGAAAAATAATAAAATTATTACTGAATAATATGTATTGTATATTTATGTCAAATAAAATGTAAAATAACTTTTAAACTTAGGAAAAATATCATAAAAAAATGAAGCTTATAATTATTCTACTCCTGATCTACTCTATATTCATCTCATTCTCTCTTAGGTTACTTTTCTGAAGTTTCACATTTACCATGAGTGAATTGCACTCACACGCACTTTTTTTAATATTTCATGTTTGATTAAAATGAAAATTTGATTAATTTCAGGTGGTGTTAGCAAAAGAAGCGGGCCTGAGCTACGCGGCGGTCGCGCTCGTCACCGACTATGACTGCTGGAGGCAGAATGAACAATCGGTATTGTTTTTTTTTTCTTTTTATTTATAAATTCCTTAAACGTGGTTACTTATTACTTTTACGACATACGACTGGCTGGTTTAAATCTATTTAGTACTTTAGTTTCATTTTAAATAGTATAGTATAAAATCGCCCATATAATAATGTAATAAATTATTGTAAAAACATACAAACACTAATTCTTTACATATGAAAGTGGACATATTAAGTAAATAATTAACTTATATCAAAATGTTTAATAATAATTACGAATGTTTGCACCTATTACTAATCAGGAAATAAACTCCGAACTAAACCGACAAAAGAACCGCCATATGTATGAGATACTACGCGGGCAGAACCATGGGCATTTATATGTACTTGTATGTACTATCAATTTATCATATACAATATAGACCTCCATAATAATAAAAATCGATACATATAATAAAATTGTAACTAAGCCGAATCTGTACATTAAATATTTTTTGGAAAATCTTATCGAAATAAACATTATTATCGATACAGAGCATACCATACCATACCATACCATCGATACAGAGGCCGAATCTATGGTTTTTAGAATTTTTTTCTGTCTGTCTGTCTGTCTGTTACCGCATCACAGAAAAACCACTGGAGGGATTTTGATAAAATTTGGTATGATGATAGCTGGTTATCCGGGTCAACGTAAAGGATACTTTTTACCGCAGGAAAATGTCTCATTTCTGAGAAAAAATACAAAAACTGCAATGTAAGAGTATACTATAAATCCTTCATGGGTCTGCAAGGTATGCGAATATGGTATACAGTAAATTCCAGAAACAATCTTATATTTACCTTTTCAATATTTTAAAGAAAATATTAAAAATATTATATTAGTAAAGTATATTACCTACTTTGTTCAAGAGCTTCTTTATGATGGAGATTTATACTAATACTAATCTATACTAATATTATAAAGAGGTAAAGTTTGTGAGGTTGTAAGGGATAATCTCTGAATCTACTGAACCCATTTAGATGAAATTAGGGCACAAATTCAGAATTGGGGACTTGGCCCCTAGCGGAGTGGGTGGTATTTCTGGATAAGGGACGTGATAGGGAGTCGAAATGTTAAATAATTTTTTTAATACAACAAAAGATTCAAAAGTTATTGAGACTTAAAGTTACAACATTTCCATACATTTTCATATATTTCTTTACCACCATTCGGAGTGGGTGGTATTTTTAGATAGGGGAGGTGACAGAGAGTCAAAATATATTAAAAATATTTGGAGGAAACGTACGAGTAAAAAGTTATTGAGACTTACATATCTAACACATTTCCATACATTTCTTTACCTAAATAAGTGATTACAACAGATAAACATACCTTTAACGAATAGTACGCATCCTTTTTTATGTACATTACACATTTTCACAACAATTAATGCTTTATTGTATTTAATATTTTAATAATTTCACAACACAAACAAAATGATCTTACATTTTGACAAAAGCAAAACTGACACTTTGTTTTATATTACCGCTTAAATGACAACAGATTATATTTGATTATTTTTGCTTTTTCTGTTGGTAAAATATTAATATTAATAAATAAATAAATAAAAAGAAAAATATTATTTTCATTTCATAAATACATTTATGATTTTTTATCTGATTTATGTAAAATATATTGTTTTACAATTGTACATTTAGTAAAAAAAATCATTTTTTTATCTGTGAATATTTTTAATTATTTATTTATTATTCGTCATATCTGGGTTAGGTTAGGTTAGAACATTTAAGATTATTTATTTATTATTCCTCATATCTGGGTTAGGTTAGGTTAGAACATTTAAGATTATTTATTAATTATTCGTCATATCTTGGTTAGGTTAGGTTAGAACATTTAAGATTATTTATTTATTATTCCTCATATCTGGGTTAGGTTAGGTTAGAACATTTAAGATTATTTATTTATTATTCCTCATATCTGGGTTAGGTTAGGTTAGAACATTTAAGATTATTTATTAATTATTCGTCATATCTTGGTTAGGTTAGGTTAGAACAGTTGCCACAACGCACGAGCCGAGCGAGCGAAGCGAGCGTGCCGCGGTAGCGGCCGGCGAGTGCCATAAATGACTAGAAAACTAGAAAATTCGAATTTCACGCAAAGTACAAATAAAGACGATCATCTGGAGATCATTTTGACAATTGAAAGTGACGTTTTGACTCCAAGTGTCTAAATGGTAGTAATGTCAAAATAATGTATGGAAATGTTATAACTTTAAGTCTCAATAACTTTTGACTCTTTTGTTGTATTAAAAAATTTATTTAACATTTCGACTCTCTATCACGTCCCTTATCCAGAAATACCACCCACTCCGCTAGGGGCCAAGTCCCCAATTCTAAACGGCCGCCGAAATTAGGTAGGAAGGTAGCTTGAGGCCCTGGGAAGGACATAGGATACTTTTTATCCCGGAAATCATCCCTTAAGGGGGTGAAAATGGGGTTGAAATTTGTATTGGGAAGCAAGCGAGGGTGAGTCACTAGTTAATTCATAAAGATTGTTACTCGGTTTTTAAAAAAGCAACTGTTGAATTTCTCGTCAGCTCTTCTAAGCAGAACTGATTTCCAAGACCGACTACAAATTATCTTTAAATAAACTTGACGATTTAAAAGCTTGTTTAAGACTAATTGAGTGAAGTTTCATTTCATTTGAATAACCAATGCCAGGTGTCAGTGAGCGAAGTGCTGGAAATGTTCGCGCGCAACATCAAGAAGGCGATCGACGTGATCGTGACGGCGGTGGGGCTGCTCGCCGCCGACACCGACTACGCATACCTTGATTGTCATAAGGTTTATACTTAATACTTTCTTAGATTTACACGAATATTTGACATTTTAAATAAAACCATCTTTTCGGATTATTTCGCGGATTTATTTGGATTTTTGGTTCCCGATGTTTCGAATGCTTTACAGCAATCATGGTCACAGGAGAGAATAAGGCTATAGACGTCTCAAAGGCGTTATATACTTGTTACAGACAGTGCCTACCCACTATTTATAAAAAATGATTTCAAAAATTCAAAAATGACATCAAAGTACCTTTACACAAGTACAATATTAGTTGATTTTTAATTCTAAACATTTTTAAATTTTTTTAATAAGTATTATAATTAAATATAGCAATATTATTTATTTAATTTTCATTTTAACAAATATTGTAAGATACTTTGGTGTGCGAACATATAACTTTGGATACGAAATAATCCGAAAAGATATGTAGTTTTATATAAAAAGTATGTATATACTTATTATAAACTTACTCTACTTATTTTACTTACCTACTATAAACAAGAAATATGTTGTATGAGACAGTGGTAACCCAGTAGTAATGCGCTCGCTTGGGAAACCGAGTGAAGCGGGTTTAAATCCCGGGTCTCTCGTCTGTTATATTTTCATGTGCGAATCATTTCCAACATGATTACCACTTGTCTTAACGGTGAAGGAAAACATCGTGAGGAAACCTGCATTTCTGGGAACCTAGCAAAGTTATTTTATTTCATGGTCAGTCCCGCCAAACCGCATTACGCTCGCGTGGTGCCCTTTTTTTAACGTCCCACGCGTGGTGAACTTCCCAGCAGTGGGACGTTAAAAAAATGACTAAATGCATAAATAAAATTACAAAAAGTAAAGAATATATTTCTTTACTTTCTGTAGTCTTATCTCATATAACACTATATTGTCTTGTTTGTTGAGATAACCTTGGCCATTGCTCTTAATTTTATTATAAGAGAAGGTATCGTAATATATTATAATTTAGTCCGCCGCCGCGCTCATTTTGTGATTGTTTGGGCTAATCTCACAAACTACTCGTACTGTAGGAATTGTCATACGATTCACTGAATTAAAGAGGTCTTACCATATATAATTTATGAACACTTTGCGTAAAGAAGCTACCAATATTATATTTGTAAAGTAGCAATTCGACCTCGCTTCGCTCTGGTTCGTCCCTAGCTTGCTTCCCAATACAAACTTTCATCCCCATTCTCAACTCCTTAAGGGATGATTTCCGGGATAAAAACTTTTTCACTCACTCACTTTTCATAACATGAGATTTAAAAAAATCTTATCGTAGTAAAAAAAACTTTTAATATTTTTCTATACAAAACTTCCTGACGATAACAAACACAAAAAAAAGAACTATCCAATTTGGTGCAGTCGATCGGAAACATTTAGGTGATTCATTTTTATTTATATAGATTAAGTCGAAAAAATCGAACCTTCTGAGAAACTCTTATGATTTTCAATAATGAATTTATATAATTAATAATTTATATTTTCTATTTAGATAGACTATTAAGTCTACAAGTAATTAAAACACATAAATATATATATGAAACATGTATGTTAAATGATAAATTACCGGTTCAAAGCTACCGTGATTTGTTTAAATTATATTTTCTTTCAAATATTTTCATATTATATAAAACCGCTTTCTGTTCCAGGATCTCGTCTCATCAGCTATAATGTTAAAGGAATAAAATATACAGGAAAATCAAGCATTTATTAGTATATAAGCAAAAATGTATTTACACAAATGTTATCTAATTACGAAATAAAACAATTGATAGCGTACAATATTTATTGAAGTACTTAAAAATCCACATATAAAATGATTGAAGTTGATCTTATACATAATACCTTATAATAAGTTTTGCTAAAATTACGTATTTCTTGTGCTATATAATAAAACGTTTATCTTATTTGATACATCTAGCTCTCTCAAACCGAACCCGACATTCTCTACCGTGAGTTATATTCGATATACGCTAACGTATGCGTATTTTAAATTGTATGACATAATTGCATACAACATAGACGAGTTAAAAATAAAAATTAAAATCCATAGTCTGTATACTCTTACTCTTACAACTATAATTAAAAAATAAAACATCAAATCTTACAATATATTTTTTTTCATGAACAGCTTTAAGGCTCATTTTTACGATGCTGATTTGTTGCCTGTTGCGTACAATAATGTTAATACACACACATTCTGAAGGGGGCATTATTTAGCTCAATAAATTGTCTCTAGTAAATTAACAGTAATACCATTAGTCACTAGTGTAAGGTTGCATTTTTATATAAGTATTGAGTGTTTTCATAGAAAATAATATATTTGATTTATTTGTAATCATTTATCTATAAGGCATTTACTTATGTGACCTTGGCCTAGGAATGTGTTTTAAAAAAATAAACAAGGGCGCGTATATTCATTTGTTTTCCCGCGCTTTTGCACAGAGATGTCGGTATCACCCTATAGTGACTAGCCACGAATTGTTTGTAACACTAACAATTATGGTTATAAATTATGTAACTCACTGGCAATTATAAAAGTACTGAATATAAGAATATAAACAAGGAATATCTCGAAGTTTTATTAGGGATTCTACACTAGCAACAATTGCTTGTCAAGAATTGTACAACATATAACCGTTCAAGTTGAAAGTTTACTGCCCATGTGTGAACACTTGTGTTTTTTATTCTTAAATATTATTTTATTTATCGAATAATATTACTGTCCAATTTTTTAGCAACAACAATTATTATAATCGTAAAAATAGTTCTTTTACTGTTTAAAACACATCACATAAAAGCAAAGCAACTCACGGTAGAGACCATTAAAACTTGATCGCTACATTAAAAGTTAAAACGTATGCATCGTAAAACATATTACCTATCTAGCAAACTGTAAATTAAATTTTAAAATGCTCTTCTTATGTTACGGATGTTAGCCGCAATGTTGAACCTGCAAGAGAAAATTAAATAGGTAAATTGAAGAAGATATTGTAATTTGTAGGTCTTATTATAGGCACTACTAGAATCATAGAGACCTGATTAAAAAAGTGTGTGTGTGCTCTTATGTACGTAATAAATTATACATCTTTGTTTTTTAACGCATTTAAATAATATTTTTTTTATGTTTAAACTTTTGTTTTTGACTCCTTTTTGTATTCATCTCAGTAAACTTGATATCCATATCATGGGGGTGTAAAAAGCAGTCCGCGATCTTTGCTAATGCGCCATATTGGATTTACAATGTCGGCATTAAGGTAATCGTGCAGTCACGAGAACCAAACGTGTTGTGTACATAGAAATAAATACCTTATATCCTGGAATATCTTGAATATAGACATCACATTTTACTAAAAGAGGATTTAACAACTAACTTCACACTGTATCCAATAACGACTAACTTTATACTGTAGCCTAAATCTGTCGCATCCTAAAAAATTCCCGCTCATCATTCATTTTTTAGAGCACGCCAAAAAAAGATTAACTTTAAAAAAAACGTTTCAGAATTCTTTTATGCTTAACAAATAGAGAATAAATGCATAAAATGATCTCATTTAATGATTCAAATTTGAAGACGTTCAAAATTCTGATTTGCATAATTGAGATTGACAAAATACGCTGTAAAACATTTAAAACAAAAAAATTAATTCATTTAAAATTGTGCACTTCACTTGAGGACACTTGAGACGCTAAATGTATATAATGTTTATAACTGTATATAACGGAGTTTTTGGCGTTTTTTTTAAATGAAAAAAAAACTAAAAATTTGAATAAATAGAAAAAAAAACAAAAGTAAAAACTTTGTACCGACCGGGATTCGAACCTGGACACCTGTAAATGTCATTCCTGTGCCTTGGCAGCTTAACCACGATGTTTATGCCCGAGTGCGAAATTAGCGACTGTGTGATTGTGCGTGGAATAATGCGAAAGTAAACCGCATGAAAACTCGGAAAACACAGTTTTCCCAGACATAAGACTAATCTAGATGCGGTTTTCACTAATATATTGTGGTAAGCTTCACTTTATATTTGGTACATTTAGTATTTGTTTTATTTCAATCGGTTCATAAATAAAAAAGTTACGTCAATTTAAAGTATCACCCAGCCAGCCAGTAAATAAATAAATATACTAGAATTGCTCGTTTAAATATATTATATGTAGGGTGGTCACCTACCTAGTTCTTGGGCCAGGGGTTGCGCGCGTGCTGGCCGGGGATCATGTCCAGCAGGTACTGGCGCTGCGCCTCCGCCATGCGCTGCATCTCCGCCGCCATCGCCGCGCCGCCGCCGCTGCCCTTGCCCGCTGGAATATAACATATTCTAATAATAATATCCTTTTAACCGAATTCAGCGCGTGTACACTAGGGTGATTAATTTCCGCCACAAAACTTTATTTTTCGGTGCTCAAGTAAAATATTAATCTACGTATTGAAAAAAAATATCACCAAGTTTGAGCTCTTAATATAAATTTTAAGTATTTACTATTTAAATTTGAAGTTATCTCATATAAATTTCATATAAAAAATGTATTTTTTTTAAATTTCTAATGCTTAGCCACCTTATACAATATTGCGAATCGGTTTGATGGACCTTATGGGGAACTTTACGCTCTTTGAAATTGCTCTAGTGTTTTTTTGTGTAACTCGCACTGGTTCGCCCATAGGAGTCATAAAAGTTCAGTTTTTTGAATGAATAGTTCTTTTTAACTTTTTTGAGCAAACCGCGAAAAGTAGGGAGAAAAAAAGGGCTGACCCGTAAAAAATAGTTCTCTGACCAATATTTAATGAATTTACAGCCAATTGTTATACCTCAAAACGTAAGAAATAAAATTTAGAGCTCCTGGCGCTATACACCATGCTTGTTGGCTATCGAAAGCTCTATAAGGTTTTAAAAATAAATATATATATTTAGAAAATATCTATAAATTACTAATTTCTTACGTAACTTAACAAACTCTGAATTCAAAATACTCAAAAATTTGCGGATAATATAATAATTCGCGAATAATTCGGAAAAAAATCGAATTATTTGAAATTTTTCCAATTATTCGGGAACTTTCGAACAAGTCGAATTTTCAAAAAGTCTAATTTTATTCGATTCGAGTTTCGAATCCAATATTAATATTACATTTCGAGCGAATAAATCGTGAGTATAAATAAATATACAAGAATTGCTTGTTTAAATATAAGATATAGTATAGTAGTATATTATTATATATAATGATGTATATGTCGATACATACACCGCTTCCCGAGCGCGCTGGCCTGCGCCATGGCCAGCTGGTATGTGTACAGCAGCGGCGAGAACTGCATCATGGCGGCCGCCGCCGCCGCCGGTGACACGCCGCCCGACGACCCGCTGCTGAGCCCTGTGTGCACGATCATTTCATTATTATTTATATATTATATGATTCGCCTATGTCACTCACCAGCCCTCCGACTTACTCCACACAAAAAATCACGCCAATCCGTCACTCTGCTTTTTTCCCAACCTCCCAATTTTGCCACCCCGAAAACTTTGCCGCCCTGGGCACTAGCCCCGAGTGCCCCTAGTGTAAATCCAGCACTGATTAAATACACGGTATAACAGTCTATATGTTCGGTCCAAAGGTTGTTACCAAACACCTAAGCAATAATGCTTAGTCAGTCTTGCTATAAATGCTCACTGAATAAAGAAACACTGCTCAAAGAGTCAGTGTATATTCGGACAGCAATCAAACTGATTGTTCAAATGTGGCAAATTTTTCGGGGCGGCAAAATTGGAAGGTGGGGAAAAAAAAATTCTTCGCATCCAAAACGCTTTTTTTTATTTTGCAAAAATATGAATAGTTTAAAAAATACTAGTGTATTTATCGAAAGATCGAAATTGCTTACAAATTATTTTTTTGCATTTCCAAAAAAAAATTATAAAAAAAAACTTTATCGAAACTTTATTAGTTTTATTCAAAATTTCGATAATAGGGCCGCATTTTTTACCATGCCCAGAAGCGGCGCTAAGGTTGAATCCGGCACTGGTTGTAATACACTAATAACCATTTATTTACAATATACTTATTTATGCTTAGAATATTAAATTGATTATTACACTGTGTATTTAATATATAAATAACAGCTGACCTCTAAGCAGCTGGTGCTGCAGGGCCTGCATGGCCGCCGCGCTCTGCTGCTCGAACGCCATCTGCGCTGCCGCGGCCGCCGCCAGCTGGTGGGAAATGGCGTTTTAATCACTTTTTGTAATTATTTGATATAAGACATTAAAGTTATATTATATAATTAACGTCCATCACAAGCACACAAATATAGTTTGTCCATACAAAAAATAATTATATATAATAAAATAAATAAACTAAAAATTGATTTCACGAAAATTCAATAAGGATTACCAGTTTTTATTCTAGTCAATGTAAGTTTAACCCTACAGTTATAATGGCAAAAAAACTACTTTAGAAGGATTATGTTAATACTTTTTATTATTATCGTTTAGTTTAATTCATAAATCGTCTGTGACATTGACGAAGTAGATAAGTGCTCAATCACTACTACTAAAAATCTATAACAAAATTAATTTATTATATAAAATACATTCATTAAAAATTAATGTTACCTGATGCTGTTTGCTGCTACTTCCCTGACTGCTGGCGCTCGAAGATGATCCTAAAATATTTATAAGTGTTATAAAGCGAATTTAAGAAAAATACAGATTAAAAATACAAAACAAAAATTCTTGTTTGTAAAAAATATGTTTTGACGTTCAGTATAGATTCCTCAGAGATATTTTCCCGCTGTAAAAAATATCCTATATGTTGACCTGGACAACCAGCTATCATCATACCAAATTTCATCAAAATCTTTCCAGTTGTTTTCTCGTTATGCCACCGACAGCCAAAAATTCTAAAAACTATTACGGCCTCTGTATTGATAATAATGACTATTTCTATAAGATTTTCCAAAAAATATTGAATGTACAGATTCGACTCAGTTACAATTTTATTATATGTATACGATAATATAATAGATTATAAAATATATTATTATTTTAGCTATTAAGTTTATTATAAAAACATTTTAGCTTTTTCCGTAGATTTACTCTGATTTTTGATAAAATTTTTTGCTATAAAACCCCCGACGCAAAAAGAGGGATGGTATAACTTTGACATGTCTGTCTGTGTCTCTGTGTTTCTGTCGCTGGCATCGTAGCTCCTAAACGAATGGACCGATTTTGATGCAGTTGTTTTTTGTTCGAAAGCTGACGTGATCGAGATGGTTCTTAGCTATATATAATTTATTTAGATCTGCTCAGGCGTTTGATGATCATCAAGCTCATTTCCTACTGGAAAAAAGCGCGCAATTACTAACTTTCATAGATCCGATTGATTTGAAATTTGGTGTACTGTACCTTCGGTGGTATTTCCAGGACATGCTAACCTTGAGCTGATGCTTTCGCATAAAATAGTCTACGGGCTGCTCAATTTCTCAGAAACTTACAGCAGATATAGCGTGTTTGGGCTTATAATAAGTCTCAGTAAGAGTGATTTATTAGGATTAGTGTCCACGAGGAATTAAAAAAAAATAAAAATTAAATTAAATATTTTCAATAACCCCCCACAGAAAAAAAAACTAAAAGCTAAAAAAAATCTCTCTTGGCCTTCTATGCGGAAGTCCGCCAACGCATTTGTTCAGCGTGGTGGATTATGGCCTGATCCCCCTCATATTGACTGACGGTAAGCCAATCCCCAGCAGTGGGACGGTAAAAAGGTCTGAATACAATACAATAAATAACATAAGTGTTGTGTACGTTTTTACCTTTACCTTTCTTGGCGGGCGGGTCGGCGTCGCGCGCGCGCTCCGCGTGGTGCGCGCGCAGCGACTCCGACGAACTGATGCTGCGGCTGCTGATGTTATGACACGTACACATTACATTATTATTATTACACAAAATACAAAATTACATAATCACTAACAGAACCCGCGGCATCGCTCGCGCTAAAATTACCACAAAAACTTTAAAAAGGTAAGTTTCATACAAACTTTCATCCCCCTTTTTACCCGCTTATGGAATGAATTTCGAAAAATGCTGAAATACGTATTTAATTGTATTGAAGGGCATTAATACCAAGTTTCAAGTAATTCTGATCGTTGTATTATAACAAGCTTTCCCGTGAAAATGAGATAATATCCCGCGGTAAAAAGTAGCCTATGTCTCTCTCCAGACCTCCAACTATCTCCACACTAAAAATAACGACAATCTGTCACTCTGTTTTGATGTGAAAGAAGGACAAACAAACAAACAAACAAACAAACAAACAAACAAACAAACACACTTTCACATTTATAATAAAAGTATGGATAATATAATTTTGTGTCACAGTTTGTATTAACTATGTCTTGTAAAACTTTGGTGGAGGCCCATGTCTAGCAATGGTCGTATTTGGGCTGAGACGACGACGACGATAATAAGTTTCGGGACGTCGGAAATTATAGTCGTTCGCGTGACCATTTTTGTATTCGAAACGACGGAAACATAAATTCAAAATAAAACCGAAAACAAACAATGGAATTTCCAAATGGTATTTTATTTAAAATACGGACGTAAACAATGGTCTCATAAATTATTATACAATAACTTAATCATTTCTAAGTCATTTTTGTTTTAAATATCAAATATTCACCTAAACCCAAAAAAATATTCATACATACACAGGCGGTATACATAATGTACCATTGCCAACTTCAAACAATAAACAAAAAAAACAACTGGCGAGAACCACTTATCCCGTTCTTTTTTCAAAATTTCAAATATTCATATTTAAAACGCATTATACATATATACCTTTGCCCATTTAAAAAAAAAGTGCGGGTCGGACTCGTCCACCGAGTGTTCCGTACAATTTTGTAGAAAATCTGTTTAACTTTAATTTTTAACTTTTTTTATTTTTTGGATTTTTTCCTTTATTTGTGCTGTAAGACCTTGCTTTTTGCCAAATTTTGTGATTCTCGGTCAACGGGAACTACCATCTAGGTTTTCGACCCAAGACGTATAGGGTACTTCCGGTTGACCTAGAATTATCAATTTTGGTCAATAAAGGAAAGGGAAAATTCCGAAAAAAAATAAGTTAAAAATTAAGGTATATTTTGGTACTTACAAGTATCGTGTTGACTCAGGACATTGATTTTTATACACCTAATTGAGATTATAGACCTCAGTATCTGGTCTAAATTTCAACTTGTTAGGTCCACCCGTTCCTGAGAAAATCGGTGGTGACACACGGACAGACGGACAAGAGAGTGATCTTATAAGGGTTCCTTTTTTTAACCTTTCGATGTACGGAACCCCAAAAAACAAAACAAATATGGCGGGTACCTGGCGGGCGCGGGCTGCGGCTTAGTGGCGGGCGCGGGCGGCGTGGGCGCCGCCACGCGCGGCGTCGACCGCGACACTGACATCTGTGTGGATGGGCTCTTCTATTAGGGTGTTACAATTGTTTGTTATTACTTATTATATACTGATAATGTAAAGTAAATTAAAATAAAATTATTGTGTTTAGGGACGGTTAAAAAATACATGGGATTATAAATCTAGTTTGTATTCACGTAACAGAATATTCAAAGTGTATTCTAAATTCTAATATATATTGTGATGAAAAACATTATTCATAAAAAGTAAGAGATAATTAATAATAGTACCTATCTTTAGTTTAGTATCGTATTGAAATAGGTCAAACAGATTCAAGCAAAGTTAGTAAAACAATTCAATATTTTTAAATAAGCTTTTACTTACAAATCGGTAGTGGTTTTTTATAAACTTTCAAAACTGACATTCAATGAAATTCAAATTTGAAAACAGACTATAACTACATTATAAAAATCTATACAATAGATCTTGATTTACTATCTTACTTTCGATAGTGGCAAAACACTATAGATATTAAGAATTGCAAAAAACTGGCAACCCACGTACGTAATGTCAGTTTTGTTGTTTTGTAATGCGTGTACCTGCTGCGTGCGATGGTGCAGCGCGTGCGCGGGCGGCGGCTGCGCGTGCGGCGCGTGCGGCGCTTGCGGCGCGTGCGGCGCGTGCGAGGCGTGCGGCGCGGGCGGCGCGTGCGCGTGCTGCGCGGGCGGCGGCGACGGCGCGGCCAGCCGCCGCTCGATCTCCTGCTCCTGCTGCAGCGCGCGCACGAAGGCGGTCTTCAGTCGCGCGGTGTGCTCCGCCTTGAGCGCACGCTTCACGTTGCCGGACACGCACAGCTCGCAGAGACGGCGCGCGGGCGACGCGCCGAAGGTGGCGTCCTGGCGGCGCGGCGGCGCGCGCTCCCAGCGCCACACCGGCGTGAAGTCGCTGCCGCACTGCGCGCATACGCAGGGGACGCTCGAGCGCGGCATGCTGTTTTATACAATGAAAACAATTATAATACTTTCTTCGATTTATCAATAATAAAATCTATTCGGATTTATTTTGATTTTTGGTTCCCTATTTATATTATATTTGAGTAAAAATTTTGTCCTTATATTCAACCCTATCCATTACCTCAATAAAACAATGATGAGTATATTTAATTTTCTACTATATGTTAGTGCTAATGTCTAAGAAATGTTTTGAACTTTATAAAAAATTTACGTGTAAATAAATAAAAATAATAAAAAGTTATAATCAAAATAATTGTCTATTATTTAACAATTAAAGTTTTAATTCATCCATCTTATTCTAATATATATAATTCTTCTGTACATGTGTTTGTTAACCTACGCCTCCTTAAGGACTGGACTGATTTGGACGAAATTTTGTGTGTATATCTCAATGGGCTCCTGGATGGTTTGAAAACACAAATAGGCCCAGTAGGGTGCGCTGTAGTCGGTGTGTCACTAAATTTTAAAACTCCACTTTTATTCTCAAATTTCATTGTTGATTAAATTAAATAAAAATCGATGTATGTATTATTCCTATACACTCCAAAACAGCTGGAACGATTTTGATGAAATTTTCAGGTAATCTTCAGATTAGCCCAGCGGGTGATCGTGTGAATTTCGTTAGCGATTGGAAGTTTAGATGCGGGCGAAGCCGCGGGTACTGCTAGTTATATATAAATTGACCTTAACTACACAAAACAGAAGCAATCATACCGATCCTCGTTGGTGAGGTAGTCGACGACGTGCTCGAGCCCCACCAGGTACACGAAGTCCGTGTTGCTGGGCGACGGGATGAAGTTCATCTCAGGCGGCGGCGGCTTGGGCGGCGGGATCTGGTATACATTGCAATATATTTAATAAAAAAATGTGTGTGTACTTATCTACGCACGTAACAAGTTCTACTTCTTTGGTGTATGATGTGTATATGTGTGTTTGTGTATGTGTTCAGTCCTTTTTAACGTCCCACTGCTGGGGGGTAGGCCTCCCTTCAATACGAGGGGGATCAGGTCAAAGTCCACCACGCTGGTCAAGTGCGGGTTGGTCGACTTCACGTGTCTTTCGAAAACTTAGTGGGTTCTCTCAGACATACAGGTTTCCTCACGATGTTTCCTTCACCGTTAAGACAAGTGGTAATCATATTTGAAATTATTCGCACACAAAAATATCAGAGGTGCGAGACCTGGGATTTGAACCCGCTTCACTCGGTTTCCCAAGCAAGCGCGTTACCACTGGGCTACCACTGCCTTCTACTTACTAATGAACGAACCGAATGTGCCAAATGGATCGAGATCCGGCTGCAAGATTGCTACGTTCATAACGTATTTAATCAAAATATTTTTTTTATATACAATAATAAAAGGGACAATATATTTTGACCGGGGTGCCTATTAAAAAGTGTCCGCTAGTATGTTTAATTAAATTAATAATAATTGACTTTTTGGAACAAAAACGATGCATTTTACTCTTACGAATACTCTACGAATTATACTCCACTTCACAGAAATATACGTACGTAGAGATCTTGAAAAGTGATAGCTGCCGTTGCGCATTTGGCCGCAACCTCTTCGCAGTAAGGCGTGAGCAGGTCATATTTTATTACGTTTTTACGTTCATGGCGTATATTCATCATTTATATATCAAATTAAAGCTAATATTTTTTCTTTTTTATTAAAAGGGGACACAATGGAAATTTTCATTTGTCAGACAATAACAACGGGTTACCATGGCAACAAACAGTTAACTAAACCCCTAACTCGCTTTCACTTTAATCTATCTTTGATACTATGATCTGGAGTAGCTTATAGGCTATTGTAAGGCACCTCACAAATATACATATAAAGCATACCTGCAGTAGAGTCTTCTCGAGCTGTTTCCTCAGCGCGAGCTTGGCGGCGGCCTGGCGCTGCGCCGGCGTCTGTGTGTCCTCCGAGCTACGGGAGCTCGCCTGCACATAATATAATTATTTACATATAAATATGAAACATATTCAAATTATAGTTATAAATATTATCATTTATAATTAAGGTATTAATTAAAAATATTTTCAACCGACTTCAAAAAGGAGGAGGTTCTCAATTCGACTGTATTTTTTTTTATGTTTGTTACCTCAGAAATCCGTCATTTATTAACCGATTTGGACAATTTTTGTGTTGTTTGAAAGTGTATACTTCCAGATTGGCCCCGTTTAAATTTCAAAAAAAAATACCACCCCAAAGGGTGGAAAAATAGCTAATGATGAATTTAACCTACTTCTAATTGTCATATTGACTTGAAACTTTGCATGTGTTTCTATTTCCGTTGATAGTACAGTGGTTCGGTATTGTTGAACTGATCTGATGGTAAGGCCAGAAGGTGGATAGGTGGAACTCTTCAACGGCTAATAGTAGTTACTTTGAGTTTGGGCTTATTTTGTTTGATTTGACAAGCCTAACACGTCAGAATTCTTACTTTGCTACTACTGTCTACACTAAAAAGGGAAAAATAAAAACTTTTTAACAAAAAAATAAAAACCGACTTCAAACAAAAGCACTAAAAAGTTATTTTTTACTTTTTAGTGCTTTTGTTTGAAGTCGGTTTTTATTTTTTTGTTAAAAAGTTTTTATTTTATTTTTTATTTTATTTACTACTAGCGACTCACCCTAGGTTCGCTCGGGTTCATCCCTAGGTTGCTTCCCCGTACAAACTTTCATTTCCATTCTCACCCCCTCACTAAAAACCCCCTTAATAAAACTATCCTATATCCTTCCTAGGGTCTCAAACTATGTTCTTACCAAATTTCATCTAAATGGGTTCAGTAGTTTTGGAGCCTATTCGGTACAAACAAACAGACAAATCTTTCCTCTTTATAATATTAGTATAGGTTAGTTGGCTTGTGACTTTACAATATAATGTTAAAATATATAATATATCGGATTAGAAATCAGCGTTTAGCTTTAAAAACTAATTACAATTGATTCAATATTTTGGGCTGCCCTTATATTGTTAGATAAAATTTGATGGTTTGCATTTTTTACTTCATATCCATCTCTCGTCTTACCCGTTTTAGATTACTTTAAAAATATGTTTTTTTTGGCCTAACTGCCTAACGTCAACCAAACAATTTCTTTTCTTATACTCAATCAGTATACTTCAAAATAATCCCATTATAAATGCGAAAGTTTTAATGGATGGATGTTTGTTACTCAATCACGCCAGAACGGCTGAACAGAACTGGATGAAATTTGGCACAGAGATAGGTTATAGTTTGAAATAGCTTTTCATCCCGGGAAAAGGAACAGTTTCCGTGGGATAGATTTGTTTATGTTTTTCACTAGAGGCAAACCCGAACGAAACGCGGGTGAGTTGCTAGTGTTGCTAGTAAAAATATAAAAACAGCCACTTTACTAAAATTTTGATTTCAAGGCTATTTTTCTATCGAATAATTTCATTAGTTATAAACATAAAATCTATATGAATTGTAAGGAAGTCGACATCACATTCCCATACTCACTGCATCGCTGGTACTACTGGTCACCGAGGAGTTATCCTGGGCCGGCTTGCAAAATAATATGTCAATTTCAAATACACTGTGTTTACTTCTATTTAGTGTTTATTATTTAATTCCTAATCCCTAATATTAATTTTCTTAATTTTAATTTAATTTTTTTTCTCCCATATGCATCGATTAAAAAAGTACCAGATACACAATCCAACACAAAAATTCTCTTTAAAACTGTCACCTATTGTGTGTAGGTAATTATTCTAGTTGAAATAAATATACAACAATGTAAATTGAAAATTAAATATAATGCTTAAAGTGATTTTCACAAAAATATTATTAAATTAAAAGTGCACTCAAATGTTCAAATGAGCGCTCATTCGGCGAGGACATTTTTTGTCGCTGATTGTGTATCTAGTACTTTATTGATCGATGCCCATATGATATAAAACATCATTTATCTTGACATACTGTGATCTTTGAGATCACTTTATTTAAACTCTAGAGTAAAATACAGCAAACACATATTGATTAGAAATTATAATTAACAATGTTTACTCTAAACTAGATTCCGTTTATTTATCTGAATTTATATTTGTTTGTAACTCAGTTTTGTTAGTCACCAAAGTTTGCTGATGCTAAGCCCACGGCATTAATCAAAGAAGACAACATCATCAGCATTTTTTTGAAATAGCAAAAAAATAATTATATTACTTATATGAATGGCTTTTCTTAGCAAAACTGTATGTCTGTCTGGTAACATCCTCTCATATAACAGACTAACGACAGAACCCAATAACCTAACTCTCACAGTCTCATACAAATTATGTCCAATTCCTATATCTAAGGAGAACCACAATTGAATGGGTTATTTTGATCCACTATAACTATATCGTCAAATCTCACCAACCTAAATCAATAAATAATATATAATATATACAGGGTGAATTTTTCAAATGGGCGTGCATGGCCAAATCCGAATCTATGAGGAATAGCTAAAAGTACTCAAAGCAGTCTGGATTGGATTGGATTTTTGAAAAATCAATTTTCCTAGTCAGGAATCGAACCTGTTGATTTTGAAAAAAAAACACACACTGTATTATTACACCATTCGATAGTGTCGCTAATAGGGAACGCATTCTGCGAAGTAATGACATATGGCAAACTTAAGGAAAATTTGGATTTTAATGAACTGCTTCATATTTTAATATTATTTCTTTAATAATTAATCATATCTACATTACCTGTATCTTATTTGTATATATATACATTTATATATTTAATTAGAATATTATAAATATAATTAATTAGAGTATTATCAATCACCTTGGGAGCTGCATGTGTGGCGGGGGGCGGCGCCGGCGTGATGGTGACTGACGGTGTGATGCTCGCACCACCACTCGAAGACGACTGAAAATAAATATACAATTATTTATTATTATTGTACTAAAGACAACTACATTTATTGCCTATACTGGCGACTCAACCTCGCTTCGCTCGGGTTCGTCTCCTAAGTTGATTCCCCATACAAACTTTTATCCCCATTTTCACCCCTCTAAGGGATGATTTCCGGGGTAAAAAGTATCCTTGTCCTTCCCAGGATCTCAAACTATCTTCTTACCAAATTTTATCTAAATCGGTTTAGTAGATCCAGAGATTAGATTACCCCCTACAATGTCATAAACTCACAATCTTTACCTCTTTATAATATTAGTATAGACTACTTCCATAATACAGTGGATTACATATAAGAACACACAGATTTCGTGGGTTCGAGTCCTGATTCGGGCCAAGTTTAATAATTGGGACTTTCTGATGAAATTTACCGTAATATCCCGGAGTTGGGAAAATAGCAGTACTTCACCCCCCTATCGAGGCAGATCCTACGTCTTTTTAACCACTTTCTAAATAGATAAGACTCAATAACTAAATTCGTCCCGACCCGCAATTCGAACCCAGGACCTCCAGATCTGCAGTCCCTACACCACCAAGTATGATCAAAGTACATCACTACATAGTATAAAACATAATCGCTTCTCCCTGTCTGTCTGTCTTAATATATGCTTAGATCTTTAAAACTACGCAACGGATTTTGATGCGTTTTTTTAATAGATACGAGTGATTCAAGAGGAAGTTTTTAGTATATATTGGTTAAGTTTTTGTATACATTGGCTAAAATATAACAATATTTGTTGGAGGTGTTGGAAAATAATAAACCGTCTGGGAGTCTTTCAACGAAAACGCTGCCTAAACCCTTTAAGATATAACAAAATAATGTATGGTGGAATTGTATATCTTATATAGGTCTACAGAAAAGTCCGCGATGGCATATGTCTATCTCTTAAGGATAACATACTATATCCATTTTAATTACAAATAATACATCGAGTCACCTGCGTACGATAGGGTCCTGGCGTGAGCGTGGCGCCGCCAGGCAACGAGGAAGAGCGTCTCGACACGTTGTTTGTTGGTAGGGACGTTGTCACTGCGCTTGAACGCTGGAATAATAAATTAATTATATAGTAAATAAATATTTATATTATCAAATCAAATATTCTTTAATGCACACCATTATTTTACATTACATAGTTGAAAACAGATTAAAGAGAAGTGTGTGAATAGTACGATAGGCGGCCTTATCGCTAGAGAACGATCAATTCTAGGCAAACTTTGGGTAGAGATAAAGAACGAGAGAAGGAAGGGGTGCAAACAATCTTAAAGAGATCTACAAGGTAATACATACATAGACAAACAAATATATACATACATAACCATATACATATGTACATAGATACATACATACATATAGATAGATAGATTATTATAGATTATTATAGATTTCTATACTTGAATATGCTTCTTCCGTTTGGAATCCACAGTACAGTAAATATACAGTGTGTTAAAAAAACCCTGTCCGATCGGAAACCAGTGTATAGGTATCCCAATCACATGACCAAATAAAATAAGAAATATAAAATATTCATGATAGTAAACATATTAATGAAATTTAAAAAGTTCATTTATTTTGCTAATTTCCCCACAATTCTAGGAAATTTTATAAATGTACAACACTAATTTCGGCGGTATTATAATCATGTGGCGGCGGCATCTTTGATGTGTGCCGACAGACGATGCGCCGCCCGTTGTCAAAGGTACCGCTCGGCACGTGTAGAGGCTATCCCGACCTTGAATTACATACTTACGATCACTATTTGTTTGCTTTATTATTTATTTCACTTAAAATTATGTCAGTTTCGCGAAACATTGCATCCGAGTGCACGTGTTGGAGAAATTGAGTTTTAACTATGTCGTATACGAATGAAGAGTACTGTAATATGATAATGTGTTTGGGGAGGAGTGACTGCAATTATGCAGAGGCTCATAGAGACTATGAAGTGCGTTTCGCAGTTCCGCAGGGTACCACGGTGCCGTCAGAGCGTGCGGTTCAACGTCTTCACAATCGTATGTACACCACGAGCAGTGTTCACGGCTACGAAACGCATCATGCTGATACAAGGACACCGCGTATCGACATGGATATTGAAGAGCAGGTGCTTGTGTTATTTAATGAGGACCCCACCCGAAGTACTCGTTCTGTGGCACGACAACAGGGCGCTTACCACGTTCAGGTGTGGGAAGTGTTAAAAGAAGATGGCCAGCATCCTTTCCACTACCGTCCTGTCCAAGCTTTACTACCCAGTGATTATGAACCCAGAGTGGAATATTGTGCATGGATTTTAAGGAAAATTGAAGAGGATGCTGAATTTTTAAAAAGGGTTATTTTCACCAATGAATGTTCTTTTCATAGAACAGGCGTCTTTAACAGCCGGAATGAATATGTGTGGTCGACGCTAAATCCTTACGCCCATAATCCGTGATAAACTTTTGCGACGGTGTCAAGCCTGTATCACTAGTAGAGGCCGTCACATGGAACAACATCTCCATCACAGCCATCGCATTGGCGTCCTCATCGAATAACAGACTACCTACTTACAAAATACAAATTGATAAGCGTAGTTTGAACTTTGAGGTCAACTGCGTTCATGACCTTATGACGTCACCAGTATTGCTATGTAAGTTTCACAATGTATGAAATATTTTAAATTTTTAAGCGGGGTAATTTTTTTTTACTTGGAACTTGTTTTTTTTTACATAAATAGAATCGAATCGCGATACCTAATAATACCTTCACGGGTCGGACAGGGTTTTTTTAACACACTGTATAAATAGAATTGAAAACATCCAGATTAAATTTAATAAGCATTTATTATATAGATCAAAAAACAATAATCAGGAATTTCCTAATTTAGTCTCCCTATTGGATCGCCGACGCCTAAAGGATGAACTTTTTCTATTTAAAATTATCAGAAATCATGTGCATTCACCATTTCTTTTAAGTAATATTTGTTTAAGATGTCCTCGACCGCAATCACGTAATTTGTCATTATTTTATCTACCTAGAATAACAACTAATTATGCACGTAATAGCTTTATATACCGTTCTTGCAGATTGCATAATGAAATATTTAATGACATAGATTTATTTTCCCTTTCTTTAAATAAGTTCAAAATTTTAACCAAAAGTGTCTGTTCGTGATTTCCCCGTTTTTTTTTTTTTGTTATATACTTTAATTTTTAATTTTAATAAGCTAACATATACCTACCTTAAGAATGTGTAAACGGTGAAGACTTAATTGGTATGTATTTTTTTTATTTCTTTTGTTTATAATATGTCAGGGGGAGCAAGGTTCGATAAGAATAAAAGTGTTTCAGTTTTTGTATGCGAATCTAAAGTGATGGGGGGAGTGGTAAAATGATAGTTTAGAGCATTGAGATCCACAGAACTTTGACAAGTTTTGTATGTTTGTCTTCCAAATAAATAAATAAATAAATAAATAAATAAATACTTTATTGTACACCATAAAGAAATTATACAAAAAGAAGATATAAACATTAAAATTTGACAAAATTTAGCACTTTATATGTTAATATAAAGTACTCCTTAGTTATTTCTTTAAATGATGATATTATATTAAATGTTTATTTAGGTAATGGTATTAGATTGAGCGAATAAATTTTTTATAGATGTAAGTGTTTTTTAACCTTCAGGCGTCAACCCTAAAGCTCTTTCCCAACTGTCATATAAAAATAAGTACAACAGCCGGGAACGTCTCTCCCGCACTACCTGTACGATTGTCCTGTCTAGACGCATTCCTTCGACCACTGTATGGATGAACCATATGGATATATTATGACAGTAAATAAAATATGAATATGGGTCATCCCACCAAACATCATTTTTACGGGGCGACCCCCGCCGATTTTTTTCAAAATTGCTGGAGGGTTTTTCTACTTTTGAGAAAAAAAGTCCCTGAAAGTTTTAGCTGTTCATTTTCAGCCGTTACGAAAGTTATGCATTTTTGAAATTCTTAAAAAAAATGTTTTAGAACATTTTTATCAATTTTTTTTTCACTTAAAAAACTTTTATTGAAACAACCAATTTTAAAAAATCGGCCCCCTAAAAATGATTTTTCTTTGGTGGAATGACTCATATGTAGTACGACAGTACACAGGGTAGCGACATCTAGCGACACCTAGCGACGAGTGCGCAGTACAAAGAGTAGACAGCGTGGTGGGACCGCATACCTTGCTCTGCTGGTGCGCGGGCGGCGGCGCGGGCGTGACGGTGACGCCGGGCGGCACCACGCAGCCGCTGCCCGCCAGCGCCGTGCCCGCCGCCGCGGCCGCTGTGCCCGCTTCCTGCGACACGAGACATATCTTATAATATTAAACGAGCAATTCTTGTATATTTAATTTCGTGTATCTCAGAAACGGCTCTAACGATTTGGATAACATTTTCTATTTAGGCAAGGTTTTGTTTTTTAAGTATTATCTATATAGGTGTCGTTTCTGACTGAACAATTTCACAAACAATTTCGTGATTTTTCACAAAAACAAAATGATTCAGTTAATTTCAAATTTGCCAAATTAGTAATTTAATGATATGATTTATATGCTAAAAGTATTTGTTCAGAAAAAAGTATGTACATATTATTTTGTTAATGACAAATACTATTTTTTGTAACTCATTATAATTAATTAATTACACTCATAAAATGGTATTTAATACCTTAGGCGGTGGTAAAGTAGCAGCTTGTTGACTCTGACGCAGCTTGCGCAGTAGCACCAGTCGAGTCTCCTCTGCGCGCAGCTTCTCTCTCAGCGCACGCAGTCTACGCTCACGCTCCCATATTTCCGCACTTGATAACTCCTAAATATAATAATAAATTAATGATAATAAATCATACTTTCTTAGATTTACACGAATATTTGACATTATAAATAAAACTATCTTTTGGGATTCGGGAGTGACCCGTGACCATGATTGTTGTAAAGCATTTGAAACGTCGGGAAGCAAAAATCAAAATAAATTCGCGAAAAGACCCGAACCGAAGAGTTTTATTTAAAATAATAAATCATTCATTTCAACCTTCAAAGGATCATATTCTATTAGTAAAGACACACCTACATACATAACCTAATATTTGTAGCACACTTAACCTATTTAATCCTAAATCTTATCTAAGACAGGCTCGATTTGTCAGCACATGGACCATTTGACAATTAAATAAACGTTAATTTATTCAAAATAATGAGTTGTCAACTCAACATTTCCACCTACTTCAGAATAAGTTTGAAATTTTAACGTATAATGATTACACCATGGTGTGAAAGCCTGAAAAATCTGTGAAAGTCATTAAAAAAAGCTATCCAAATTTCATGCATAATACTAAAAGATAACAGCTGTTAATAAGAACATTTGCATCTTAGAATTTGTAGGAACATCTTAATAGTAGCATTATTTGTTTATATTATAAGTAGCTAATACCCCTTGTCTGTAACATTTATAATTTTTTGTACTAATTATTTTCAAGATTATTTTTTTTACCCGACCGTTATATATTTTGCTTATTTCAATGCGCTAATTCTAAACATACCTGTCATATTTGAAAATGATTTATGCTTATTAATTGAGGATGGTTACCTTAACAATGCAATTATGTAAATAAACTACAGGAAAGGAAAGGCAGAAAAAAATAATAAAGACTAAAAAACTAATAAATTTCAATTACAGCAAAATCATTGACTTTTCGCAATCAACAACACTTCAAATACAAAACCTTAACAAAAAAATAAACAAAAGTAATTTTAAAGAATTCATATTTTCGGTTTTTATGGCATTTTTATTTTATATTTTTGTTCCTGACGCATCAAATACTCCACAAAAAATATGGTCACGGGTGAGGAGAATCAGAGAGATTCTCCTCTTCCGTGACGTGATGAAAATGAAAAGAAAAACATTTGCATAAATCTAAGAAAGTACATATTATATAAACACTCACTCTATGCCCAGGCACAGGTATAGGAGGCTCATTCTCCTCCTCCGACTCCTCATCATCAGCAGGGTCACGAGGGGATTCGGGCAGCACTGGTGCACTTGGTGTGATAGAGACGTTTACTGCACTTGAGTTCAGTTTGCTGCTCACGTCTATGGATAATAGTAAAATAAACTGTGAGTGTATGTCGCAGGCATACTGTATGGTTCATGTATTTATATTACATTAAACAAACAACATTGCAAAAGCTTTAAGTAAATTTCCACAAAAACGACTTAGCTTAGCCAAGCCTTCTCAACTATAAGTAATGTCAGATCTAATAACATCTAATAGTAGGGGAGCCCAAGAGGGGATTTTCTGTAGTTACTCGAGCGCGGCAGATTAACATAAATCATCATAAACTTTATAGTCGATTTTTGCCTCTTCGGCTTGTGCAAATCGGCAGATTATTGAATTGGACACTTTTCAGGATGTGACTAGCCTACCACACCTTAATCTGACGGTTTCAAGTATTTCTACCTTATCAAAACATTTTTTAAATATTTTAATCGGCTTCCCTAGACGCGCCCCTTTATATAGAAGACTTATATTATGGTGAAAGTACTCAATAGAGTGCAAGGTAACCTCTTTTATGTTAATCTGCCGCGCTCGAGTAACTACAGAAAATCCCCTCTTGGGCTCCCCTACTATAAAGGAAAATAAAAAGACCCAAGCCTAAGTATACCATAATGCAATGTCTAAAGCAACACAATTTGAACATGTTTAACATAACAAATCTGTTTTGTAAAATAGCTAATCGTTTCGTAAAATAGAAGATTTTATAACCATTTATTTCTTTTTAAACCATACCATGCTAATGTATTTGTGCAAAATAAATAAAGTTCAGAAGTATGATCAATTTGCTTTGTCTAGCTTTTCCCAGACCAGCGAGCTTTATACAATATGACTGCAAGAATACACAATTTACATTATTATTGCATTAACAATATAAGATGAAATTGAAGGATCCATTGGTTTGCAATAGGTTATAATGAGTTAACTTGTCACTGACTAAAAGGGAGTTTATGTGGTAAAAATATAGGCTACATTTAATATTTCAAACTTTGACTATCCAATAAAAGTTTAATATACCTGTAAAAGGTGCAGGTGGGGGCAGTGAAGGCTTGCGATGCGGAGGCGCCGCAGGCAATAGGACAATATCAGGGCTCTCTGCATAGCTACGTTGTTCTGATCTTGGACGCAGAACCCTCTTCCCGCTTGCGCCCTATTACAAAGTTTAAGTTTAATTTACGAAATTATAAAACATTCTGTTATAAATAACGAAATATGAGTATGAATATCGATATCTAATATATTTCAAGAGCTTTATAGCTATTTATGAAAAGGGAATGGGTATGGGAACAGGTGCGAGAATGGTAATTGAAAATATAAACAGCTTTTAAAATAAATTGCAATTCTTCATTTACTAAATGTATGCTTGCTGTCGGCGACGGAAAACCTATCTTCGAGTAACGTGTGTATTAATATAGGGACAATGTCATTTTAGCGTATTATGAATAATTGTTGTAAATATGAAATCTCATTCTTATTAGATTTATTATGTTAAAATAAGTTCTAATTAGTGTAATAAGGTTAGTTTAGAGTATTTTTTGCTTATTTGAATCATATAAGACTATTTAACATTAATTTGAAAGGAATAGGTACGTAAGTAAAATGTTAGCATATAATTACGTAACTTGAAAATGAGATTTTTTGTTTCTTGCAATAGCATAATAGTTTATGTTTTAAATAATAGATTTTATTATAAAACTTATAATAAAACAAGAATTAGGTCGATAGGACTATCCGTTCAAAAGTTATAAGGGAAAATGTATAGTAAAAATGTAGCAACCTAGAAATTTAGATATTTTGGTTTTGAGACTTTTTTAATTAATTATTATATATTGAATATTATGTTTTAATATTGTATAATAGTATGTAAGGCATGTAAATAAATAAATATGTGTAAGGTGTTTTACTGAAAACATAAAATAAAAGGACTCTCAAGGTTTCGGTTTAGGGAAATTTTACTCGAAAAATGAGCTCAAAGTACGCGGCTCTCTGTAAGGTATTAACGGGCCAAATAAAAGGCGAGCCATTTCTCGATTCGAGTCAGTCGCAAGACAGCCACCGAAGAGGCAACAACTAAAAGGAAAAGGAAGAACCGAAACCAAGAGAGAAAAAAGGAAAAAATTGTGTTTTTATTTCATCGCCTCTAAGTATAGTCTCCTGTCAACGAAGAAACCCTAGTGGATCGGGACCCAAGCTACGCATTCAGGGGTGCGTGGTGGCGTACATTACCAGCGAACGGACATACTGCCGTGTACGCCAAGAACGTCTGGGAGATTGTCCCAGGTCGACCTCCGGGTACTAGACATACCCTGGTTCTGGTCGTCCGAAACAGTTGGTCCTTCGAGCCGGATCCCTGCTAGAAGAAGTTCAGAAGAAACAGAAGATTGCGTTCAAGATGCCGGTAACCAGGTCGCAGAAGGATGCCCCCTCACGTCCCGGGTCCCGTCCTTCAGATAGGGACGCGACAGATGGAACGTCGGGATCAGAAGGGGTCACGTCAGCGTCGGCGTCATCGGGAACTGCAACTACATCGAACTCTTCTTCGGGTACCACGACCACGGAGGGCACCACAGTGACGGAGACTACGGTTACGACTGCAACTACGGCGGCGTCTATGGAAGGCAACAAAGAAGATGCTGCACAGAGGATGACCAGGAAGAGCCAAGAAGATGTACCTGGAAAGGATGTTCAAGGCTCCTCCAAGACCCTGAAACCGATGGGGGTCAGTCGTCGCGCCAGGTCCACGAAGACCACGAGTTCCTCGGCCAGAAGACGCGAGCTAGAAGCAAAGGAAGAGTTGGCACGCCTGGAGTTGAAGCAAGCACAGGCTGAAACTAAGCTAGCCCGTGTCAGATTGGAGATGGCACAGTGTGAAGAAGAGGACTCCGTGGATGAAGACCTGGAAGACAGAACAGCACAGGTGCAGAACTGGATCGAGACGTCTGTGCTGGAGGATGGCAACAAAGTTCAACCAGAGATGCGAGGTCCACACCCCTTGGAAGAGCCACAGAAGATGAAGCCTGAAGAGAACTCCTCAACGAGAGGAGCTACGATTGAAATTCAAGCACTGACGGCAGCATTGAAGGAAGCTCTTACCACGCGAGGACCAGCAGGACAGCCAACCTACATTCACGAGTTACCCTACTTCGACGGCAACAGCAGCGAGTGGATGGCCTTCAAGGTTGTCTATGAAGATACAGCACCGATGTTCAACAACGTCCAGAATATGGCTCGGCTAAGAAGAGCACTGAAGGGCAACGCAAGAGAAGCTATCAAGAGTCTGCTGTACTCCGAAGCCTCTCCGATGGAAGTGATTCAAGCCCTCAGAAGAAGATATGGAAGACCAGATGCACTGATGCTGGCAGAGTTGGACAAGGTCAAAACGTTGCCGAAGATTTCTGAAAACCCAAGGGACATATGCCTCTTCGCGAGCCAGATCAGCAACAGCGTAGCGGCAATAAAAGGATTGAAGAAACCACAGTACCTGCATTCACCTGAGATGGTGAAACAAATTATTGAGAAGATGCCTACGATCCTCAAGTTCCGATGGTACGACTTCATTGAAACAACAGAAGAAGGCGAGTTCTCCGACCTAACACTGGTGTCCAAGTTCCTGAACAGAGAAGCAGACAAGTGTGGAGCCTATGCATCAACAGAAGAGAAGAGCGGGTTCAGACGGACTCATCGACAAGCAACGCATTCAACTAAGGAAAAGGACTTCAAAGAAAAGGTTTCAAGATCAGAGAAGACTTGCCCCATGTGTGAGGGTGAACACTTCCTCGTCGGGTGTCAGAAGTTCCTGAAGGCGTCTGTGCAAGATCGATGGGCAATAGTGAAGAAAAGCCGCGTTTGCTTCAAGTGTTTACAAGGGACACATCGGAAGGAGAGCTGCAAGAAGCCGTCGTGCAAGGAATGCAAGAGGTGGCATCATCATCTGCTGCACGTCGAGACAGAGAAAAGTTCCTCGGAAGAACAGAAGAACAAACCACAAGAAGTGGCGAGCATCATGGCATCGGTGAATGCAGTCAACAACGCAAGGGCATACCTGAAGATAATTCCGATAGAAATCTTCGGGTCAAAAGGATCAAAGAAGATATTGGCCCTCATGGATGAAGGGTCAACAGTGTCGCTGCTAGACCAGAAGGTAGCAGAAGAAATCGGCGCTCAAGGAAGAAAGGAGGAACTGGTCATCGAGACTGTTGGAGGCAGGCTGATAAGGAAGGAAGACTCTCAGATGCTGGACCTTACGGTGAAGGGGATTCATCAGAAGACCAAGAAGACCTTGAGAAGAGTCCGGACCATCGACGAGTTGAAGCTTGCACCGCAGTTCCTAGAAAAGAAAAGGATAGAAGAGTGTCAACACTTGAAGAAGATTGCTGACTCTCTATATTATAAGGGGGAGTCACCACAGCTGCTCATCGGTCAAGACAACTGGGAGCTAATCGTGACTCAAGAAGTAAGAAGAGGGAAACCAGGACAACCAGTCGCTTCAAGAACAGGACTTGGATGGGTGCTCCACGGGTCAGACACTGGAGGCGCGAAAGTGGTGCACTTCTTAAACACGTGTCTACATGTCAGCACGCCAGAAGAAGAGATGCATCAAGCCATCAAGGATCACTTCGCAATCGAAGCACTTGGAGTACTACCAAAAAGACCCACTACGGATTCAGAAGGAAGAGCACTCACCATCCTAGAGAAGACCTGCAGAAGACTAGAAGATGGTCGATTTGAAGCTGGACTTCTATGGAAAAATGAAGATGAACAGATGCCTGAAAGCTACACGTCTGCCAAGAACCGATTGTTCAACATTGAAAAGAAGATAGACAAAGACCCTCAGCTGAAGGCAGAATACAATAAGCAGATCCAGCATCTAATCGACAGCAAGTATGCAGAAGAAGCACCTGGTGGACAAGAAGATTCAAAGAAGACATGGTACCTCCCTCATTTCTCCGTGGTACATCCATTGAAGAAGAAAATAAGGATCGTCTTCGACGCTGCAGCCAAGTCTAAAGGGAGAAGCCTCAACGACGCTTTACTACCGGGACCAGACCTACTGCAATCGCTCTTCGGGGTATTACTGAGGTTCCGGCAAGGCCCGTTTGCAGTGGCAGCCGACATAAAGGAAATGTTCCTGCAAGTTCGCATCCGGCCAGAAGATAGAAACAGCTTGAAGTTCCTGTGGCGAGGGGATCGTCGTGACGTAGCACCGAAGGAGTATAGAATGACATCAGTCATCTTCGGCGCGACATCATCTCCTAGCACAGCGATCTACGTGAAGAACCGGAACGCGGCGGACTACAAGAAGCAGTACCCAGAGGCAGCAAAGGCAATCGAGCTGAACCATTACATGGATGACTACCTGCACAGCTTCCATTCAGAAGAGGACTTCAAGAGAATTACAGCGCAGGTGGACTTCATTCACAAAAAGGCGGGCTTCGAACTCCGAGGATGGGCGTCAAACCACTCCGACCTGCTGCAAGACGTGAAGACTGAGTCAGTTGAGAAGACAGAGGTAGACCTTGATGAGAAGGAAGAGAAGACACTGGGACTACGCTGGTTTACAGAAAGGGACTCCATAGGCTTTAGGGCGAACCTTCGGAACACGCCAGATGAAGTGGCACAAGGACTCAAGGTACCTACGAAGAGAGAAGTCACCAGCGCCGTGATGTCGACCTTCGATCCACTAGGGCTAGCATCACCAATTCTCATCCAAGGCAAAAGGCTGCTCCAGAACATATGGCGAAGTGGCGTCGGTTGGGATGAAGAGATAGAAGAAAAGGAGTACGAGTCATGGAAGACTTACCTGGAGAAGATGAAGCTGCTCCAAGACCTTCAGATCCCGAGATGTCTGGCACCACGTCGCACCAAGGGGGAGCTGCACACGTTCACGGATGCAAGCGAAATGGCGTATGCAGCTACGGTATATTGGAGAACTGAAAATCAAAATGGGACTTATGACGTATATATATGACTTAGTAGCAGCAAAAGTAAGAGTCGCTCCGTTGAAGCCGGTGTCAATCCCGAGACTCGAGCTGCAAGCGGCCCTCCTAGGAAGCAGATTGGCACACTCGGTCGAGGAAGAAATGGATCTGAAAATAGAAAAGAAGACGTTTTGGACAGACTCCAGTATCGTGCTATCATGGATCAAGACGGACCCGAGAACCTTCAAGACATTCGTGGCTCATCGCTTGGCGGAGATAGAAGATCTCACAAAACCACAGGACTGGAGATGGGTACCGACGGCGCAGAACCCTGCAGATGATGCAACACGTGACGTACCAGAACACTTCGACTGCCAACACCGATGGTACACCGGACCAGGGTTTCTAAGAAGAGATGAAGTTCACTGGCCTGCGGCAAAGAACATTCAAGAAAGAAACCACTGGCGAAGAAAAGGCAGCGGACATCGTAGCGACTGCAGGCAGCTCCTATCCATCACCAGATCCCGAAAAGTTCTCGTCGTGGAAAAGACTTTGGCGAGCTACAGCAAGAGTACTGCAGTTCATACAACTCTGCAGAAGAAAGGAAAAGGTCCACGCCAGCAAAGAAGATCCTACCTGGAAAACTACAAAAAGGAATAAGAAAATTGTTGAGAAGCGACATCTGTCTTTAAAAACGTCAGAAAGGAAATACATACCATTGGAAACAAGTCTACTAGAGCAAGCTGAAACGCTGTTGTTAAGAAGAAGTCAAGAGAAATGCTTCAAAGAGGACATCAGGTGCCTACAGCAAGGAAAACAATTAGAGGGCAGCAGCAAGTTGAAAAGGCTCGACGTAGTGTTAGAAGAAGGTCTCCTGCGACTGAAAGGAAGAATCGACGCGATACGAGGGGCTACCAGAGACTACAAACGACCCATCGTACTCGACAGCAAGGACAAGACAACACTTCTCATCATAGAAGAATTTCACTGCCGCTTCCATCACGGGAATCACGCGACCGTAATGAACGAAGTAAGACAACGCTTCTGGGTGCTAGGACTGAGGTCAGCGATCAAGACCATTCAACATCAATGCCAGTGGTGCAAAACAAGAAAGGCAAGACCTCAAGAACTACCAGTGGGCAACTTACCTGCTGAGAGGCTGATGCACGGAAACCCTCCATTTACGTGCACGGGAATAGATTACTTCGGCCCTATGACGATCACCGTAGCAAGACGCCATGAGAAGAGATGGGGTGCTCTATTCACATGCTTAACAACACGAGCTGTACACATTGAGCTCACTCCTTCACTCTCCACTGACAGCATGATCATGGCACTACGACGATTCGCCGCGAGAAGGGGAATGCCAAAGATAATCTACACCGACAATGGCACTAACTTCGTTGGCGCCAACAAAGAACTCAAAGAAGCACTAGACACCATGAAGCAAGAAGACCTTATCTCGGAAGCGGAGAAGATCGGCGTGCAGTGGAAGTTCATACCTCCTGGTGCACCAAACATGGGAGGTGCATGGGAGCGTCTGGTGCGATCCATTAAAACCGCACTGGACGCCACGCTCAACGAAAGGCAACCACGAGAGGAGGTACTTCATACCCTCCTGTTAGAGGCCGAGCACATAGTCAACTCTCGGCCCCTCACCCACCTCTCCGAGAACCCTGAAGAAGAAGCACTTACACCGAACCACTTTCTCATCGGGCGATCATGTGGCGCAGCAAGAATCGGCAGCTTCGAGGACAACGAGCTTGTGGGCAGACACACCTGGAAGGCTACGCAGCGACTTGCCGATCACTTCTGGCAACGTTGGCTGAGAGAGTATTTGCCCACTCTACTACCAAGGAAGACCAAAGGAAGAGTCAGCGCCACAGATTTGCAAGTCGGAGACATCGTACTGATCGTCGATCACAGCCTACCAAGATGCATCTGGCCACGCGGAAGAATCCTGCATGTGTATCCTGGACCAGACGGGCGGACCAGAGTCGTCGACGTCGAGACCAGAGGAGGTGTTCTACGGAGGCCCAGTTCGAGAGTGGTGCTGTTGGTGCCGGGAGCGTCGCCGAGTCCAGGAGTTGGTGCAAAGCACGAGGGGGAGAATGTCGGCGACGGAAAACCTATCTTCGAGTAACGTGTGTATTAATATAGGGACAATGTCATTTTAGCGTATTATGAATAATTGTTGTAAATATGAAATCTCATTCTTATTAGATTTATTATGTTAAAATAAGTTCTAATTAGTGTAATAAGGTTAGTTTAGAGTATTTTTTGCTTATTTGAATCATATAAGACTATTTAACATTAATTTGAAAGGAATAGGTACGTAAGTAAAATGTTAGCATATAATTACGTAACTTGAAAATGAGATTTTTTGTTTCTTGCAATAGCATAATAGTTTATGTTTTAAATAATAGATTTTATTATAAAACTTATAATAAAACAAGAATTAGGTCGATAGGACTATCCGTTCAAAAGTTATAAGGGAAAATGTATAGTAAAAATGTAGCAACCTAGAAATTTAGATATTTTGGTTTTGAGACTTTTTTAATTAATTATTATATATTGAATATTATGTTTTAATATTGTATAATAGTATGTAAGGCATGTAAATAAATAAATATGTGTAAGGTGTTTTACTGAAAACATAAAATAAAAGGACTCTCAAGGTTTCGGTTTAGGGAAATTTTACTCGAAAAATGAGCTCAAAGTACGCGGCTCTCTGTAAGGTATTAACGGGCCAAATAAAAGGCGAGCCATTTCTCGATTCGAGTCAGTCGCAAGACAGCCACCGAAGAGGCAACAACTAAAAGGAAAAGGAAGAACCGAAACCAAGAGAGAAAAAAGGAAAAAATTGTGTTTTTATTTCATCGCCTCTAAGTATAGTCTCCTGTCAACGAAGAAACCCTAGTGGATCGGGACCCAAGCTACGCATTCAGGGGTGCGTGGTGGCGTACATTACCAGCGAACGGACATACTGCCGTGTACGCCAAGAACGTCTGGGAGATTGTCCCAGGTCGACCTCCGGGTACTAGACATACCCTGGTTCTGGTCGTCCGAAACACTTGCAATAAATATTTAATAATATAAATAATAATAATTAATAAACGTATTAGTAATAAAAAATTGATTCTTACATTTATACTTACTCTATCGATCTTGAGTTACGCAATAAGGAAAATTAATTGTTATTAATGTGTCACAATAAACATTTTATATGAATAGCTACAATATATATATATATTTTTTCATTTTTCTCTAAAAAATTGTCTTGGGGCTCTGAACATACAACATTGTATTTAGGTATATTATATTATTGTATATTTATGAATGTAAAATTATAATTTGTTATTATATACAAATGTATATGTATATTGAAATAAATTTTAAAACAAGACTTATACGGAATGTTAATCTATCTTGAAGTAACATATAATTAGATTTTCTATGTATAATTCAGGTCACAGAGATAACTAAAACCACAAGCTTGTCAAATACTTTATTGTTTAATAATAGCTCTCAAAAACATTAAATTACTTCATATCATTTTTAAAATGTACTTGTTTTTAAGGTGCATACCACATGCATACATATTTTTACAATACAGATTTTTCTATGAAAACCTTCATTCTACTTACATGAGGGGGAGGTTGAGCTGGTGTAATGGTCAAACCACTTGCTGTTAATGCCCTTAGTTCACTCAATTCTGGAGGAAGTGATCTGCTATAATTATAATTAATGTATTTAATGTATTTAATTTAATTAATTTAAATATATTTAATTTAACAATATGACCAATTTAAATCTTATCATAGAGTTTATATGTAAACATTTCAAATAAACAAAATCTCACTTTCAAATGCACCTTGTACATAATAATTCTAATTACATATGAATGATGCCACTTGCTATGCATAAGTGTTATATATTGCTTTTTCTATCAAATTAATAGAGAATTTGATAATTTAACATTCATATAAGCTATTTAACACAACAAAACAAGATCTATAGAAAGAAGTCATACTAGGATTACCTTACACTAAGATCCACCGCCGAGTCGTCTACGTCCATTGTAGTTCACTGCACAATTAATTAGCCAAAATTATACAATCACCAAAAATCGATACTACACAATAAAAGAGTTATAACATGACATATTTTGCAAATAAAACAATTAAAATACATCTTCATAAAACATTATCAATTGAGTGGCGGTGATTATTATTTCCTATAATGTATAGGTTTATAAAATTAAGTAAAATTTGTATAATATAATTTTCAATAAGTAGTAAGTACTAACGCTAAATGACAGTAAACTGACAAATTGACAATGGTTTGTGACAACAAATCCATTAGAAACTTTGAACTAAATTCAACGAATAATTTACTCGTAATTATATTTTCGTGTCTTATTTACCTTATAACTTATTATATTGTTGATGATATTTTACTTTCCCACAATTTAAACAAAACACTTGTAATACACTCAATGTGATACACGGCAGGAGGTTTAACTATAGATTATAAATATTTATTTTGTAATTTGTAAATTCAGGAATTTGAATCACTGAATATAGATTATAAAGATAGCATTATTCACAAAAAATTTAGGTATAATATTATTGTATAGCATGATAGCACAGGCCTTGAATCGTAGACGATAGTTTTTTCCGTCTACGGCTCGAATACTTTACTAACTAGGAAATAGGAATATTAATATTTGGGTGTTTCAGTGGTGTAGTTGCTAGCATATACGGCTGTACATCTAGAGTTTCTGGGTTCGAGTCCCAAGTCGAGTCAAGTTTAGTTATTGAGTCTTTCTGATATGGAATTCCCAGTAAGAGCCTGGAGTTGGGAAATGGCGGTGTTTTACCCCCTTGCCTCGGAGAGCGCGTGTCGCGTCGGTCTTGGCCTTAATCTCTCACCGATCATGTCAAAATAGAGTCCCATCGACTTTGACTTAAAAAAAAACAATTGTATGTGCTTAAACTTTTTTTATATATTACAGAAATACTTTAAGCTAGCACTTATGAATATTATTTTATAGTATAGTTTCAAGGCACGTATGTATGTACAAAAATGAATTAAGTTACGTACATTCCCCAAGAAAATATAAGTGTCCAGTTTGTCGTAATCGTTGTAATCATATATTATAATTTATATTAATACAGGATTATTTGCATGAAAATAATATGTTAGTGTCAGCGGTGTAGATTTGAAACCAAATGTGTATATTTGTGTACGTAAATAAGAAAAGATTTTTTTATGTATCATAATAATCTTCAAAAAGTATATTATAATTTCGCTAACAAAACTTAATTAATCCTCATAGCGGAGACGACAAAATAATATTATTATAATACTAATTAATAAAATAAATATAATCACAGGTAAAATATAATATTTAAAAATGAAATGACAAATGTCAAACTTTAAAAAAAAATATTTTGCAAACTTTGAAGGTTATGTGTAAATACTAATTACTAATTACTAAATAAAAGTGTTATTGCTCAAAGTTATTCTAAATATATTTATATATTTAATCTGATGATTCTATATATATTTATATATTTAATCTGAAAATCATTTTATTAATCAATTTAAAAGGCAGATTGTTAAGAATTTGCTAAGATACGCATTACTTAATTGAATTTAGAAATGCCAGGACCAGACTTATTGTCCAGTCAGGGTTTGCGCTTGGATGGGAGAAGACCAAATGAATTACGTAGGATAAGATGCAAACTCGGTGTTTTCACTCAGCCAGATGGTAGTGCGTATTTAGAACAGGGTAACACAAAAGTTCTTGCCGCTGTTTATGGACCTCATCAGGTAAATTTTCCAAATATGCGAGGCTACTAAAAAGTATCACAGACATCAGTTAATTAATATAAATATTGTCTTGTTTTTTTAGGCATCAAAATCCAAAATGTCTAAAGAAGCAGTAGTTGTTAATTGCCAATATAGTATGGCTACTTTTTCTACTGGTAAGTTATTTTAAAATATATAATACTCACGTTAAAAGAATACATTATACAATCTGTTCTTTATCTTAGGAGAAAGAAAAAATCGTCCTAGAGGAGACCGTAAGTCACAGGAGATGTCACTCCATCTTCGACAAGCTTTAACAGCAGCTATAAAAACAGAATTATATCCCCGTTCACAAATCGATATTTACATTGAAGTGTTACAGGTGTGTATTGGATATTGTAGTAATATTAATCTCAATATAATTTAACTTATATATTAAAGTCAAAAAAAGTTTAAATGTTTTTAAAATTCTTCAAACAATGTTTAGAATTATTCATAGAATTCTGAAAAGTTCAAAATAAATTAAACCACTTTGTCAGGCAGATGGTGGTGCTTACTGTGCAAGTGTGAATTGTGCAACACTTGCTCTAATAGATGCTGGTATTCCTCTTAGGGCTTATGTATGTGCTTGCACAGCATCAATGGCATGGAAATCAGGAGTCCCTGCACCTTTATTAGATGTGGGACATGTTGAGGAAGCAGCTGGAGGAGTTGTGTTAACTGTAGCCAGCTTGCCAAGTACTGGTATGTTTAGTATATTTTTTTTATTTCAATTTAATTTGTAATCTATGATCAGTGTCAGTTTGCATATTATGTTACTTTTATAGACATTATTGTAGAATACTTGATCCTAATCTGTGTTATTGACATGATCCTCAGAAATACAGATAAACAAAGCTTTATAAAATAATTGAGGCCTCTATTCATAAAAATAATACTACAAAAAAAAATTATCCATTTTTTATTGTCTTTCATATAATTCCAAAGCAGACCTTTTTGTTACTTTTCCAGCAAATTGTATAACAAGAAATATACAAGTAAAAATCTTAAAATTCACCATACCAACCACCAACCGGTTATTAGATGGCAGTGATAGTACATAAATGTTATTGTCCACGATAGTATTTTAATTTTAAATTTGTATTTTGTGTTAACAGGCAGCATAGCTCTAATGGAGATGTCACATAGACTGCATAGTGATTACTTTGAAGAGGTACTGAGTCGAGCAATGCAAGGTTGCAGAGATATTGAGGTACATAATATGATTTATTGATGATCTAAATATACTAAAATATTTTTTAAGGTAATAAATGAGAAAAGACATTAATTTTTAACAATTTCTTCTACTTGGATGGATTTGTTTATTTATGGTAGCAATCCTACTTAAAAAATGTATAATCAAATATAAAAACCAAACACCAATTATGAGTGATGCCACATTATTATCCATAAAACAGTCTAAATAATAACAGTGCAGACTATGTTATGCACAAGTTATCATTAACCCTTTTTAAATAATGTAAAATTATATTATATTTCTGTATTGACATACCCTCACTTTGCTTGCCTTCATCCCTAAGTCCCTTTCTAGTGTTACAGACACTTCCTAGCCTATCCCACGCCTTTGGGGGTGAAGGAGCAATAAACATATAAACAAACATATTTAGTTTGCAATTATAATAATTAGACCAGGCTGAACCTTTCAAAATGGTAAAAAGTGAAAAATATAATGTAATAGGATGAAACCAAAACTTTGATGAAACAAAATCAAAATTTTTAGATGTTTTTATTACTTACTTTTCCATTTAACATTTTTCTATAGGACTTGCAATTTTGCCGGAAATCGAGATAAGCCGTTTTTTACCCTTAAAAACTCACCCCCTCCCACTTCCTGACCCCAGATCCGTTAATTATATTTCCTTTCATTTTTGTTTTATCATTATCTTCGTTTCCCAATGGGTTTCATCCTATTTGTTTCAAAATTATCGACCGTGGTCTAAATAGTCTACAAGATTTTTGTGCAGCAGTTACTTTACACGGCTTTTATTCCTCAAAATATTTTTTATACTAGATTCCCATCACTTTTCCAAGTTGAAAATGCTCTAAAATAAAAATCTCCAGAGTCAAACTAATTCTTGGAAATAATTCAGTAGTACTAGAAACCACCCTCTAAAATTTCAAATATATCAATTTTTAAAGCATATAACTTCTTTTTATTATAATTTTGCTCAATTTTGACGAAAATCATTTCTTTCAGGTTATTCTGGATAGAGCAGTGAGAGATCACTTGGCGGAAGGCTGGACAAAACAAGATGTCGTCACTGTATGAAATAAACTGTTTAAAATTCAATTGTTTCTTGATTTTTTATCCTTTAATTTTTTGTATGTAGTTGCTTGTTAATTTATTTTGGTTTATTATAATGTCCAAGGTCCATTTTTTATATTTAAAATATATAAAAGTAGTTGTTTCTTCAGTCTATTTTTATAGTTTATCTCTCAAAAATATAACATATGACACTTTCAAGATATATAAATATTGTTAAGTAGTTATTAGGTTACTCATAAAGCTTTCTTCAAAAGGAATCAAATATCAGTTGAATTGAAAAAAAGTAATATTTTAAATCATATCTATAATATCTAACTCTTCATAAAATAATTACAAAAGTAAAAATAAAGTAAATAGGTGTTACTGTATAAAATATCCTTTGTTGATTTATATCTTTGTCTTCATCTATGAAGACCATTTAACACAGTAGTATATTGCTTCATTTAGAAGGAATATGTATTAAGGAGGAAGGTTGAAAACAATAAATAAATAGACTTACATATTTATTAGAGATCTGAACATAATAAGAAATAAAATTATATGTACAGTCTATGTTAAAACTAACTAAATTATAGGTAAGTTAAAAGGTACACACTGCTTTACGTAGCTCATTGCTTGGCAGAACATAAACCTTGCAACGTACAGACGTGCGACAGCTTATTAGTATAGCGAAATGCATGCCTAAATAAAATGCGAGAGGAAAAAAAATAAATAAAAAAAATTAAATTAAAAATATTGGATGTTAAAATCAGTCCATCCTTTCTGTGATTGCACACATTGAAAAAAATAAATATTTTTTTTATCTTTAAAATAAAGTATTGTAAATTGTACTTAAAAAGCCCAGTTGTAAAACAATACTCATAGTTCCTCTTTATATATATAAAAATATTATGCGATCCTCTCCGTCCGAACTTACCGACTGCGCAACATATTAGCAGTTCTTTAACTGGGGCACTTTGTAAAAATACAACAAAATGTTGTAATTCATTCCACAAAAGTGAATTATAAAACACTGAGTTGCTAAGGCACTCAACTACATCTATATGTATATAAACTTTAAGCAGAACAAAAATAAAGGGTTAACAATGTAAATAAACCATAAACTCGTTCACCAATGCAAAACAAACTTTCAATTCCAAAGGAGACTTAACCTAGTGTATATATGAATAAATGTTCACATTCTATATCTGTCTACACAGTATGTGATAGAAAAATCTAAGCTTTAGTTTTATTGTATGCGTGGGCGTTAGTTGGCCGCTACTTCAGGAGTTGAGTTTTGACTAGGCTCTGCAATTATATCTGAAAAAAAAAAAAAAACATTATTTTGATAATCTAAGAATCCGATCTGTGTTGGCCCTCGCACTCTTTATCCATGCAAAATATATTTTTTAAACAATAAAACATATTAACAAACACGACCTAGGTGTCACCAAATATTTGCTTCAGGCTATTTTAAAAACATATTTTTTTTTTAAGTACAAGAACTCTTTTCCTATGACAACTTAGTATAAAGTAGTAGTAGTTAGTAGAAAGTAAAAAACTTAGCTAGAAAGTAGAAAATGCCATCATATGGTTTTTTATTTAAATTGAATTGCTTTAATTTCTTGTATCGGATCATATTTTCCGGAACCAACCAAGTATTAAAATGAACCCTTTATCATTGAATTACAAATTTAATGATATAGGGTTGTTATACAAAAATATCTCCAGTCTAGAAGTTTTTTAATTAAAAATAGCCTGGAGCAAATTTTTGGTGACAACCAAAAACAAAACATCAACAAAGACAACCCCTCGGGTTGTTTGTTGATGATTTATGGTTTAAAAAATATATTTCGCCTGGAAAAAGAAAGAGGAGTCCATCACATAGATCGGGATCTTAGACTATAACTAGTAAGAGTTATGGTTGAACACATATATTTTATTTAATGCTGAACCATTTACTAATGAAGAACTAAACATAACTTACCATTATTAGTCTTGTTTGGAGAATTTTGAGTTGATGTCTTTTGTGATTCACTAGTGCTACCTTCAGCCTCTCCCGTCTCTCCTGCTGATGACGTGGCCTTTAACCGGGAAGATTTATTTTCAATATCTTAGTATATATTACATTTTTTATGCATAACACTCTAATTAATTGTAGTCTTTGTGTATTCTGTCAAAAAAACACCATCGTAATTCGTATTCATCAAGCCAACAAAACAAACAACTAAACAAAAATTTATAATATTATAAATCTATGTTTAAACATCACTTATTTTACACTAATGACTTACTCTCGCTTTGCTCAGGTACATTATTTTTTGCGGAACCCTGGTTCATGTTCTAAGTAAAGTAGCCTACATTACTTCTTATAACATCAGCTATCTGCCAATGGAGGTTCCATTCAAATCTGTCCAGCCGTTTGAGAGTTTAGCCGGAACAAACAGATACAAAATGTTAAAAATTGTGTTTTTCTCATAAGTACCATATATCATTTTAATTTCATACGCATTTAGTAAAAAGCTGTTATTTTGACATTACAAACAGACACTTCAATTTTATTTATCTGTATACATAAATTCGAAACTTACCCTATTTTTATTTGTTGGTCGCGGCTTAGGACCTTTTGGCTCTTTTTCGGGATCAAAATGGCAGTCAAATATTTCTATCAGTTCCTTTATATCCTCTTCCTTAGCAGACACAGATAGGGATAGTGCTTCCAACTGTTTCTCTAGGCCTGTCAGTTTGTTTTCTTGCCAGGCGTCACGTAGTTGGTCGTATAAGAGACCCGCGTCAGCCAATAGACGACGTAGTTGGGTGACGCGCTTGCGCTCCGGTCGCGCCAGCCGCAGTAATGGTGCGAAGACAGGACGGAATGTGTTTTGTCTGGGAATTAAATTATATTTTGATAGACTGCTCGGTTAGAGAAATTGATGTGATATCTAGATATACATGGTTTTTTTCTTTTCAAAACTCAAGAATATAATTTAAACTAATTCATTTTAACTCATCTTGAACATATAGCACTGTGAGTTGTTTGAAATACAAAAATAAGTTAAGTACTGTGGATAGTTAGGGAAAGATTTCTGTGATTAAAATAAAAAAAGTGAATCTAAATAGAGTTTAAAAAAGACACCTTCTCCTCAACATTAGGTTGGCTAAACATATATTTCATTCATCTTGTTAATTTAATGTTAAAAATGAACATATGTGTTCATCTGGCACGCTTTGAAGTCATTAATTTACAACAGAATTGTAATCAATCTAGTTAAAAATGAATAAGATTTGAAACCCCTTACCTTTCTAACAACTTCTTAAAGTTAGCCAATGCTTCCAACTCGGTGTGAACCGGACGTGCCCACGCTCGGGCTGTCTCTACCATATCTTTGCTTGCTGTGGTTCCTTCACCCCCCGCACCTACTTCTTGTTGTTCACCTGTTTGAATGAGCAAATCATTTAACATAAGTTATATGTTATGTAGGGAATAAATTGTCACCATAAAACAGTTTTTTTTTAAGTCTTAATAATGATTCACGATTATTACCAATTTTGTGATATTTGTTTTTGTGTAACAAGAACATAATCAAATAAGCTGATGAGTACCTAAAATAAAACTTTAATTATTATTAATTTTTTGCTTTTATCTAATATTGTGCATCCTGTGATTGTAAGTGAAGGAGCATTTAATCAATGTACTTATAGCATATTTTATATTATATAATAATATATTTTCTGTTGATGATCCTAAATAAATAAATAAATAATATCACACCATCTATATACAAAATACAAATACATTATAGATGATCAATCAATTTGAGGCAATGTTTTTAAAAGTAAGCATAAACCTTACACCAACTTTTCATTCATCTGTTTGATAAATAAAATAAAATTAATTGCTTAAGTAAGTTTATTTCATTTTACAGAGCATAGCACAAAAGATATTAATATGAATTTAAAAAATTGTATAAGACATACCTTGTGCAAGATGCTCTACAATTCTATATGCAGCCGTAGCTCTATCGAGTGCACTATCTACTGACAGTGTGTCTGCATCTAGAAGAACTCTTGCTAACACTCTTAAGGACACAGACTTGACTGTAGATTTACATTTATCTGCGGCCAATGCATAGCTGTCTGTGAAGCCAGCTACTATTGTCTTGAAACGGTCTAATAACTTATAACTGGAATAAAAAAATTATGAATATAATATTGTTGTTATCAATACTATTTCTTTTTTTATACGTATAATAAAATTGTAACTAAGCCGAATTTGTACATTAAATATTTTTTGGAAAATCTTATTGAAATAGTCATTATTATTGACACAGAGGTCGAATCTGTAGTTTCTAAAAATTTTGTCTGTCTGTTACTACATCACAGAAAAACCACTGGAGGGATTTTAATGAAATTTGGTATAATGATAGCTTGTTATGCGCGTCAACATATAGAATACTTTTTACCGCAGGGAAATATCTCATTTCTGAGAAAAAATACAGAAACTGCAATGTAAGAGTATACTTATATGTAAAACCTAAGAATTTGGTTTATGATCATCTGAACGCGGACGGAGCCGCGAGCAATGCTAGTATTCTATAATACTTTCTTAGATTTACATGAATATTTGACATTTTAAATAAACTATCTTTTCGGATTTTTGGTTCCCGACGTTTTAAATGCTTTACAGCCATCATCTTTTTATTCTATTGATAGGACAACAAATCTCTTGAAAATGCAAAATAAGACTCTTATTACTTTTTATTATTAAGTAATTATGCAGAATCAATCCATATAAATGTGTACAACACAATTGTAATAAGGTGAACTCAAAATTAACTACTTGTAAAAAACTATATTCATGTCACAGACACTTACCGAGTAAGAGCTTCTAACAACATAGTAGGGCTCAAACGACGTGGTTCATGATATACAAGTATTACACTACCATCACCTTTCTCTTTCTCCAGCCAGTCTAGGAAGTCAGAAAGAGCTGATATTTCAGACTTTGTTTTTAGTATCTGAAAATATCATTAAATATTTAAACAAAAGGCAGAAAATCTTTTATTATTCAAAGTTATGGTGTTGCTTATAAATAATAGAATAAATTAAATACATATACACCTCCATTGTTTAACATTTGGTATATGTTTGGTATTTAGTATTTTAAACAGGAAAAAGTTTAAACAAAACAGTTTAGAAATACACATTATAATGTTTTATATAGTATATTTATTTTATATAAGTAGAAGATTACAAACTGCACTTGATAATCACCTTATATTATCAGCACAAATAGTCTAAAGCTTACCTTATGAGTATTAGTATCCTTTAGCATTCGATATCTACCAACAGTAACTACACGTACATTATGACGTCTACGAGCACCTGGGTTTAAATCCCCATATGGCATTATATATTGAGAGTATGTTTGTTTTGGAGTGAAGGCAGCTATTTGGCAAATCTGTAAACATTTGATAAAAATATATTAGTAATATGTTATTTGTTTATTTTTAATTAATACTAGTCTCTGCCTGTGGCTTCATCTACATGGAAAATATTTTCCTGAGAAAAGTCTAAAGACAAAGAAATAATGTGCTATATGTAAGCATAGTGTTATACAAATGGTCTACAATTTACATGAACAAACACACACTAATAAATTTTCACATTACAATATTATTTTAATTAAATTTTATTTATTTACAATAACAATTATTTATAGCTTTTATATTGTATATGAGACTACTCTGTACGTACAATAAAAAATTTTATTCATAAAATATACTTCATTTACACAAGGGGTTAGTTCTGTAAAAATATGTTTAGTGTTTATATAATCTATACGTATAATAAAATTGTAATTAAGCCGAATCTGTACATAAAATATTTTTTTGGAAAATCTTATTGAAATAGACATTATTATCAATAGAGGGCAAATCTATAGTTTTTAGAATTTTTGTCTGTCTGTTACCACATCATGGAAAAGCCACTGGAGGGATTTTGATGAAATTTGATATGATGATGATGACTTTTTACTGCAGGAAAATATCTCATTTCTGAGAAAAAATACAAAAACTGTAATGTAAGAGTATACTAATATATAAAACCTAAGAATTTGGTTTTGGTCATCTGAACGCAGGCGGTGCCGTGGGCGATGCTAGTAATTTTATATTTCGAGGATTTAAAAAATATATAAACATGGCCCACTTCATACATCAAAAAATAAATGATAAAAGATACAATAAATATTTATATATAAAATTAAAATATAAATATTTATAGAGAAATCAATATCTTATTTCTGATAACAATGTTGCATCAATAGTACTTAAGCATTATACAAAAGCACTAGTCATTTATTAACAACTAAGATAATAAACAGAAATACCATAACATGAATGCATGGTACCAACAGATAAAATAATTCACGTACCTCATCAATTAGCCTTCTTCCAGTAGTATCCATATCCCAACCAACAAGTGCATACTTGCCGGGTGGCAAGCCAACAGGTTTTTCTGCTAATGCAGGGAGGAGCTCACTCGGGGCTTCTGCCCCACTGCCATTCACCTTGGCTTCAGTCACCATTGCCATGAAAGTTGAGTGTTCTTACTAGGAGAAAACCCAGAAATGTTTTATTTTTTGTAACAAATAAGATAAATAACAAATATCAGTTACTATTTTAATTTTATATAATTGTAGTATAAACAAAATTTATTATTAATTAAAATGAAACAAATGAGTGAAAGCTAATAATTACTTTAATAATTCATCTACCCTCAGAAGAAAAAAAACTTGCCTGGGTATGTAAAGATAGTGTAGCAGGTATTAAATTTGAAAGTAAAATAAAAATCATAAATATATTGTGTTTGAAATCTTCAACTAATAATAATAAAAAATAAAATCGATAGATGATTGGGTTTATCCTTGTATATTAGTGTAGGTAGAGTAGATAGCGAAAAAATAATTATAACAATGCAATATAAATAATTGTGTTTTATAATAGGTACGAAAGACATTAATTATAGCACAGCAAATCATAAATATACTCGTTATACGAGTAATTATTTAGAACAACAAGAAATATTACAACCTTAAAAATGATGTCACGCCGCTAAGAAAATACAGGCGCCCAAAATAAATCGATTTGAGGCGATGTAAATGATGTCTTGAAATAAGACAAAAAATAAAATTAGAAATAAGCTTTATAATTTCACATAAACATAAATATGAGTTTCAAACATATTAAGGAATTTTAAATCGTATAAAAACCAAAGGAAAAATAAAAAATAGGACACGTGGCGATCTTTTCCTTACAGACATTTTGCCCCACCCCTTTATGTCAAAATAATATTTAAAAAACTCACTATTTTAATATGATTTTCCTTGAAGAATGTTATTGAATATTTAATTAATTTTCAAAGAAGTTTCAAGAAACTTTACGGCGCGTGCTAAACAGAAATTATTTAGGTAAAAAATATTACAAATCTCGGCACGTGTGCGGCAATCCGAAAAACGCAATAGTGATTGACATCTTTATTGTGTTTGTATAATCAAAAACCGGTAATCTACCATAATAGTATTCATTATTCTTAATATTAAGATTTTATTAAAAACTGATGAATTTTATTCAATTTATTATATTATGTTTCTGTCTATTTCAATGTATATGTCTCAAAGATTTTATATACTATGAAACATAATTAAAAGTTAAATAATTATTTCTGTTATTTATAGCTTATTTCTTAACCCATTTAAAATAGTCAATAATAATATACATCAGTGAGAAATCCAACTATATTTTTGAAATTAATCAGAAAACCGTTTTAAATTAAGTATACACTTGGTACATCTCTAGGTATACATTATGAATCTGTTGTTTATATAGTTGTCTCTTTTATTCTTATTTGTTTAATGTTTACGCTTTACGGTCTATGGTAAACATTGAATATTAATTATTGAAAGCTTTATAATCTGAGTTTCATTACATGTTTTAGCAATTTTATACTTAAAATATTATAAATACACAGAAAGCTGAGTATTTCGAAATATATATTACTATGACAGAGAATATCGACGTTTACCAGAATCAAATAGCTTTAGCTAGAACCGAAATTAAAAATCTAAGGTAATTAATTTAAATGTTATTAAATAAAAATAAGTCATTATATTATATATTTAACATCCTTTCTTTCTGTTTTAGACAACGAATTTCAGCTTTAAAACAAGAGCATCAAAAGGAAATTAAACATATAAAGTCTACCCTGAATAACCTTCGCTGTTCAAGTTGTGCAGCGGAAGGTACGATTAGTAGTCATAATTTATACATTAATTCATTATATTCAACAATTCGTAATTTATAGCAAATATAATTTTCTTATACAAACACTATTATTCACTTAAAATATTCAAAATGTTATTGTTTGTCATGTATAATCATTATGAGTACTCATTATTGTAAAAATGCAAAAATATACTTAGCAGGATTAAACTCAGGACAACCAGGGCTGCAGCCTAAGGGCTCATACAATAGCAGGGCACATCATGTTTTTGTTTTGTTAACTTGTGTAAATTTGTAATTAATTTCAATTTCTTTGCAATATTATAAGTGGCCTTCATCCCTTTAAGTATTCTGGAACTCATGTAGTTATTAATTTGATCTTGATTAGGTTAATTATTATTGTTTAATTCAAATATTTTTCTCTAGCTTCAACAGTAGAGAATAACTATAACAAGAATGATGCTTCAGTACCTCAAACTACCAGTAATATGACTTTTCGACCTATTGGGTACATTGAAACTTCTTTCAATAATAAGAGAGGAGTGCCAAGACAGCCCTCACTTTTGACCAATGTAAAAGGGGCCGTTGTTGTTGATACAAATGTTTTTAATAACCCTGAGCATGCTCTTGATGGATTAGAAGAATTTTCTCATATGTGGTTAGTATTAAGTTGAGAACTATCTTTTAAATTACATAATATATCCCTTGTAAAGTTCAAAAAGTTTGAAAATAGATATAACTTATAAGCCACTTTAACTATCTATGTTTAAGCCTTAATTTTATGTTTGTATAATAATTAAATATTTAATATGAAATTCGATTATTCTCTTGACTTAATTAAAATTATAAAATTTAAAGAATGCTTTATAAAATACATAAATAGTAAATATTATTCTTGTAAGTCTCATGAATAAGTCATTTTGAATAAAATGGGTGTCTTTTTTTCAGGATCATATTCTATTTTCACATGACAGATAGCACCAATGTACCAGCAAAAGTATCACCACCACGGCTTGCTGGTGAAAGACGAGGTGTTTTCTCCACTAGGTCTCCTCATAGACCTTGTCCGATTGGATTATCTCTTGTCAAAATTCATAGTATTGAAGGTAAAAACTATGAATGTTTATGACTTAGATACCAGTTTAATATTGAAATACTCTTGATGCAAGTAGTGATCATCTAATGATAAATATAAATTTATATAAATAACCACCATATTTTATTCTACAAGTGACTTAACTGGTTTAAATATCTGCTCTAAATTATTACATTTTATTGACACACTTTTACTACCTTAACTTGTAACTAATTATATTCTTTATTGCACTTAAAATATGATACAGAAAAAAAAACAAAGTAAACATAGTTCACAAAGGTAGGCTTATCTCTAAAAGCGATCTCTTCCAGTCAACCCCTGGTTGTGGAAGAAGATGTCAGCGGGCAATAGAGTGCAAAAAAAAAACTAAATATATACTAGAAATAAAGGTAATAATAACCACTTATACATACATACATACATACATATATACATATATTATATATAAAAATATATAATACTACACATATATAATACCTAATGTAAAGACTACTTATACATATATACATATACATACTTAATATATAAAATATGAAAATAGAGAAAGGTACTGATTGATACTGCCTACATTTGTGATAATAAATAATTTTTTAATTTACATTTAAAGACATGAATAGATGGGCTCTCATGGATGGTTTTGGGCAGTTGGTTCCATAGTACTGTGGCATGGACAGAAAAAGAATTTTGTTGGAATTTAGTATTGCTCCTAGGAATGTCGACTAATAATGTGATGAAATCTTGGAAGTAAATTTTAACTTGTAATTGGATGTAGTTATGCAAAATAGATCCAACCTCAGAAACTTTTTTTGAGAAAAAACGAGTTTTAGTAAAATTGGTTTATCAAAATACCAAGACCATAATATTTTTTTTGAAATTCTTCTCAAATATTGGGTATTTTATCTACTTTCTGTATAGACTTTCTGTATATAAGTTGATATGTAGGTGCCGTTTATGACAGTAACTCAAAAAACGGTTTTCGTGGGCTAAATACATTTTGCATAACTACATCCAAATTGTCATATTGAAAAGAAACTTTGTATGTACATATGTAGGTTGGATGACTATATTATAATTTAACATCTTGGAGCTGATCTTATGACGGATCCAGGAATAGGAGAGGATAGTCTTCAAGGCATCCTAATAAACCATACATTTCAATTCATCAACAGTGTTTTTTTTTAAACTAATTTATTCCAGGAAACAAAATTTATTTCAATGGGGTAGATATGGTGAATGGAACACCTGTACTTGACATAAAACCATATATACCACAATATGACTACCCACAGACATATGGAGAGGCTTTGTCAGCATTAGAAAGGCCACCAACGGAAGGAATTAACGATCCAGTGGAAATAGTGGCTAATTTACATATAGATGATGACTCTTTATCAGTTAGAAGGTTTGTTGTTCTATTATTATTATTTTTAAATTATTTAGAGGCTGAACGATTTTTAAGAGAGTATGGATGGCAAAATATTATATAATATTATTAATATTATTTTTATTGAATAGTCATAGTATATTAAAGTAAAAATAATGAATTTGATATTTTCAGACGTCTCTATTTTCGCACGCTTACGTTGATGTTATAGCTATGCCCATGTCAATGATAATAATTATATCAAAAATTGCTATACAATATATTAAGGCAAGTCTGTTGTGGTTGTATTTTATTCATTGACTACAAATAACACACAAATTGACAATAAAACAAATCTGTTGTTCTTAAGTTTAAACAAATGTGTTGTGGTTTACATTTTTTAGCTCAGCATATATTTTGCAATTTTATTTATTGCTTCATTTATTTGTATCATTGCATAAATATGCATATATTAAAGATCGTAAAAAAAACTACCGAATTAAGCAAAATGAATATAATGCGTAGTAATTATATTTATTATATAAACAAACTAATAGGTATTTAAAATAGAACAGTACGTATATTATATTTGATAATATTTTCCTCTGACAACACGTTTGGCTCAGTTTGTAGTGTCTACTTACTGTGCCAGCGGTCCCGGTTCGAGTCCCGCTGGGGGCAATCATTTGTGTGATGAGCAAGGATGTTTGTACTCCAGTCATGGTTATTTATATTTAAAATATGTATGTATTTAAAGTTATATACTTATGTGTAGTGTATTAATTATCTGGTATCCATAACACAGACCTCGTAGCTTACCATGGAACTAGATGGTGTTGTGTTAATGTCCCAACATATTTATTTATTATTTCCACATGCACAGGCCATTCCAAGCGCGTAGTGCAATTAATTATGGCATTATTAGAGCACAGGTAATTAATGAATATTTTATGGTGACCATCTAGCTTAATGACTAATGGTATAAGTATGTATGGTTAAATGTGTAGCTTCGAGTTTAGTTCCATATAATTTTTGGTTGTAGAATGGGTGTACGTCCATGACAGTAGATTTTTTACAAGTATCTATATTCTTATATTTTTTTAACTAGAAGCATATACAGCTACGTTGAAGGAAAAGGATATTAAAATAAAATGAAAACTATCAGCTTAAGTTTGTTTATAATAAAAATAATATTGTTATCTTCATAAAAAAAAAATATTTTATAAAAATGTTTCCTTTAAAAGTATTTTTTTGTTTAACATAATTCTTATTACTTATCATTCAATTAATTTATTACAATTTTAACAATACTGTGTATAATCGGATAGATATAATTTTATGCTATTGTTTTTTTTTAATTTCTACATTAAAACAATTCATAAATCTCTTAATCTAAATTATCATAATACTGATTTACAATATCATTCCTCGCGTATAAGTACTTGCTGGTATAAGAATACGTTAAGGTGGTTTTTGTTTACAAAAACAATAGAACCTATTTATTGATAGAGTTACTAACTCCTTTAATATTTTTAATGCTGTTTTTTTTTTCATTTAAGTACTTTTTAATTTATTTAATTAAATTAATCCACATTCACTTGCATATTTTTGCAACAAATGACAGCAGGTTACAGTGCCTACTTTATCAAACTTTTATTGTTTTACCGTTTGTGGATACTTTGATTTTACATCTAAAATAACTATATTATACAGACTAAATAGTGATTTTATGGGTTGACGTGAGTTCTGTGATTTGCCGGTAGGGGGATCTGCTTACCGCTAATTATATTCATTGTGTGTATTTTTTCCATTTTAGCTTGAGTCCTCGCTTAGCACAGCCAATTGGAATTGATACATCGAGTCCATTATCGTCACCTTTGAACATGCTATCACCTGGAATCGACCGTGTGACACCAATCTCGCCTCGAGTATCACCAGCAAGCGAAGATTTACTCGATGGACCAGTTTCATCACCGATTCGCAGAGTGGATACCGAAAGAGGTGCACCAGACGGTCAAGAAAGATTTACACCGCCCCAAAACCATTTGAATGTGAATCAAGATGGAATTCGCGTAGCATCGTGGGTAAACAACCCACCAGCTCTAAAATATCAAGTGATATTTACAGATGATGCACTTCACAGATTAAATAATTTGATCGGAGACAGGGCGGCTTCGTTCAAAACTAACATTGAAAACCTTCTGTCAGAAGATCCCAGATCAGTTTACGTGAGAACCAGATATCCTGACCATGAATATAGTTGTGTGCTAGAAGATTTATCCGTCAGTTGTGTTTTTGATGAAAATTTATGTGTATGTAAGATTGTAGCTCTTAGAAACGCTGAAGACTTGCAAAATTGATTTTTATTGTAATAAGAGTAATGTGTACTTGACCGACTAAATTATTTATTCTGCTTCACTATTTGTTAGCATAAAGTTTGTATTATAAATCTGTTTTGGTAATTCTCTCATCCTCAAGTTTTATTTTTTTAAAAACATCATCTGTTTTCCCGATCCAAAGTTGCCGATACTTTTTAATACGATTAAATCTAGAAATCGCATTTTTATTCCATTAAAAACAATAACCTTACTGGAATTATTTGCTTCGAATTCAATAATATGAGATAAAGAAGTCCACTTGGTGCCATCTATAGAACTTCGATACTTTAGTTTTAGTATCGTACCGTTGCCAACGTCATCGCAAGGTAAGTAAATAGCTCGATCTACTTCGTGGATAGCTCCTAAATCAAATTTTAAATGAATATATTTCTTATCTCGCGGATTGGCTTTGCCTGAAGAACCCCAATTTGTGTGCCAAATTAATTTATTTCTTTCAGTAAGATTCGATACCTCTTGACACGGTTGACAAGGAAAGTTGCATTTAACTATAATATTTTTTATGATATTATTCTCAAGAGGACCTTTCAATACGAATCCCGATAAAACAGAACTCCATTCTGATACAAAAGTACCCAAAACAGATCGAATTCTAAAATCATGTTTACTTTCACTTACAAAATCTTTAAATGTTATTGTGTTGCCTATTATATTGCTGAAAATAACACCATCTCTTTCTATTTCGTAGAAATTAGCACCCGTTTCATTCCAATCTAGAGTAATGGAAGAACATGTACTTTTTTCCTCATTGACGTTAAATTTACTTGGGATTTTTATGTGCTTATCAAGTTTGAGGTTACCAAATACTTCCCCGGTATTTACGAATTTTTTTAGTTTGATTTTAATTTCGCTCATAGTTACATCCATCTTTTCTATTTTTATCAATAGGAATTTTTGTTTTGTGTCCCGATGTTCTTCCAAATATGGGTTAAGAGCGAATTCCTTATTAAAATAAAATACGTTTTGATGAGTTTTAAAATCATCCAAGTTATCAGCCTCTCGTAAAGCTAGTGGTTCTCCGTTTACGTCAACCTTTATGTTTTCAACGTTCGTAGATGCCATTATTTGTAATAACGTAGTCCTTTCTTTTACTATAGTTTCATAAGAGTTGTGAGTTTTATAAATAGTTATTAACAAATCATCAGTTGTGTTAGATTTCGGTCCTTGTGCTAAAATTTTTGTTGTTGCAAAACTACCTTTTAAATAATCAGAAGTTATGCCGTCATCTTCATATGCAACGAAGCTTGAAGTCCCATTTGGGTACAGAGTGAATATTCGCAAGTCCCTTTTTACCTCATGTGGATTATTATTCGGATTTGTCATTGGAATTATGGAGCCATCTTTTATGAAAACAGGAATTTTCCACAAAGGCGTGATGATGTTGTTATATATTTTCCCACCTTGATACTTTTTTCCTGTTATAAAGTCTATCCATACTTGATTTTTATCAGGGAGATAAATTCCATCTCGTATAGAATTGCCGTCAACTTTTACATCGTTGTAAATTGGAGAAACCAATATATTGGGGCCCCACATGTATTGATATTGAGAATCTTTTGTGTATGCTTCAAATTCCTCGGGAAATTCAAGAAACATCGCTCTGACCATGGGGAGGCCATTAATTGACTCATACCCAATACTATAATTGTAGGGCAATAACATGGATTTTAGTTTTAAGTAGGCTCTGTTTATTTTTGTAGCTTCATCGTCATAGCTAAATGGTGTCTTTGGAGTGTTACCCCAACCATCCATGTTTAATTGCAAAGGAGTAAACGTTTTCCATTGATAGTCACGAATATTAATTTCTTTACATCCACCAGCATAAATACCGTCCATATCAGAACCGATTACAGGTTGACCTGATAAGCTAGCTCCAATGTAGGTCGGTATATGGAATCGAATATATTCCCATTCGCCTCCTTTCTGATCACCACTCCAAATACCAGAATAACGCTGAGTTCCAGCCCAGCCATCAACCATTATAATCAAGTTTCGTGCCTTATTCTTCGCCGCTTTTTCAAATATTTTAGTTGCTTGTTCAATAGCATTCAAACCAAACGAATAGCCGCTGCCAATCCAAGCTACGTCACATTTCAGGGCAACCACATTTGCTATACCAACTTCTTTGTTCAAATCACGTTCTCCTTTCTTAGGATGTAAAGGATCGGCTGGTGTAAGGTTGGATTCAGTCCATAAAGCTACTTTGATGCCCTTTCCCATGGCATAGCTGACAAACTCTTTTAAATTTTGAATGTCACCGTCTAACGAATCCGTTTGGCCGTACCCAGAGCCATATCCATCATTTGGAATGAACCAACCTAAGGGTATGTCATGTTTTATATATCTATCTATCATTGCACGAGCAGAGAATTGGTAGTTATTTTTTTCACCATTAAGTGACTCTAAAATCCCTTTTTTTATGCCAATTTCATTAGGTTTATAGCTTTTATAATACTTTCCGTCTTCAAAAAGAATGGCGCCAGATACATTTGAAGCAACCTTAACCCAATAATCACGATTAAATGCATTTAAATGTGCTTCATAATATGCGTATTCCGGCATTAGGAGCGGTTGTCCAGTTAACTCATAGTAGTCTTTTAGAATATCTTTTGGATGAGCATTGATAAAGAAATAAGCATCAAAATCTTCTCCTTTATGGATTGTTTCTATGAAATCAATCGATTTTACCCCAAAGTCGTATATTCCTGGTTGCCAAGTGTTCCTTAGTACGCCATATCCAAAAGAAGACCAATAGAATGGACATGGTGATGTCACTCCGCCATCGCCCCAATTATTGCAATTTACAATTTTGATAATTTCTCCTTTATGGCTGAATCTTCCATTTTGCATTCCACCTCCAAAAAAATATTCTTTAGTTTTCTGATGTATTCTTTGTACTGATTTACGATCCGCATAAGACAAAGGTGTGGCTTCGTGCAACACGTCTTTGTCAGTTTTGATGTCATAAACCTTTAGAGTTCCTAGTATCTTATCAAACACAATTTGTAAATCTTTTGTTTGTACAATATAATGTGTATTAAGATCGATAAGTAATGATAGCTGGAACGCTGTATAGCCGTAATCATCTAAATTTTTTATTACTATCTTTGCGACATCCTGAGGATTGTTTGGTTCTGGATATTCATTAAATTTTCCAGACGGAGACATGTAATATCTAAAAACATGATCATTTAAAATGTGCAACCGTCCAATTTCACCTGTTTTGTATATGATACTGTAGAATTTATCATTTTTTTCTAAAATCTTTATACCTCCAACAATTTTGTCGGGTTCCTCCGCCTTATTCATTTTAGTCAATGAGTGAAGAGAATGAATCTGAAAAGAGTTTAATACATTTTAATGTTTGAAATAATATTTATTATTTATCATATACACACATTAGCAGTTATGAAGGATGAGCTAGTGATGAGTGTTTTTTGAATATAAAAAAGTATAATAAGTCTTTTATAATAATTCGCCCAGGTACTTATCCTACTACTATTATAAACGCGAAAGTTTGTGAGAATGGATGGATGTGTGTTTGTTACTCTTTCACACAAAAACGACTGAACGGTTTTGATGAAACTTTACAGTAATATAACTTATACATCAGATTAACACATAGGCTATAATGATACATAAGTGAACTACTCCGTACTCATGGGGAGAAGCGCTAAAAGCGAGTTTCTCATAATTTAACTTTCACTTTTTTAAAGCGGTATTCGGCAACACCTAGGTTCCGACTGTTCCACTTGATTGAGGTTATTGTGTTCAGTGTTCGTCCTAAATAAATTATTTGATTCTAAAGGAGACTTTATCTAGTTTATATAATATAATTAAACAACAACCAATCCACAACAAACCGTTTATGCAATAAAAAAATGAAAAATGTGTAATTTATCCGATTAAATTGACGGAGCCATTTTTACAAACGTCAGGTACAGTAACAGTGACTGTATTGGTCGATTAGCCTTGTGAGTTGTGGCGTGCTACGCCTACTAGGAAAATGTCAAAAGCATGTCCACTTTAGTTAGTGTTTTACAAATTGTTTAATGTCCAAATGACACATTATATTATTATGTATGGTATTGGTAAAATCTAACAACTTTATACTCCTTTATTCAGGTTCAAATCCAAGGTTTTAGGAAGTAGGTATTTTATCATTGCAAAAGCTGCTACATCCGGATACATGAGAATAGAAGAAGCTCCCATAGACATAATAGAGGTTATAAAACTTTAGACCAGCAAATAATTTCATGAAATACAAAGAAATTAATGTCGCACGATATACATTTTGCTAAAACCTAATTTTTCTTCCAGTAAAAAGAAATCTATATTCGACTTCTTAAAACAAATTCATCAAAATCGTTCTAGAAGCATAATTGCATAATTAGCTTCAACTAGTTATAACTATATTTATAGTAAGATGAATTCGTAAAAAAATAAACGTACTTTTAAAGACTCCAATCCAAAGAACTCCGACTAGTGAAGGTAAAAAATTGGAACTATTCTTTTAGTTTCCAGTAATTTGCTCTTTGTAAATACCTACTCATATAATTTTTTTTCTAAAGACTTAACTTTTTAATTTTTTTGAGCGGAACCCTATTTTTTTTTTCTAAAATAAAAGAAGCCTAAGTTACTCCGTATAACCTTTATTAAAGCTATCTGTCAGTGAATGTCCTGTTAAAATCGGTCCAGCCGTTTCGGAGATTAACCGGGACGAACAGACCGTCAAAAATTTTAAAAGCTCTGTTTTTCTTATAAGTAAACAGCTGTTATTTTAACATTCTAAACAGACAATTTCATTTATCTATATAGATAAACAATCTAACATTAGGGTCCACTGGCTCATTAGACTAAGCTACGACTAAAGATTCCAAAAAATCTAGTGAGTTCTCTTGAATATCCACCCAGACTTCAGTCCTAGATCAGTTTCACACCTAATAGCTGATCGAGATAAAATTCACTACCAAACTCACACGAGGTGCTTCTTAAAAAACCACGAAGAGTTAGACTCTGAAGACGAAGAAAATGCTGTTTTGAAAAGGATCTCTCCTTTTCTTCTGAATGACTGACTATCAGTCTGAAAATCTCGAATATTAATAGACAAACCGACTAGCCCAGAAAAATAAACCTACGTTTTTTTATATCTTTATTTTAACCTACTTCGGTTCTATCATAGATGTAATTCAAAGTTTGTCCATGCGTTTCAGCGAAAACAAACAAACATACAATTTTCACAAAATATATAATAGTGGCCCGATTAGGTATTGTTAGTAATGACTGACAACTTTATCACGATGATATGATATCTAAATACAAATATTTTTACTTTTAAACTTAAGTAGGTATTCTATTAATTCAGTAGAAATAGTGCTTGTTTAATGATTATAAAGCAATGCAATTGGATTTATCTAATTAAATAAAAATAACTTAGTCTAAAAATATCTACCTACTATAAAAAAATGAAACAAAAATATCTTACTCGGTTTCCCATGGTTAAAAGTGTCCATAAAGTACACAATGTTGTGTATGATTCCTTATCACCAGCTGTAACGCTACTTCGGCAGGACTAAAACATACACTGACTGAACTAGTCTCGTCACCAATCTCATTTAAATAGGAAATCTGTCCTCGTAACCTACTATAGTACTACGCTCATAGTGAAGCTTTTGTTATTATAGGAACGTTGTATTGGGGGTAATTGGTTAAAAAATTGCATTCATCATTAATCGTTATCTCAAATCGTTATGATCAAATTCAAAAATATACTCAGTAATTAAATATAAATACTTACGGCACTAAATGTTGACCCGGATAGCTAGCTATCATCATACCGAATTTCATCAAAATCTGTCCAGTTGTTTTGTCGTGATGCGTTCCTAGACAGATAGACAAAATTTCTAAAAAGTATAAATTCGGCCTCTGTATCGATAATAATAAGTATAAGTATTTTAATAAGAATTTCCAAAAAGTATTTAATGCAGGTACAGATTCGACTAAGGATTTTATTTTATCTATACATCTGTATAAAATTGAAGTGTCTGTTTGTAATGTCAAAATAACAGCTTTTTACTAAATGCATTACGAATGTATACACGGTGCATATACCAAAACAACATTTTTTACAATTTTTGTCTATCTGTCTGTTTGTTCCGGCTAATCTCTGAAATGGCTGGACCGATTTTGACGGGACTTTCACTGGCAGATAGCTGATGTAATAAGAAGTAACTTAGACTTCTTTTATTTTAGAAAAAAAAATAGGGTTCCACGAAATAAAAACCCAATGAAAAATTTTATAATATCCAATTCAAATAGGGAAGTTGTATACATACCCTAGGGACGAATGAAGCGAGGCTGAGTCGCTAGTGTTATTATAATATAGATGTTAAGTTTTGTAATTTGTTTATTTAATTATTATTTTAAAAAGTAGCTTAATGTTTGTAATAATTTGTCTAGTGTGTAACTTATTTTTTGGAATAGATATTTATGAAAAAAATCGAAGATAGGAAATAAAGCGGTTGTCGAAGGCAAAAGTTGATGGAGAATCTAGGTTTGTGAAAAATGTAGGTATATCGACGATATGGTTTTAAGTTTCTGTAAATAAATTATCTTATGGAACATAAATATTTTCTCTATATAATTGAGAAACCCAAATTTGACATGATTTCCATCATGTAAAATTTTGTCGTGGGTTAATATTATAAATGTGAAAGTTTATATATGTTTGCTATTTTTTCAAAATATCAATTTAGGCTGCAAGGATTTAGATGAAATTTAGTATAATGGTTAGTGATAAGGACGCGTATTTTACTCGATATATTCAGGTCAAAGTTATGAAAAAGATAACAAATATTGTACGATGTATCCGAAAATATTCCATATCTTAAAAACTACTGAACGAACTGAAGATGATACCTAAACTTCTGTAAAATATTTTTTCTTGAAAAGGTATTAAATAAAAGCGATGTATATATATTATGCAAAATTAAAATCATGATGCGTCCTAACATTTACGGTAATTAAAAATATATTAGGTGGTGGCAGCACCGGTTTGAAACGCTTGTCATTGTCATGCTGTCAAATTTTTGATTACTCACGAAATCACTGGCTTGATGTGCATTTTAGTTCTCCGCCAACTTTCATAATTTAATAGAATTTTCGAAGAAATTTAATTTAACAACATCAACGGTAGTAAATTTTTATGTTATTTTATAATTTCATATATATCTTTTCATTTAAAGGTTGTTAGTTTGGTTGTTCCTGACATACCGGTACGTAAGTTTGTTAATAAAAAGAAATTCCTATCTTTCAGATGTTCCTAACACGTTCCGAATATGACCGAGGAGTTAATACATTTAGCCCAGAGGGAAGACTTTTCCAAGTGGAGTATGCTATCGAGGCTATAAAACTGGGTTCCACAGCAATCGGCATTGCAACATCTGAAGGTGTTGTTTTGGCTGTTGAAAAGAGAATAACGTCGCCTTTGATGGAACCAACTACTATAGAAAAAATCGTTGAGGTGGATAGACATATTGCTTGTGCTGTTTCTGGATTGATGGCTGATTCTAGGTAAATAATTTTATATCAAATAGGTTAAATTAAGAATTCTACAATACATACATATATATGTTATTATTTTAAATTTACTAAAAAAGTGTAGTAAGAAATTGTTAATTTCTTTGTATTTGTATTGGTCTTTAGATGTGCAATTCAAGTATAGTTTAATTTTCCCAAAGTCACAAAGTATGTAGATTGATTGATGATCATTATTGTATCATTTACAGAACCTTGATTGAAAGAGCCCGCGTGGAGTGCCAGAATCACTGGTTTGTTTACAACGAGCGTATGACAGTAGAGTCTTGTGCTCAGGCTGTGTCTAATTTGGCTATACAATTTGGAGACAGTGATGATGATAGTGGCACTGCCATGTCTAGACCATTTGGTGTGGCTGTTATGTTTGCAGGTATTACAATATGGAAACAAAATAGTAGTAGTAAATAGTAATATAACAAAATATGTTCTTATTGAAATCATTAAATACTCTTTATTATTTATATTAGTGATTGTAACAGAAAGTGCACATAATATATTCAAATCTTATATTTATTGACTCCAAATATCTTCGCACACTAATTAGAATAAGTACAGTGAAAATATAAACTTTTAAGTACATATATGTCTACTTTTAAAAGGTATTGATGAGAAGGGTCCTCAACTATTCCACATGGATCCTAGTGGTACATTTGTTCAGTATGATGCTAAAGCTATTGGATCAGGTAGCGAGGGTGCTCAGCAAAGTTTGAAGGTAAATCTTCATAATTTACGCCATTTTGATATCATTATTAGAAATGTCTATATAGACATTTCTAATAATGATACTCCACTGACTCCAAATTCAGTAGCCCACTTTTAAATATGACCATGGGCCTATATTTTATCCACCCTGACCCCCACATGTTGACTCAATCAGTCAAATTAATTGACTTAAAAATTGACATTACCATACAATTAGGCCAAGAATAAATAATACAGGATACTTTCTATCTTGATAATATACTAGCAACTCACCCTTGTTTCTCTCGGGTTTGTCGATAGGTATGTTATAACAGTTAGTATGGGATAGATAGTCAGTCCCTTACTCTGTGGAAAACGAAAACAGGTGTATCCCACGGGAACCATACATTTATCCAGGATAAAATGTAACCTATGTGCTGTTCCAGACTACAATGTATCTTTGTGCCAAATTTCATCCAGATCTGTTCAGCTGCTCTGGTGTGATTGAGTAACAAACATCCATTCATCCAAACTTTCACATTTGTAAAATATTAAAAGTTGAAACATTTTAGGTTTAAACTTATCTTAAATAAAACTTATATAAAACACTTTTTACAACTTTTTTGATACTTAAATGAGAGATTAATATAGTAATGTCTTGATTATCAGTTTCTTGCCCATGTAAGTCCATTATTTCAAAAGAAAACCCATATATAAAGTTGACAATATGAATATTTAAAAACACATGATCTAAAAGGCCATTTTGTTTTCATTTAATAAAATCAATTTAATGGTTTTTTAACTATTTTATTTGAACACTTTATTTAGTCACTAAATATTTATTTTTACTGTCACAGGAAGTCTACCACAAATCGATGACTCTTAAAGAAGCAATTAAGTCTGCTCTTACAATTCTAAAGCAAGTTATGGAAGAAAAGTTATCCGAAAATAATGTAGAAGTTGTGACAATGACACCCGAGTCATTATTCCATATGTTTACAAGGGAACAACTTGCAGAGGTTATTAAAGATATACCTTGAAATCTTTTATGTATTGGTGTGGTTGGGTTTTTATATTTTTACTACAAATTTAAACTATTTTTGCTTTCGGAAACTTTTTTCTTTAAAAAAAATCATAATTTGTCAGTTTTAAATTTTTAAGATTAATATCATAGATTAAACAAAAAAAAATATAAAGTACATTCGGAATGTATTTTCTATACTTATACATAATATATTGTGTGCATTATAATTTTGTATTGATAAAAAATCCAATCACATTTTTCACTAGTAGTAATATTTTAAGTAAATTGTATTTTTTCAGTAGAAACATTTGTTGATATCATTCGTACAGACTATAAATTCATTTTAGCTTACATTTAAAAAAAATATATATTCAATCATTACCTACTAATTAGTTTAATATATTTGTAACAATAGCAAATAAATATATTACATGCACTTATAAGTAAAGAGATGCAATTTAAGTGAAATATTACTTCGGTGAAGGAGTCTCTAAGAATCTTTAAAGTAAGTATTCAAAGGTTAATAAAATTTTCAACACTTTAGTATGTGTATTTATTTATCTGTAATTTAGTTTAATTTGTTATACAAGTCTAGTTAGTTACCTAAATAGCAGGGCCATGCAGTGTTATGATGCAGAGGCGGTCGCTTCAGGCAGCACAAAATAGGGGCGGCATTTGGAGGCTACAAATACTCCAGAATTTCATGCTCAACTCATGTGGACTCTACTAGCAATTACATCATATACCTTTTACCTTACCTTTCAGCAATATAGCTCCAATTATAGTCTTGAGTACATATGGACGGACAGACGGATAAATTATAAGGATTGGATTTCGTTTTTGCTTTTTAGCCATGGAACCCTAATGAAAATTATCTAACTTTTATAATTTATATATGAAAATAGATCAAAAAGCTATAGAAGTTTCTAGTTATTAGAAAACATAGTTAACTTATGTATCAGTTAGTATATTTTTTTAGGAAAACTTAACTGGTGTTTTTTCTTAGTACAAGGTAATCTCTGAAATCACTAACACGATCTCATCAAAATTTGGTATAATAGTTTGATTATATATCAATATATTTTTGATAGAACCTTTACGAAAAGTAAATACCCTGTGAAAAATACGAGAGCAAATAATATAATTGCGTGGATAACGTAGTCGGGTGAAGCTAAAAGTAGGTGAAAAGGTTTTTACTCTTGAGGTAAACAAAAGAAGTGTTCTCCGGAAAATTGGGAAGTTTGGAAAAAATGTAATGAAAACAACTGAATCAGTCGGTGTGGGACTTTAACCAATCGATCGTCTGTAGATGTTTTAGGCTATTTATTTTTCGAATTCTATACACTACTTCTTAGAAGCGATAAACCTAAATACATTATATATATCTCTGAAGACTAAGCAGGTCTTCAATAAAAATAAATTATTAAAATCAGGTCACGGCGGAAAAAATATGCTATAAAATATTATATTATCTATACATCAACAAAACACCTAAATAGAAATCAGTCTTTTTTAAGTTTTCTAAAGACAAAAATAATATTATGTATGTATGATCAATACAATTCAAAAGATCCTATAATATAATCTTGTCAGTTCGATCCTAATTCCTATGGCCGAATGTCAGTTAAATGAACAGCACTGTGAAATTATTAGTTTTTATTTAAACTGTAGTTTAAAGTTAATTAAAATTAAGTGTTATATAGATGATCGCCGCCATGCCAGAGTTGCAATGGAGTGAGAATAGTTCAAGAAATACTCTTCAAGACTTTTCTCGTCTACAACTTGGACGACAAACTGTTTAGAATGTTTCCATTTAATGTTTCAACTAAATAAAGTAATTTAATTCATATCTTATTTTATTTTAAATTTTATTGGTAGTAGAAGTTTTTGTTAATACTCGTAACTGAAAAATAAAGTGTCCTTTTTAGGGTTCCGTACCCGAAGGGTGCCAACGGGACCCTATTACTAACCCTATCTGTCCGTCTGTCAGCGGGCTGTATCTTATGAACCATAATGGTAGAGTTGAAATTTTCAGAGTAGGTATTTTTATTGCCACTATGACCACAAATATTAAAAATCAAGATGGCGAATTTCAAAATGGCCGTCATAAAAACAAACGATTATGGTACGGAACGTAACCTTTTGTGTGCGGGTCCGAATCGCACTTGACCGATTTTTAATTGGTACTATAGAATATATCGTGATCAGGGGCCTCCCTTGATGCTTTTATATTTGTAATATTTCGACTTTTTTCAGATTATATATTCACAAATAACTTATAGAATCGAATCTGTGACCTTCATGTAACTAATATTATCAGCTATATTTTCTCTTAATTTGATTTTAAGTGACCAAACATGTCAATAATTTTAATAAATACATATGACAAAAACAAACAAGTATAATTTAAATTTTATTAAAAAATATTATAAAATTTTTATTAGGGAAGTAACAACCTTAAGTAGTATTAATAAAAATAATGCCGATAATTACAAGGCAACATTGTGACAACTTTTAAATAAATCATTTTGAACTTACAATCCTATAGTTGTTTTAACCCTCAAAACCAATCAAGTATTCGATATAAAAAAATGTCTTAAAAAGAACTGATTATTCTTACTTAGTCCAGTCAATAGGTGAATCAATCTATATAAAATAAGACAATTTCCGGAATATTCTTTCAAAAAAAAGGGCATTTGCTAAGACAAAAGCCAAGTTTGAGGTCGCCCTAGAGGCGCTGCGCTGACGCCATTGTTGCGAGAAACTCGTTTTATTCTATTTCTAAAGAACAGCTCATCCTACGTAAAAAATCTATAAATCTTTTCTCTTTTAAATAAAACTTCCTATCTTTTTTATTAAAAATATTTTTTTTCTAAAATTAATATTTCTCAAGATATCGCACTCAAAGCTCACCAATTATGCTACCTGCGTCGGTTTTTCGCGATAGCAAAATATAAGGTCGTATCGGTATCGAATTGCTTTCGCGCAGAAATTGCTTTATTTTATGTAGATTTTGCCATATTTTTTTTCTATATAGACTGGACTATCTGAATATTTAAAATATCAAAAAAATATATATATAAATTACCAATACTTGGCTAAATATGGTTCTAAATCTATTGGATTAACATTTGGTCCAAACCTTTCCACAGGAACACCTTCTCTATCCACAATAAACTTTGAGAAGTTCCATTTAATAAAATCACCCAACGAGCCACTTTGGGTTCGCTTCAAAAACTTCCACAACGGATGTGCATTTTCACCATTGACCTCTATTTTTTCAAAAACATCAAATTTAACGTCTCTATCTTTAAGAAACTTGACTATATCTTTTGTCGAACCAGGTTCTTGACCTCCAAATTGATTACATGGGAACGCTAATATTCTTAAATTGTTTGATTTTGCATATTTTTCATATAATTCGTTCAGTTGGTTATAATTATTGTCTGTAAGACCGCACTGGGATGCCACGTTGACTATAATCAGAGTATATCCCTTGTATTTGTCGAGATTCACTTTCCTCCCATATATATCATTGACAGTGAACTCATATATAGTCTTGGCTGTTTCATAGTTCACCTCTTTTGTTCCTTCAGGTTTACTAAAAAAATAAATATTTTCATTAAATATCCTTTTTTATTAAAATATTTTAAAGTACTACGAGTATTATATATTTTTTTGTTTGAGTTTCTTTCATTTTGGTTTTTTCCTTTTAGATTTAACTATTATTTTTGTTGTTAATTATAATTATTTCTTAGATAGTGTATAAGCCTGTGTTACATAATGGTGCGTGATGTGACACCTTCAAAGGTTTATCATTTTACTAATTATATTGTATTAAGTGTTAATACAATATGTAGTAAAATTATTTTAATTTATAAGATGACAAGTTTGGCTCAGTTTGTATTGATCTTACTTTCTGTGCCAACGGTCGCGGGTTCGAGTCATGGGTGTTTATATTTATAATATGTATGTATTTAAATGTGTAGTGTATCAACTATCTGGTATCCATAACACAAGCCTTGTAGCTTACCATGGAACTAGATGTTTCTGTGTGTTAATGTCCCAACGTATTTATTTTATTTATTTATTTATGTTATAATGTTTACTTTGTGTCCAATAAATAAATAAAAAATAAAATATTTGCGAAGTTTGAAACGGCTGGACAGATTTGGATGAGATTCAGTTTAAATATAGACAATGACCCGGAGTACACATGTTTCTAGGGATACACCCGAGTAAAAAGAAAAATAGTATGTATATGTAAAACGTGTATTTCGCTTTTTTAAGAATTATTTTAAAAACTCACTTTCCAACATTATGAAACTCTCTGAAAGTATCAACAGCTTGGAAGATATCATTGGCCAATATCTCTGGGTTTTCTAAAGCTGCAAAATGGCCGCCATCGTCCACTATAGTGCTGTGTAAATAATTCTTATATTTCAGCTTTAAAACGCAATCTGGTTGGAAAGTTAATTCATGTTTGAACTTTATCCCCCATGTTGGTACTTGAGTTGGGATTCTGTAAAGCAAAATTTGGTAAATAAATAGAAAAGTACATAAATATGTATGCATGTTCTATTGTATATCCATTCTTAAAATTTAAATATCAAAGAATAAATTTTTAAAATACATAGATTGAGAAAGTCTTACCTTGCGGCTCTCGTTTGTATTCTAAAGGTATGGGATATAGGTATGATATTAAAACTATGTCCCCATAATGCTATTGTATGTCCTTGTTGAAATTCATCGAAATCTGTTCAGCAGTTTACGATAACATAACAGATGTTCGTGTTTGTTTAGACAAAGTTACTTTTATATTTATGATATTAGTACGAGTTAGCGAAAAATATTTAAAGAAATCATGGATCATTGTTCATAAAAACTAAAACTATGATAATAATTTTTGAAAATATATTTCTACACAAATGGTATATACAAGAGAAGGAAGGAAAAGTGTTCTAAATATATAGCTATTTTATATATCAATATGTATGTCTGTATATTTTATATGTGGATGAATAAATAATATACTTACTCATCGATCCTCATACTCATAAATCTTTTATTAAAAGTCTCAGCATACAACCTCATGGCAGTAGTTATGGTGTTAGTAGACCAGTACACCATTATGTTATCAAGGAGGTGAGTTAAAGAATATTTATCTAACAAATTTCCATCTCCGGACCGTTTGTATGCAGGGTTTGTCATAGTTGAAATTTTTTCTAGTATGTATGCAGTGAGACCTGCAGGAGAATCTGTTAGGGCTATGCCTGAAAATAGAAAATAATAAGTAATTGTTATTATATGTCCCATGGAAACTAAGGAAGGGTATCGAGAAGGCCTGATTTCCACCCCAAATAACAAAAAAAAAAAGTTATACGATTTGATATCTTGTTTACATATTCTGAAACAAGATTGTGTGCCTGATATAATAATATATTTATGAGAGGAACGAAAAACTACAATTAATACTACTTGTGAGACGTCAAACTTTGGTCTAACTGGTAACTGGTACCCATATCCTTTCGGTGTCACTTTATTAAAACTAGATGGAAAAAGACATTTGTTTCTACTGTTTTAACTATTTTTGTTAAACAAATACTAAAAATAGTGATCTGTGAAATTAATAATAGAAACAACAACAACTTATATTATTATTAAACTCATGCAATGTACACGAAAGAGACACTTGTATATCTTTGGATTTCATAATTGATTGTTAAAAATAATAATAATAATAAAATCATGAAATTAATTTATTTTTATTATTTCGAGAAACATTAATAAATGCTATAATAATCATAAAGAACATTTAAATACCTATAGTGTCTGGTTTAGTCGCTTGCAAGTGTAAATATCCAGATTCTTCTATGAGTTGCATGATGTGGTCACTGTAAGGATACATGCGGTTTTCTAATTCTTCTTCAACTATTAAAGATGGCCAAAACGATCCTAAAATAAGGAATATCAAATGTAATTCTTATTTATATTATTTTTAATAAAATTAAATTAGTGGCCATATGAAATATCCCTCTATCTATATTATGTCTATAATATTATGAATGCGAAAATTATATTATGTGCATGTGTTACTCATTTACACTGAAACGGCTGGCAAGATTTTGATAAAATTTAGTACCCTGATAGGCTATGACTATAACATGGAGTAATATTATATAGGCTACCTATAGTAATAAAATTTACCAACAGGTGGCGCTGCCCGCATATCCCATAATCCCATCTACACTAATATATCAATTGCGAAAGTTTGTGAGGATGTATAGATGTCTGGATGTGTGGATGTTTATTACACTTTCACGCAAAAACTACTAAATGGATTTTAATGAAACTTTACAATAATATAGCTCGTAACATCAGAACAAACACATAGGTTACTTTTTATCGTGAAAAACTGTATGATTTCTGTGGAATATCCAGACTAGCCGTTAAAACGTACCTAAAGACGAACCCATACGACGATGAACCCTTACAAAATGTGCCTAAAATAGCATCTTCTTAAGCGAAGCTAGGGTTGTGTAAAAAGTTAACAATAATAAAATGTAAAGTAAACTAAAAATTTAACAGTCCTTTAGGATGAACATCATTTAGAAATCATTAATGATTAAATACAAAAATAAAACACATAACTTACCCAACCAAACGTTAATATTGGCCAATTTATTAAACCAGACAAGCGGCATGTTTGTATGAAAACCTAAAACAGTTTCGGGGAACAAAGTGGACAGTATAGATCCAAGCATATGTCCTATATCTCCCCCTTGTATGTAGTATTTCTCATGACCAATTCTCTTCATCAAATTTGATATCACAACAGCCATTTCAGTTGGTCCAAAACCGGGTCGGACTGGCGCCTAAAATATTTTGTTCTTAGATTTAAGGGACTCTTACATTTGCATGGTTGATTATATGTTTAAAATTAAAGCAAATAAATAAATTCTATTTTGATAACTCAAGGGATTCAACTAATTAGTATTTGAAAATTTATTCTTGTAAGACATTCACTATTGAAAAATTAACGTTTACTTTTTTCTAATATACATCATGGTTTTCCGTTTTAAAAATCAATTCTTTGGACAAAAAAATAATAAATAAAAAACAAATTAAAAAACATTATGTAGACTACTTAAAGTTAAAAAATTCATACCTCAGAGAATCCAAATCCTGGTAAGCTAGGTGCTATTATCTCAAACACAAACTTATGTCCCACCTTAGGTGTAGTAAGTTTAGGTATTATTTCATAGAACTCCCTTATAGAGCCCGGCCATCCATGTAACAATAGTAAAGGAACCACCTAAAAAAAAAAGGTGTGTGGGTACTCGCCCTATTTAAAAACTCCAATAGGATCTCAAAAAAAATAAAGCTATAATAATATACAATGTAAATGAATACATTATTCAATTATATTGCATGTTTTTAATATTATATTAAATTAACGACTCACCTTCACTTCTCTCGGGTTTGTTTCTACTGAAAAACAAAAACAAATCTACCACAACAAAACCATACATTTTTCCGGGATAAAAAGTTATCTATTCGCTATTCCAGACTATATTTTATCTCTGTACCAAATTTCATCCAGATCTGTGCAGCCGTTCTGGCGTGATTGAGTAACAAACATTCGTATTTACAATATTTATAGGATAACTTACCTCAAAATCTGAGGGAACATTAGGTTTCACATGGACATAATGTATATCCATTCCTTGAATGTTAGTTACATAGTGATCAAATTTGTTGAAGAACTCTTCTCTCTCCTTAAAATTATATTTGTGCTGCCAATAATCTAGTACTCTAGTTATAAAATTGGAATTGAAGCCATAAGTGAATCCTGTGCCTTCTAATGGGGGAACAAATGGTCTCCTATGGAGAAGTCTTTCTCTAAGGTCATTAACTACCTGTAAAGAAAAATTGATTAAATATTAAATTATTTTTTAAAATGTATTGACATATTGTAGTTTTTATATTTTATATAAATATAAAAACTTTTTAACAAAAAAATTAAAACCGACTTCAAACAAAAGCACTAAAAAGTAGAAAATAACTGATTGGTAGTTTTCATTTACTATACATACCTAATCAAATATATTCGAAGTCAGTGTGCTTTGCTTTGTATGGGCTGGCACCGATTTCGAAAATATTTGATTAGGTATGTATTTAATAGGTAGGCTTTAATTACTTAGCCAAAGCATACCAACTTCGAAAATATTTGATTGGGTATGTATAGTAAATGAAAACTACCAATAAGTTATTTTTTACTTTTTAGTGCTTTTGTTTGAAGTCGGTTTTTATTTTTTTGTTAAAAAGTTTTTATTTTTCCCTTTTTAGTGTAGACAGTAGTAGCAAAGTAAGAATTCTAACGTGTTAGGCTTGTCAAATCAAACAAAATAAGCCCAAACTCAAAGTATCTACTATTAGTCGTTGAAGAATTCCACCTATCCACCTTCTGGCCTTACCATCAGATCAGGTCAATAATACCGAACCACTGTACTATCAATGGAAATAGAAACACTTGCAAAGTTTCAAGTCAATATGACAATTAGAAGTAGGTTAAATTCATCATTAGCTATTTTTCCACCCTTAGGGGTGGTATTTTTTTTTGAAATTTAAATGGGATCAATCTGGAAGTATACCCTTTCAAACAAAACAAAAATTGTCCAAATCGGTTAATAAATGACGAAGTTCTGAGGTAACAAACATAAAAAAAAAAGTCGAATTTAGAACCTCCTCCTTTGTAAAGTCTGTTGAAAAGATGCTTATTTATTCCTCTCAGAGGCTTCATCAAGAGGAAACTGAAAGTACAAATGTTAAAATATCATCTATATATTTTAATATGCATGATTTCTTGATTAATTCAAATTTTGAATACGTTAAAGTTAATAATTTTTTATGTTTTAATTCAATTATATTATAGTTTAAAAATTAATGTGTATTTTTTTTAATTTTACTTTTAATGTAATAAACTACATAAGATAAAAATATGTATGTAAAGATACAAAAATAATTTACCACATCAGAAAATTCAATATTATAAGGTCTTATAGACAAATCTGGTTTTAAGTTTATTGGATAAGGTCCCCAATATGCATTTAAATCTAGCTGTGGTAAATCAGGTGGTGTCGTCAGAATTTTATATATGTACCATGATGTAAAACAGGTAATTATTGTAGAGATGAATAAAAAATTCCCAATCTGAAATGAAATTCAAATATGTTAGTACTAAAATAAAAAAATATATAAAAAAACAAATTTTGAACAATTTTATCAATTACTTCATAGCCACCCAATTTCAAGTTTACTTACAGAAAAGATAGAAGATTTTTGTTTTTTATTTTCATTTTGGTTAGTATTTTTCTTTTTATTTTCTTTTATTTGTTGCTTGTTGGCCATTTTACCTTTTTTAAACTTTTAATCACTTTTGCCGGCAAGTATGAATCCTATCTTGTCACCTTTAGAATTTTATTGCTTTGCTTTGATTATTTCCCTTGAAAAAACTTTTAAGCAAAAAAATACAACATTTAAAGTAAAAAAGTGGCGGCCGTTTAGAATTGGGGACTTGGCCCCTAGCGGAGTGGGTGGTATTTCTGGATAAGGGACGTGATAGGGAGTCGAAATGTTAAATAAATTTTTTAATACAACAAAAGAGTCAAAAGTTATTGAGACTTAAAGTTATAACATTTCCATACATTATTTTGACATTACTACCATTTAGACACTTGGAGTCAAAACGTCACTTTCAATTGTCAAAATGATCTCCAGATGATTGTCTTTATTTGTACTTTGCGTGAAATTCGAATTTTCTAGTTTTCTAGTCATTTATGGCACTCGCCGGCCGCTACCGCGGCACGCTCGCTTCGCTCGCTCGGCTCGTGCGTTGTGGCAACTGTTCTAACCTAACCTAACCAAGATATGACGAATAATTAATAAATAATCTTAAATGTTCTAACCTAACCTAACCCAGATATGAGGAATAATAAATAAATAATCTTAAATGTTCTAACCTAACCTAACCCAGATATGAGGAATAATAAATAAATAATCTTAAATGTTCTAACCTAACCTAACCAAGATATGACGAATAATTAATAAATAATCTTAAATGTTCTAACCTAACCTAACCCAGATATGAGGAATAATAAATAAATAATCTTAAATGTTCTAACCTAACCTAACCCAGATATGACGAATAATAAATAAATAATTAAAAATATTCACAGATAAAAAAATGATTTTTTTTACTAAATGTACAATTGTAAAACAATATATTTTACATAAATCAAATAAAAAGTTATAAATGTATTTATAAAGTGAAAATAATATTTTTCTTTTTATTTATTTATTTATTAATATTAATATTTTACCAACAGAAAAAGCAAAAATAATCAAATATAATCTGTTGTCATTTAAGCGGTAATATAAAACAAAGTGTCAGTTTTGCTTTTGTCAAAATGTAAGATCATTTTGTTTGTGTTGTGAAATTATTAAAATATTAAATACAATAAAGCATTAATTGTTGTGAAAATGTGTAATGTACATAAAAAAGGATGCGTACTATTCGTTAAAGGTATGTTTATCTGTTGTAATCACTTATTTAGGTAAAGAAATGTATGGAAATGTGTTAGATATGTTATAACTTTAAGTCTCAATAACTTTTTAGTCGTACGTTTCCTCCAAATATTTTTAATATATTTTGACTCTCTGTCACCTCCCCTATCTAAAAATACCACCCACTCCGAATGGTGGTAAAGAAATATATGAAAATGTATGGAAATGTTGTAACTTTAAGTCTCAATAACTTTTGAATCTTTTGTTGTATTAAAAAATTTATTTAACATTTCGACTCCCTATCACGTCCCTTATCCAGAAATACCACCCACTCCGCTAGGGGCCAAGTCCCCAATTCTGAATTTGTGCCAAAAAAGTAATACACAAACGTCATAAACTTTTTTATTTACAAATTAAAACGATTTGTTCCAGCTTCATTTATTTGTGACTTCTGATCTTCTGACTTCTGACTTGTTCAAATGTCATTGTCAATGACATTTAGTGTTGCATCGGCATAAATTTATATTTTCCCGGATAGCAATCATTTAAATATATATAATTGTACGTGACTAAAAACCAAATTCTTAGGTTTTACATATTAGTTACTCTTACAATGTAGTTTTTGTATTTTTTCTCAGAAATGAGATATTTTCCCGCGGTAAAAAGTATCCTATATGTTGACCCGGATAACCAGCTAGCACCTTATCAAATTTCATCAAAATCCCTCGAGTGGTTTTTTTGTGATGCGGTAACAGACAGACAGACAGACAGACAGACATTAATTCTAAAAACGATAGATTCGGCCTCTGTATCGATAATAATGTCTATTTCAATAAGATTTTCCAAAAAATATTTAATGTACAGATTCGGCTTAGTTACAATTTTATTATAAGTATGTATAGATTAAATTAAGAAAATAATATAACATTTCAGTATTTTACTAGATTTCAATAACTTTCATTTTTAAATATTATAATAAATAATTATTTTAAACATAAGTCTAAATTTTTACACACAATTGAGGAAATTGCGATATAACAACATAATAATAAAAAACTTCAACAACTTTAACTCTCAAGACCTTTTCACACCAATGATAAACATTACGATAAGCTTTTTAGAATGAATATCATACTGTTTTTTTCATAAATTTATAGGTCCATATTATAGTAAAATAAAACAAAGCGATATTTGTAGGTACATTAATTAAATAATTTTTAACCCTCGACGCAAAAACGACAAGAGTTTGACTCGTCTATGTGTGTGTCTGTCTGTGGCAACGTAGCTCCCGAACGGATGAACCGATTTTGATTTTTTTTTGTTTGTTTTGTTAAAGTGACAAGTGATAAGATAAATTAAAAATAAAAAAAAGCCCCGACCATCTTCGACCGATTTTCATCAAATATAGCTAAGAACACTCCCGACTAATTCACCCTTCAAACAAAAAAAAACTAAATCAAAATCGGTTCATCTGTTCGGGAGTTACGATGCCACAAACGGGGGTTAACAAATCTAGTCAACAAAGCTGCTGTACACCTGTCTGTTTGTCCGCTTACTTCTTCTAAGCCACACAACGAAATTTTATACGATTTTTATTAATGCAAAGAATAAAATTAACGATTAGAAAGGATTGTGCATATAATTTGTAGATATTTTGTACAAAATGGATGAACTATGATGGTGTTTTGTCAAAAAAACTATATTCGTACCATTTATGGCTAAATATACCTAAACCTTAAGAGTCCACGATAGCATGTGTCTATATTATTTAAAATTATACTCGCTTTTAATTAAAACATACCTAGGAACGCGCCCGAGCGAAGCAAGGGCAAGTTGCTAGTTTACTAATAAAATATTTAACGCGATCGTGATCGCGACTATCATTAGCGATAAAGGTAAATAAATCTAGAATTTTTTTTCATAATAAAAAAATATCATTTAAGTACTTATACTATAAAATTGTTGTTTATGCTAGTAAAATGGTTTTAGTTCTATAAATATTACAATCATATTGAGTAATTTTCTTTATAATATCTAAATTATAAAAAATACCTATTAATTTAAAAATTATAGTAAAGTATAGTAGTAATTTGAAATGGAATAGAGATAGGTACAGTTTGTATCCTAAATAAAAAAATAGGTAACTTTTTACCGACGTACTTACGAATTACGATGTTAGACGCGGAATAATTCTTTTATAAAAATAAAAAACAAGTCTTATTTTTCAACAAGGACTTTATTTTTTAGTTTTTATCAAAACAATTTGTTTCCCATTACGTATTATAAATATAATTTTACCTGGAAATAATGAAAGGGTTTATTCATGTGTGAAACGAAGGCGCAAATAAATGTAAGTTGAATGACGTTGTCATCGCAAGCCACAATCCCTCTGTTAATTGAGCGCGCGGGGCCAATACGGCTCTTTTAATTTTTCCACTCAACCGCCGCTTTGATACAGCCTAGTCGTAGGGATGAGTGAAACAAGTTACATATTACAGTATTATTTTAATAAGTATTATAAATGTGAGATTTTGCGAGTATGTATGGATGCTTGTTACTCTTTCATGCCAGAACGGCTGTACGGATCTGGATGAAATTTGGCACAGAAATAGTTTATAGTCTTAAATAACACATAGACTGGATACTTTTTATCCCGGAAAAATTTACGGTTCCCGTGGGATAGGTTTGTTTTTGTTTTCCTAGAGGTGAATCGAGCGAAGCGAGGGTGAGCCGCTAGTTATTTATAAAAAAATAAAAATTGTAATATATTGAAATAAATGGTGGTATTGCACATGACGTTTTTTTTAATTGGTATGTAGTTAGTTATATATCTAATATAAATTAGTTGTTAATCTTATTCGTCACAAAACATGTGTATAAAAGCCTACGCATAGCGTAATTGCATCTAAGTCATTAAAATAAAAAAAGAATAACGTCTGCAATCTACACGGTAGTTCGTAGCTATGTACATAAAACGTTTTAATTACAAACATATAACTATAAATTTTAGAATGTATCGACTAATAATAGAAATAATTAGTAAAATAGTCATATGTATTTATACATACATACTAATTTTACTAAATCTACGTTTTAATTCTTTAATGTAAGTTATTTTTATACATACAATTTTGTGATCAGCCAGAACCAAACGGAGAATTGGTATAACGCATTTCGCAGTGCGTTCAATGGTCTCTACATAATATGGCACGGATCTTCAAACGTGTTCTATGTCATTTTTTCATTGTATCTACGAATTTTAACATTATACATAAAACTTAAAAGTAAAACAAGCTCAACACACTACAGAATTCTTTTTTTCACAGCCCTAGAAAACACCCACCACGCTTTCAGCGCGCTATCACGGCTCTCAGCACTGTCATCGTATTCCATTTTTCCCGCCCATTCGATTTTCCTTTGAAAACAGTTTTTAAACCAATTGATATTTACAAATATAGACCTTACGGACTGCGAATTTAATTTAAAAAAAGCAAAATTCGTTTGACTATTTTGTACTTTAGACCTCTTTAGTTTTTGGTCGAGCTTAACATTGTGGTTTTTAAACGAAATCCTCTTTTGGGGAAAATGACATCCGAATTTAATATTGGTTTTAGTGAGTAATGAAAATATTTAATTTAATTTCGATAGTCGGTGACTGTCAATGAAGAGATAATGTTTTTAATTAATGCGTTACTGAGCTTCAGATTATTTATATATAATAAAGAGGTATTTTTTTTTTAAATGTGTAGATTTAGTAAATATTTTAAGTGAATGGTTATTAATTATATTATAGTTTTATATCTAGATTTAAATGATATATTTCATATATATATATATATATATAT